GGGGGCGTTCGTCACAAGAAGTAGTCGCTGCGGTTCTGCTTCAGGGCATTGTTCTTCACCATCAAGTCGCCGTCCTCGACCGCAGAGAAGATCTTGAAGTTGGGGTCAAGGTCCTCATCCACCTGCATCACCAGGGCCACGTTGCCGCACCGGTAGCAGTAGTTGGGCGCCAGCCACACAGTGACGACGTCCTTGTCCTTGAAATGGTAGCGGAACCCTTCCATCACCAACTGGTGGGCTCTGGCAATCAATTGAAGGTTATTGATGTGGTTGAACTCCCGCAGAACTTTCAGCCCGAATAACCAACCGGCACCACGCGGCAGCACCGCCCAGGTGTCGACATTATCCGGGTCTGACCACACTAAGTCACAGAACCCGCCTTCGTGGGGTACTTCTTGGGCACGACTCAATACCCGGATCTGGTCCAACATCCTCACCTCTGGCAGCAAACCCCCGTGGACACAGAGGATTTTACCGTCAATAATCGCCGCAAGCGTCAAAAAGTCGAATACTTGACAGCAGTATTTCCAAACGGTGGTGCTACCGTATTTGTTAAGACACTCTTCATAGAAACCATAAACCTGGGTGATTTGACGCAGCTCATGGTTCCCCCGCACCAACGTGATTCGGTGGGGGTATTTCACTTTCAATACCATCAAAAGAGTGAAAGTTTCCAACGAGAAATAGCCCCGATCGACATAGTCGCCAAGGAAGATATAATTATTCTGGTTGTCGTCGCTGGGAATGCCACCGGATATTCTAAACAACTCCAAGAGGTCGTGGAACTGGCCGTGAATGTCACCACACACCGTGACCGGCGACTGGACCGGCTGGATGTTCAGTTCTTCCATCAACAACTCCTTGACGAGCTCGCACAACTGCTTCATGTCCAGCTCGGAGAGAGCGATGCATTTCTTGATTTGTTCCAACCACTGGTCCGGACCTCGCTCACCCATGATTGCTTTGGTTGTGTTGGTGTGGCAATGGGGCAATGAGGGAAGAAGTGTGGGTGGGATTGGATCTGGCGAAAGCCTGTGAGTGTCAACTTTTTTTTGGTGAGAGTCACGTGAGCACGTCCCAAGAATTCTAACTCTAATAATCGAAATACAATAGACTTATACGATAAGCTAAGAAGTAGTAGACTAATCAATTGTTAAAATGGCAGAGTCCATGATGCAACCATAATTTTAGTATGGAAGAATTTATTCGTTTTTTTCTCTGGTGGTTTGACTTCAGCGATGACGTCAGTGGGGACACCGCGCGGGGCAAATCGATGGCAAAACCGCTGTATTAATAATATATATACTTATAGGCGAGTGACATCGTGACTAAGATCAATAATTAATTTGACAAGCAAGTGAGACCGCCGGTACCGGTCTAACTTACGATGCTGACGACGCTTAAGTTTGGCGATCCGCTGCTGATGACGCGCTTTAAGCTGGTCCAATTGCGCTCGGTGCACTGCTTGAATCAGATCATCTTGGGAATTAGCATCTGCGTCATCAATTAATTTTGAGGAGTCATCTGATTGAGAGTTTGCCACCTGCACCGGATAAGGTGGAACTGGGGCTGAGGTTGGGGCTGAGGTTGGGGAAGGAGTCTCAATGGTCACAGTATTGTCAGCAGCGGTGCTCGGAGCCGATTTTGCGTCGCCACCACTGCTGCTGCTGTTGCTAATGGGATCAGAGGTATCATCAGTCACAGGGATAGCATCGACTGACTCTGCTGACTTTGGACTGGTTTCAGTGGGCGAAGTTATTTCAGGAACAGGCTCAGACTCAATCATATCACTAACATTCATCTTATTATTATTGGTAGTAGTAGTGACTGGTTCCTCTTTATTAGTATCTTCTGCTTCAAGGTCGACATATGTAACAGCCGTATCTGAAAGCAACATAGCGATCGACTCGGGTGTATTATTCTTACTCATGGAAAGCATAGATGTTGATCATCATGAGGATATAATCATCAATTTATAACCGTAGATGGCTGCTGAAACCCAACTGCAGTCGCTGTAGTACTCACACGACTCTGGTTTCAAAGACACTCTTCGGGCATTATCTTTTTTACTGTGCATTTCTCAAAACATAATAGTGGGTCGCCCTTGACGCTAGTCTGATACACCCACCTACTACTGTACAGTGCGCACACCAGACAATTTTCACCATCACCGATGTTGAGAGCCGTCCAAGGGAGAGCCCTCCACACCACACGACAGGCGGCGAAAAGCTTGCCCCTGTCGTCGCTGATGAAGTCGGACAAGCTGTGGGGGAACGACGCCCCCAAGTCCCGCTCGCTGGACCTTTTCCGCTTGGCCCAGCTGATCGAAGAAAAAGCGCCCCCGCTCGAAATCGCCCCTAAATTCCTGAAGAAGTTCCTGGTTGGGCAAGCGATCGACCCGTTCGACTTCTCGATGCACCGGGTCAACATGGATAACAAGCAGGCCCAGCTCCGGCGCCAGAAGAAGGAGGACCCCTTCGACACCTTGGGGCTCGACCCACTGACGTTGTACACGATGCCCGAGGTGTTGTCGATGTTCTTGCTGTCGACGGGTCAAATCTTGCCCCGGGCGGTCACCGGCTGTCTGGCGGCGAACCAGAAGAAGTTGAGTAACGCCATCAAGACGGCGCGGGCGTGTGGGTTGTTGTCGCTGACTCACCGCCACATCTCCGAGCTCCCCCTGCGTAACATTTAAACGTTAACAACTCTGTATATAGGATTTTAATGCAAAATTAAGTGTATTGGAATATGCTATTGGGGCTTGGTCATCGCCTGAGCCTTTTTCTTTAATCTCATCTCAAGGCGGGTCTTTTCAAACTGGAGCTGGTCATTTTTAGGAGAGGAAGAACCGTAGCTCATAGTGATTTTGAGGTCGGGATTATGTTTAGCGTTGAGCTTATTCCCCGTCTCGTAAAGGGCAAGATCATCGTCTCGCACTTGGTAGAGAGTGTAGCCATCGCTGATCAAATTGTGGACGAATTCATAGCGACTATGAGGAGGCAGAGTTCTCTGTTCGATGGGGTAGTGGAGGAGAAGCGAAAGCAGTTCACTGAAATCTCCTACCACCAATTGAGTCTTCACTTGAATTAAAAGAGAGATCACCATGAAATTGATAAGATCAGGAAGACTGGCACCTAACAGTTTGGCAGCAATCATTCGGTCCCATACCAGCAGAGCCGTAGCGAGTTCGCCTACTTCACGAAGAAGCAATAGCCGGAAGAATCTAATGATCCAAAGCTGAGACTCAAGTTTTAGTTTGGAAATCAAGTGGTAATGGATCACTTGGTCCACTTTCATAAGCTGGACATTAAATTTGTCGATTGCTTGCCATAATGCTGGTTCCAGTTCGTAGTACAGGCCGATGATACCCCCCTCGACGACGAACCGATTGAAACAGGTAAACACGTCATGAGCCAAGTATTTGCGGTTATACATCGAGAGAATTTTGCGGTCATTCCCCGTGACTTTATCAAGTGGCACCTCCACCAGTTCACGGTATAGATTCACCAAAATCAACCCCATCACCTCGTGAAACCCCTGTTTGTAACCGACGTTTGAGTTACATTTCAGCCACACGTAGAGTAAATGGATAAGCATCCGTTTATACTTGATACTCCCTTCCAGATTGAAAAACGGTACCCCTGGGAAAAGCCGATCGATATCAACAATAATCGTCAGCAATAGGTCGACATCCTCATCAGAAAATCGTAATTTAGGGCCAGGAGAGGGACTTCGTGATAACAGCAACGGATCAGAGTCACACAGCACTCGCGTCAAGTTGGTTTTACCCATTTTCATCGTCGACGGGTTCCTCTTCACTGGGGTGCGGAACTTATCGATATAGAACGTCGAATCGGACGGTAGTCGGTGCCACGGCACCACCAAGTCGGCTCGTGTCGAAAGCTCGTGCCACACCACTCGCGTATCGCCGAGCTTGCTTTCCCAGGTTTTGATATCAAGCAGATCGGTGATGAGGCACACTTTCCACACTAGGGTCCGGCTGAAGTTACCACGCATCGGCGAGTACTCCAGCCGGAGCACCATCTGCTTGAACTGGGCGACGTTGCCTTTGCACAGGTCCAAGCTGAGAAGCACGGTGGCGATGATGTCCTCGGCCTTCATCGCTGGTCTCTTCTCGGTGGTGGTCCGCCTTTGAACTGCCGCGCATGGCTATCGCGCCCTCGACGCATTGAAAGCAGGGAGAGGCGACTGGGACCAACATTCAAGTGACACAAGACCAACACTAGTATACCAAATATGATTATCGAAAATTTAGTTGTGAGAAGGGATATTGTTGGAACCTAAGATGACTGAATTATAGGCTTGATGAGGTTAGTAGTATCGGAGACACTTCACTGATAGTATTAGAAGCGGGGCGTGGCAGTCTATTTTAATTTGCAGCCATAATTTTGTATAACGACGACTATCATTGATAAATAAGTTCTACTAGACAATTTGATTAGTATGGCGTGGTTTCTTGGCTCACATTGACAGGCTCCGAAAATTGCTATATTTAGCTTACTGTTAGGTTAGCGTGTCCGCGTGTCTCACTTGGAGCGATTTCACCTTATTTAGCGTACTTTCTGAATTTCTCTCCTACGATGATGCAATGGCACTAAAACTTATAGACGTATGAGGCCAGAGGCGGTGGGTCGCCATTATTTGGTTAATTGCTCTAAACCCTATTTTTTTTTTTTTTTTGGCCGATTCACAGCCCCCCACGTTTATAGGGGGACGGTTTTTCCATTGCGAATCCGCATTCCTTCCCCTCCGAATATAGCGATGAGTGACGAAGAAGCCCTCCAAAAACAATTCGAAAAATTGGCCGAATGTGAAACCGCCATGGCCAAGGTCGACAAGGAAGTCGAACAGTTCCGCATCGACAAGCTGGCTGCTCTCTTCAACCAGCGCCGCGACATCGTCCGCGAAATGCCCAAGTTCTGGTACATCGCCCTCGCCGAACATGAGGACTTTGTCGACTTGATCGCCATGGAAGACCTTAAATTTTTGGAAGATGTTAAGGATATCTATGTTGATTACCAAGATGTTGACCATTTCACCATCACGTTTGAATTTGACGGCGAATTGGTGCCTAAACAGACCGTGACTAAGAAGTTCACCGTCACCACTGAAGACGGCGAAGATAAGATCACTTCCGAAGCCGTTGCCATTGAGTGGCCTGAGGAGCTTAAGGAGATTAACCCTAAGTTGATTAAAGAGGCTAAGGGGGCTGATTTGTCTAAAGAAGATAAGGCTAACTACCGCACGGGGATGAGACTGCTTTTCGCCTGGTTCGACTGGACCGGTGAGAAACCCGGTAAGGAGTTTAGAGAAGGCGATGAATTGGCTCGGGTTTTAGCCAACGACATTTACGTCAATGCCGTCAAGTATTATACTGTGGCGTTGCAAGACGACGGCGAAGACGTCGAGGTTGACTCCAGTGAAGGCGAAGAATTAGACCTTGAAGACGACGACGACGACGACGACGACGAACAACCGAAAAAGAAGCAAAAGACGGAATAGATTTGTAAGGGTATTTTGTAGGAGAATATATTAATACACTGTTATCTCTATAGGGGTTTCAAGCCTTGGTGGGGAGTTGTTGGGCGTTGTCGCGCGATTGCTTTTGCTTAGCCACGGCGTAGACCAACCCGGCCAAGAACCCGATAAAGATCGACGACACCGACCAGAAGTTGACGGCGGCCTCGAAGAAAATGAGCCCCAGCAACGCGATGGGCAACTTGTTCAACGCCCCCACCATCGAGTAGGTGGTGGACGAAGTAACCCGCACACACCACGCCGAGCAGTAGGAAATACCCACCGATGAGATACCAGATAAGATCATGGCAGCAATGGTGGCGTTTCTGTTATCGGCGGGGAAGTTGAGAGCGACGTTGGCGGCGCTCCAGTCTTCAAACAAAAAGGTGGCAATGAGCAAGATGGGGAGCGACAACAAGTTGTTGTAGTACATGGTGTCGAAGTCCTTGAAGTTGGTCAACTTGATTCTCTTTCTCATGTACAACACAAACGCCGCCAGCGAGAAGCAGTTGAGGAACATCCAGAGGTAGCCCAAGTAAAGGTCGTAGGTGTCAGTGTCCAGCTTGGCGGCGTCCATGTCCCCCCACCACGCGATCACCGAGGAGAACACCATTAAGAGGAAAGAGCCCAACGCCATCAGGGTCACTTTGCCCCCGAACCAGATCACTTCACCGTAAGCGATCAAAATGATGGTCAAGTTCTTGAAAATGGTGTACACGGGGATCGAGAGGTACTTCAATGCCTTCAGCGACGTGTAGATCATCGCCACCAACAAGATGGCGATGGGAGACCACTTTTTGGCCTCGTCCTTGTTGAATTGACGGTAGGTGATCACCCCCAACAGCTTGAGGATAAAGATGGTGGCGAGACACACCAACAGCTGCACCGCCAACAAGAAGAAGTTGAGGTTGAACGAGAACCCCAGCAACACGTACTTGTTGGTCACGGTCATGAGGATCGACAGCGCACAGTAGGCGAGGATCGAGATGGGCGCCGAGTTGGCGACGGAAGCGGCAGCATCCATTTGGCTAAGTCGTGGTCGTCGGTGGCGTAAAAGGTAAACGAGCTGGCCCACGAGGTATAACGAGACAACACCCATTTTTTAGCCCACGATTTTTCACCATGAGGTGGCCGGAAAAAATGGGCCGGGACACGACCCCCCGACCGCGCGTCGGCAGGAGCCTGCCGACGCGTCCATAAACAATGCTGTCACCAAAGCACCGCCACCCCCCTGAAAGACTCTCTAATGGTAGACTAATATATTAGATCAGTTCAGTGTAGGCTTGGGTCTTAGGAGGACAGAGTAAGTCGGTAACAGTAAGTGCCATTTACGAGGGTTCGGGTTTCCGTTTCGGTGATGGCGACAAAAAAGCAACCTCGGAGGCTGTGGCGAGCATCGAGGTGTCCCGCGGTACCTTACGTGATGAGTGTGTCGCGGATGTGGCGATGGGCATTATGAGCCATGGCCATCGGTTAAATCGTCGTTTTCAACACGCCAAACCCTAAACAAAAGGGATACACGTGGCAGTCGTCCCGTGATAACAGATAAGAGGCTCTAAAAGGCTTGGTTCAGCGTGATCGCAGTAGTCTTTTCAAGGAAATTTACACAAGCATTTTCGAAATGTGAGTGTTCCCGGCATTAGGTGAGCGTGTCGCTCACTTGCTGATTGAACATCCGGAGACTTTATTGGACTTTGTAGAATGCTTCTTTAGTAGAGCTTTACGGTTTTCAAAATAGACGTGGATGTAGAGACTAATTGTAGCTACGTAGTAATACTCTTGGTGTTATATTGAGAAGATCTACTAGTTGTGATTAAATTTCAAACCTTAAGATATCAGGCAACATTTCGCATACACATGAAATACGAACAACAGTCTGAAAACCGTTAACAGATTAACTGACTAATAATTCCAGAAAATAGCTGAGAGTTTTCCTTCAAAAACTCTTAAATGAAAAATATATCAAACCTCCATTTGAGTCAGCTATCAAATCTTCATTGGAAAGTTACAAGAGAATTTCTCAATAATATGGATGGGTTTTGCTCGATCATAAAATAAGTCTTCAGAAGTTAATTCCCACAAGCCTAAGTTATTTTTCTGATTACGTATCCATTCGTTCTATTTGGTGTCTATAAATTATTTCTAAACGGGTTTATTCGACGACGTCACGGGTAGTCGCCCCCGTTGTAGATGCTGATGTCGGTTTCGGCCTTGATGTCGACCATGTCGCCGACGTCGATGCACAGGTCGACCAGGAACCCGCTGTCCTTTATCCGTTGGTTTTGGGCGCGAATCGTCTCCAATTCCTTAAGGTACTCGCGTTCCTGACCAGTAATATAGTTGCCGGTAAACACCCCAACTTCAAACTGGTTGATCTCAGCACCTTTGCAGCACTCAATAAGGTCTTCCAAGTCCTGGTAGATCACTCTGTCGGCGCCAATCACTTCGGAAATCTCGTCTTCATTACGGTTGAAACCAACGAGCGCCTTAGTATCAGCTAAATCAATCCCATAAATGTGGTTGTAGCGAATGGGAGGAGCACACAGAGCGAAATACACTTTCTTCGCCCCTGCTTCCCGAGCCATAGCGACGATTTCCTTCAGCGTGGTGCCTCGGACGATGGAGTCGTCGACCAACAACACGTTGCGGCCTTCGAACTCCAGGTCCATGGCGTTCAATTTACGCCGCACACTCAGCTTACGCTCCTTTTGATCGGGCATGATGAAGGTACGGCCGATATACCGGTTTTTCACAAACCCTTCGCGGTAAGGTAACTGAAGCAGCACGGCACACTGTAACGCCAGAGTTCTCAGAGTATCAGGAACGGGAATAACAGCATCAATTTCGAGGTCACCTAAAGTGCGGATCTTATCGGCAAGCTTGTTGCCCATTTCGATCCGCAGCCGGTACACCAGCACCCCATCCAACACCGAGTCGGGACGAGCGAAGTAGACGTACTCAAAGATATCGGGAGCAAACACCGTCAGTTCCACCAATTGACGGAATTCAGGCTTTTGTTTAGTATCTTTACGGATGATAACGGCTTCACCAGGACGGATATCTCTAAACTCTTTGAAACCGTGAGCAGTGAGAACCACCAGTTCTGAAGCCAACATGTAGTCAGTAGTGCCGTCACTGTTGTTTCTTTCACCGAAAAGTAAAGGACGAATACCGTTAGGGTCACGGAACCCGATCACCCCGTAACCGGCTAACATCGCGGTACAGGCATAGGCACCGCGAGCCATCTCCATCGTTTGCTGGATAGCAGTGAAAATGTCATCATTATTCACTCTCCGCTTGTTAAACTCTTCAAGTTTAGCCGCAAACAAGTTAAGCAAAAGCTCGGAGTCCAGTCCGGTGTTAATATGACGGTGAACTTCAGTATCCATAAACTGTCTGAGCTCCGCCAGGTTGACGAGGTTCCCATTGTGAGACAAGGCAATCCCGTAGGGCAGATTAACATAAAAAGGTTGTGCCTCCAGCCCCAGCAGCGAGCCCGCCGTCGGGTAGCGGAGGTGGCAAATGCCCATCGACCCGATCAAATTCTTCATTCTCTGCTGGGTGAACACGTCCCGGGCCATGCCGTTACCCTTACACTGGTAGAAACGGCCTTTGGCACCACAGGTGACGATACCGGCGGCGTCCTGGCCCCGGTGCTGGAGAAACATCGCCCCTTCAAACAACTCGGGGGCGACGTTGCGGCGGCTTTCAGGGGCTAACACCACCCCAAGGATCCCACACATGATAGTCTTTGATGTTTCAGTTGCGTTTGCTTTTGACCTGGAAAAAGCGATGCCGGGTAAGATCAGGCGGGCGGATTAAATTTGAGGGTTTGGCGGGGCCTACTTACTCGGTGGGGATGGTCCCGAGTCAATATATAATATACTGGGCGCGACCTGCACCTTGGCTCACTAATCAAATATCTTCCATGGCAAAATCTTTTTCATTCCCGCTTTAGTCATTTACGATGGAAAAAAAGGAATGGGCCATCGCCTGAGGAACGTGGTCGAACTCAGTGGAACGGCTTGGTCCAATTCTGGGATTACCTGACGGCTAAATACTGCCGACTGTCACGCAGCTGCGATAATTAAGGTGTAATATTAAATGTGTGGGGCGGGACGTAGGGTGCCATGTACTATTGCCTGTGGGTGTACGGCCCGCAGGGTGCGCGGGTTGGTTTTGTTCGGAGACATGAATTTTGGTCGCCCGCGCTGTGGTTGAGACTTTTTTTTTTCGTATTTGTGAGAGCGGGTATATCACAGTTGACAGAAAACGTCAGATGGCTACAACGTCTTAATTCCTCTGAATCATTTATTGCAAATAGAGGAAAGAAAAAAAAAAACATAAAAGGGGGAAAAACAGGTCTGGTTGAAAAAAAGAACACTCCAGACCGCAAAAAAACCCCTCAAGGGATTATCGTATCTGTCACCAGATACATATACTTTTTTTTTTTAGATTTTTAAAAGGGATTTTCTGGAATAAAATCAAGCAAACAAACAAAATAAAGCACAAAACCTCATCTATAATTTCGTAACTCGTTATAGTGTACACGGATGGTGAAGATCATGGTGGGGGAAATAGGTTATTGGTCACATGGTCAGGAAGTATAATGATGGGGGTGATTTTTCATTGGGGAGATATGACCTTGAAGCCAGTCGATTAAGGAAACCAATCACTGCTGCTGCGGCTGTTGCGGCGGCTGGTGTGGCTGTTGGAACTGGGCAGGGTACTGTTGAGGGAACCCCTGAGGCGGGAACTGGCCCGGAGGAGGGTAGTATTGTTGAGCTTGCGGGTGAGGCATACCTTGAGGGATACCTTGAGGCACACCCTGGGCCACACCTTGAGGCAACCCTTGAGGCGGTAAGCCCTGAGGCGAAGCGACATGTTGAGGCTGTTGCTGTTGCTGTTGAGGTGCTGGAGGTTGTTGACCGGGCTGGCCCTTGTATTCGTAGCCCTTGCGTCTATTGTTGGTGGCGTTGGGCAATTCCTCAAGCTTAAACGGACGAGGCACGTTCTCTTCGTTTTCCGCCACGTACAAGTTGCGGTCGATCTGGGCGGGGATGGGCTTAATCTCGGTGCCCAATTCTTGCTCGATCTTGTACAACAGGTAGCGGTCGTTCCACGACATCAAGTTGATGGCAAGACCCAAGTGGCCGAACCGACCACTACGCCCGATACGGTGCAAGTAAGTTTCGGCGGTCTTCGGGAAGTCGAAGTTGATGACGACATTGACCGCCTGGATGTCGATACCACGGGTCAAAAGATCCAGACACACGAGGTTACGCACTTTCCCTTGGCGGAACTCGTGGAACACCTTGTTTCTTTCTTGTTGAGGCATCTTGGCGTGCAGGTAGTAGCACGAGTAGCCCAATTCGGTAATCTTTTTCGCCAACAATTCCACCCGGTTCGTCAGGTTGCAGAAGATGATCAGCTGGTTGATTTGTAGCTTGGAGAATAACGTGTTGAGACAGTGTAACTTCTGTTTTTCTTCGACAAACGCGTAGAATTGCGAGATCCCGCGGAGGGTCAATTCGTCCATAAGGTTGATTTCGTAAGGCTTGGTGAGGTGCTGGTCCATAAACGACTTAACCGCCAACGGGAACGTCGCCGAAAACAAGAGCAGCTGGCGCTGCTTAGGGAAAAACGCCAAAATCTGTTCGATGATCGCCTTAAATTCACGCGACAACATCTTATCGGCTTCGTCCATGACAAAGATACCACACTCGCTTAAATCAGCGACTTTTCTCAGCGCCAAGTCCAACACTCTCCCCGGGGTACCCACAAGCACGTGCACCGGCTCCGACAACCGCACAATGTCATCACGCAACAGGGTACCACCGGTGGTCACCATACATTGGATTTGCAAATGCTTGCCGAGCGTGCGCACCACTTGCGACGTCTGCAACGCCAACTCCCGCGTCGGCACTAATATGAGCGCCTGGATCTTGGCCACTTTCGGCTTGATTTGCTGTAAGGTAGGGATGATGAACGACGCCGTTTTACCGGTACCGTTTTTGGCCCGGGCAAGCACGTCGCGGCCGGCGAGGGCCATGGGGATCAGCTCTTCTTGAATTGGCGACGGCTTTTCAAACCCGGCCTCGAAAATGCCCATGAGGAGCTCGCGTTTGAGGCCAAAGTCTTCAAACGACTTGCCCTTAGTGTTGAGCACATCCTCGGTTTGTGGACGCGTGTCCTTGGGCGGTAAATTCAAATTCTGTTTCCAGTCACTCATCGCACTGGGGGTGAAGGTTTCAAGCGGTCGTTATCTAACGGGGTTAGTCGCTATTTGATAGGTGGCGAGTAAAGTGAGTGGATTGGATATCGACGATATAAAATTTTCAGTGCGAAGTCACGTGGGAATTGGGGTGGGGCTCATAACGACGACCACCCCTTGATTATGGTTGGTATATGGTATATGATATTCGAGGGTATCAATTGTATATTGCGTTAAATGTTCTTAGATGAATTGTATGCTAGAGGGGGGGGTTAGATTTGGGGATGCTGATGGATGTCGTCGTCGGGTCGGACAATGAAGTAGGCGAGCCGGGGGTCAACTCCCGCTGCCTCCATCTGAGGGAGCATCGGGGCGACGATGGCATCGTCGTTGACGGTATAAAGAAGGCCCTGGGCGCTTAGCTCAGCGGTATTAAGATTAAATGGGAACACACACGACTCATTGGTACACGTCTTAAGAGCCTTGGTCGGCTGGAGCACTTGCTGGATGAGGGGACTAAAACATAACGGACAGGCCTCGGACATGGAGGGTGCGACTAAACTGGCACTCGGTGATTACAGCTGTAGTATCATCAATAAGACCGAAAACGTCGACAGAACTAGTTTTGAATTATAGACAACTTTCATGGTCAATAACAATTCAACATAATTGATCATTGACTAATTGACACTTTAAATCTTACAAACAGTGATAATTTTGTGGAATTGACAAAATGCTAGTAGAGCTCAGCAAACTAAATCAAAAACAACTATAGTAACCGATTTCAATGATTTCGTGGCTTCAATGACTGTGATTACTATGACAATCACTCACTTTTACTTTACTCACTTCAATTTCCATTAGTATTGTTTTCCATGGACTTATTATGCTTACTGTGGTCATCGCGATAGCGTTGCTAGCGCCACATCAGCAACGGCCGTACCGTCAATCCTAATGATTTCAATAATAAATATGGTCAATTCCAAATATTTTACATTTATTTTATTGAATAACTTCTTGGCTAGTGACCGATCTTTTTCCCCTTCTCTTTATCTCATTCATCGCGACCATACATACTATGAAGCTCAGTGCCGATACCATACTGGGTCTCCAGAGCCAACCGGAGAACATTCGAAATATCTGTATCTTGGCCCATGTCGACCATGGCAAGACGTCGCTCTCAGACTCGTTGGTGGCCACCAACGGGATCATCTCCCAGAGATTGGCGGGTAAAGTCCGCTACCTCGACCTGAGAGAAGATGAGCAATTGCGGGGGATCACCATGGAAAGTTCCGCCATTTCCTTATATTTCAAAGTGGCTCGACGCAAAAGAGAGTCGGAAGAAGTCGATATCCGTGAGTATCTCGTCAATTTAATCGACTCTCCGGGACACATTGATTTCCTGAGTGAAGTGAGTACTTCCGCCCGGTTATGCGACGGGGCGCTTGTCCTCGTCGATGTGGTGGAAGGGGTGTGTTCCCAAACGGTAAACGTCCTTCGTCAGTGCTGGGTGGATAAGCTTAAACCGATCCTTGTCCTCAATAAGATTGACCGGTTAATTGTCGAGTGGAAGCTTAGTCCACAAGAAGCTTACCAACACATGTCGCAAGTGATCGAACAGGTTAATTCGGTGATTGGGTCGTTCTTTGCTGGCGACCGGTTGGCTGACGATTTACAGTGGCGTGAACTGGGACAGACTGAAGAGTTCGTTGAACGGCTGGATGACGACTTATACTTCACTCCCGAAAAGAATAATGTGGTCTTTGCACTGGCCATTGACGGTTGGGCGTTTAACGTCAATACATTTGCTCTGATCTATGCTGCTAAATTGGGGTTTTCGCATCAAGTGCTCGCCAAGACGCTTTGGGGGGACTTCTACCTCGATATGAAGAATAAGAAGATTGTGCTGGGGAAGAAGGCCAAACAGGGACAAAAGCCGCTTTTTGTCCTGCTCATTTTGGACCAAATATGGGCCATCTACGATAGTTGTGTCATTGAACGAGACCAAGAAAAATTGGAAAAAATCGTTACCAAACTCGGAACCAAGATCAACCAACGTGATCTTCGACTGAAGGATCATAAGAATTTGCTTAACTTAATCATGTCCCAGTGGATCCCGTTATCACATGCCATCTTAGGTAATGTGGTGGAATTCTTGCCTAACCCTATTGACGCTCAACGGGATCGATTTGGTGGGGTGCTTAGTGAAGCGATGGGGGAAAACTATGCTGAAAAGCTTGATGCTGGTCTCGTGAAAGCCATCGAGCTGTGTGATGCTCTGGACCCTGAAACTCATACTTTGGCCTACGTGCTGAAACTCTTGCTGATCCCTGAAGAAGAGTTACCTAAGGAGATCGGAGTGACGTTAACCCATGAAGAGCTTATGGAGAAGTCCCGTAAAGCTCGTGAACTCGCCAAGAAAGCCAGTGAAGCCGCCCAAGTGCAAGCACCAGTGGACGACTTCGCTGCCCCTGAAGCAACCAAAAAAGATCCCTTTGAATGGGAATTTGAAGAAGATGACTTTGAAATTGGTGGTGGTGATGATGAAGTTGATGAACCAGTTAAGGAAGTGTTGGTGGCGTTCACTCGTTTATACCTGGGTCTGCTTAAAAAAGGACAACGCGTCACCGTTATTGGTCCCAAATACGACCCTGAGCTTGGCCCCGATCACCCGCAAAATGCTGACCAAGTGAACCACGATGTGGAAATTACTGACTTGTTCCTCTTTATGGGCCGTGAACTTGTGAGATTAAATGAAGTGCCTGCGGGTAACATTGTTGGTGTCCAAGGTCTTGATCTGGCAATCCTCAAATCAGGTACTATCTGTACTGGTCCTCCTCCCTATATCAATTTAGCAGCATCGCTGACGCTTATCCACAACAAGCCAATCATGAAGGTCGCCGTGGAACCGGAAAACCCGATGAAACTCGCCAAACTTGAACGCGGGCTCGATTTGCTTACCGCAGCCGACCCGGTCTTGGAATGGTACATTGACGACGATCTGGGGGAGATCATCGTTTGTGTGGCGGGTGAACTTCATTTGGAACGGTGTCTCAAAGATTTACAAGAACGGTTTGCTAAAGGGTGTGAGGTGATGATTAAAGAACCAGTGATTCCGTTTAGAGAAGGGCTTGCTTCAAAGGAAGCCAAGACTGTTGATAACGGTAATGACGACGACGAAGAAGAAGAAGAGGAGTCCCTCCCCGGGATCGACCTCGAGTTTGCCGTGGAACCCCTTGACTCCCTGATTACTGAATGGCTTATTAACCATGAAGCCGAGCTTAAACTGTTGACTAAACTGTCAGCACACCGGGAGTCATTGGAAGCCCTGCTTAGGGAAGTGTTGGATGCCGCTAAAGTTTCGTTTAAAGTTGACGATATCGTTGCTGCTGGTCCTCACCGTATCGGGCCTAATTTGTTAGTGGAACAGCTGACTACTCCTCAATACCGTCGTCTTTTTACTAAAGGTACTGATGATGACCGGTTCATCTTTGAACCTCAGGTGATCCAAGGGTTCCAATTAGCTACCCAGGAAGGTCCCTTGGCTCTGGAACCAATGCAAGGTACCGTAACCTACATCACTAAATGCCAGCGTGATTTGGCCGTGGGTGAAGATGAAATGGTACCGCTGGGGGCAGTGATCAACTTTACGCGTCTGGCCATTAATGCCCAGTTCTTAGCCCACGCTCCTCGTTTACTTTTGGCGATGTATACTTGTGAAATTCAAGCCACTACTGAAGTGTTGGGTAAAGTTTATGCCGTGGTACAAAAGCGGGGCGGGCAAATCATCAGTGAGGAGATGAAGGAAGGGACGCCGTTCTTTACGATTGTGGCTCGTATTCCAGTGATTGAAGCGTTTGGGTTCTCTGAGGATATCCGTAAGAAGACGCTGGGCAGTGCTCTGCCGCAATTGGTGTTTTATGGGTTTGACGTGTTGGATATCGATCCGTTCTGGGTTCCTCATACTGAGGAGGAATTGGAAGAACTTGGTGAGTTTGCCGAGCGTGAGAACGTCGCTCGTCGTTATATGAATACTATCAGACGAAGAAAGGGGTTGTTTGTCGATGAAAAAGTGGTCCAACACGCCGATAAGCAACGGACTATGAGAAAGGATTAAATATTATTATGTAATTAGTCTTAATATACCATCATCTACCACTATACTGTAATTAATCATCATTTACTTTAGGAATCCAATTAGAATTTACCTACAAGCTAGTTTGATCGGTGTTAATAATAATTTTGATTGTCGTTGGTAGTTACCCGTGGGTCGCACTAGTAGGGCAAATTTTCCCATTCCCCAACGTAATCCTAAATTTTATCTATCTTATAACCAACCAAAACTAGACCTAATCAATAACTAAGATCAAACTAGATCTATTAGTCTCCATCACCATAGCCAGAAACCACCACTTCGAGTTGGCTCCACACCGTCACCCACTCGCACGAAAAATTGCCTCGATCATAGTTAAGTAATACTTTTACCACACTATTCCTGCGACCATGGGGGACGAGCCGACCAACGTGGTGGAGCCGCAGCTCGACCCCAAACGGCTTTTCGAGCTCGTGCTGAGAAACTACAAGCTGTGGCAAGAGGCGATGGCCCGCGACGGCGCCAGCCTCGACAGTGGCTACCCCCGATCCGGCACCGCCGCCATTCCTGACACTGCCAGCGAGACGCCCCGGGACTTCGACGGCGACATGGGCCAGCCCATCCTCAAATATAACTTGCTTGAGCTCTTGGAAAAGACCCCGGGGGAGGTCGATCTCCATGCTCTCATCGCCAAGGCCAGCCGAGATGGCGTCGACACTCCCCCGCCCCTGGCGTCGCTGGTGCCGCAAATAGCCCCGGCATCATCACTGGCACCGCTGGCACTGATACCGCCACCTCCCACAAACTCGGAGCCGGTGACGCTAGGAATGACGGGGATACCTGATCGCGTCACCGAACTGATCTTAAACGAACAAGAAATAGACTTCTTGCGACAAAAGATCCTGCAAATGATAAATTTCCGACCTCTGGCAGCGTCAAATGCCGCCACCCAGGGAGGCATGAGTCTCTATGACACTCAGGACGAGCGGGGCATTGTCGACGACGATGACCAGGACGACTACGACTTGGACGAGCTTGCCGCCGACGAATACTATAAGTCGCACCATATCGAGGTCGAACTCAACCTGCATCGTCACGACGAGTGTACCTGTGGCGACGATCACGCCGAGGACGGGCCCACGTGTGAGTTTACGTTCGAGTACGATAACCTGGGTAAATTGGTGCCTACTTACTCCAACGTCGAAGAGAAACTACGGCTCATGGGGCTCCAACATAAATTAGGCACCAATGGCGCCATGAAGCTCCCGCTGATTCTGGAGCTCAACCTAATCGACCAGGCAGCCGCAACCTCATCATCGGCCCACCCGCAACTGGCGCCATCGCTGCTGCTGCTGCTGAAAAAGAAGAAGCATAAGAAGAAAAAGAAGGCCGAGCAAAAGCAAGCCGCCGCTACTAATCACGCGTCTTCCCACTCACAATCAGCACCACCCGCCTCGTCAATGCTCGCCCCGACTGACTGCTGTCTCTTTTGCGAGTACCAATTCGTCTACGGGAAAAAGCCTCGCCAGATGATCAAATGGTATAATCAACGGTTACGGCGGGAGGAACAACGACGCCAGGAGATCAAGCGCAAAATCGAGAGCGTGAAGCAGCGGGCCATCAAACGACAACAGCACCGTGCTGACGCCGAGGAGCCGCTTTCCCACCCGGACGACCATGATGACCACGGCGACAGCGAGTGCTACGACGACGACCACCACCACCACGCCGAACTGTGCCCCCACCACCACCACCACCAGGGCGACGCTTGATGCCGTTGCCATCTTTCGCATATATCACTTTCGCTTATGTCATGCATTACGTAATCAACACCACCTTCAACTTCGCACGGATTGTAGAGTAGTACACACAACCTAACTTCAACCGTTAACTTACTACCCAATTTATGTTCTCTCATAGCCAGTCCCAGACGCCGATACCCGCGGGTAATTACCACGAGAAGCTCGCTGAGACCGTCACTTGGGTTAAGGACTGGTACGTGCCGGTGCTCCTGTCCAATAACGAAAACAACATGGCGAACTCGATGCGATTAATGGGGTGGTTTAAAACCAATATGAGTCACAAACAAGTGACCGACTTGACAATTAACGACAACGACGTGCTTGACTTAAACCAATTTCCGTACCAACAGTCGGAAACCGTCGCTGAAAAGGTTGAAGCCGTTGAAGACACGACGCTGGGGTTGGACAAGCTGGAGTTGCACAACGCGTTGTCGTTGGACAAGGACGAAGGCCAGATCCTGGGATTGGGCTAAAAAATGGAGGTTATGTTGTTTATGTCTTTTACTAATAAATGCTTGGTTGGTTTGAAATTATATATATATATTCTCGTTAACTCTATAATTTACGACTGACTGGGTTTGAGGGCGACAAACAGGATGGCTTGACGGGCTTCGGCGACGGCATCGTATAAATCACTGGCGGTTTGCGGGGTCCACCGCTCTCCCTCAGGGACGGCAGTAAGATCGACATTGTCTCTAACTTTACGTTTCCATTCACGCTGGAGTTGTTGCAATTTAAGCATCGACTTTGGTGACTTCAGCGTCGAACACACAATAAGCATCGCTTGTGGCGGCATCTGCTCGTATATCTTATTGATGCGAGCGATAGTAGCGGCTTCTTCAGCGTCTTGGTCAAGCTGGGGGCCCAGATAGGCCATGGGTGGTTTCAGCCATCCCCGACTAAACTCAAGTTGACGCATGTTAAGCACAACAAATCGTTTGTCGGTACCGTTGGCAACATAAGTTTCAACCACTTCATCATCATTAGTTACTTTAACTGACGACAGATGAGATTCAATTGACCAAAGATCTGATGGTTGGTATTTTTGGTAAGCAATTGATAATCCCAGGAAGTTCGGATCGACTTTAGCCAAATGAGCAAACATCGGCTCTTCACCCAAGCTTTTGCCATAGAATTTACCCTTGATGAGTTTCAATTTGACGAGATCAAGACAAGCGGTGGCGTCTTCCACCGATGAGTGACCAGCACCAGTAGCCTCCCCCGTTTGAATGTAACGATCCAAGTGTTTAAGTGCCAATTGACGAAGCGAGGGCTTAGACGGAGGACCATTGTCGTGATCGTAGATGACCGCGGTATCAATAACGTTTGAATGCTTCATTCTCAATATGCTCAAGTCGTGCTCAAGTGAATGACCAATAAGGACATCAGACGCCGATACTGTTGCCATAATTTTATCCTGGATATCTCGGAGCGTCGTCGTTACCCCTTCAAGCAATTCTTCAGTGATCCCCAGGAATTTCGTCTTATAATCAGTGATTTCAGCATCAGGACGCACAAATTCGTCAAACACCACCTCGCCTTGGAAGTTGACTAACGATACCCGTGTAATGACCTCCTCTCTGCCAGCAAGACACATTTCACAATCGAGAGCAAAAATAGTCAGCCCTTCGTGGTCAAAGGCAATGGTTTCACGCCAAGTATCGTCATTAGCAGGAAGTTCCAACGGATATCTGTGCTCTTCCAATTGGGCTGGCGTAAGTAACAAGTCCTTGATCACAACGGTATGTTTCTCGCCGCGAGCCATTAAGGTTTTCCTTTCAGCTTTTGAGATTCGAGTGCTAATAAACGCCTGGTAAATAGAGTAAAGCGACTCTTTTGACCCGGGTGCGGTACTGAGAATGGCATCATTGAATTGGGGCATTTCTGGACATAGGATTGGGTGGAATTGGCCTTTTGCCAAACCGTCGGGAGCATACTTTGACTCTTCAAGCCCCGGAACGATGGCCACCACCACGCTCGACACGTTATGAGGGTTGGTTACGTCAAACCATTTGGAGTGATCACGTGTCTTCGACCCTGAACCAAACACATGGAGAATAAGGTTCCGGAATAGCGGTACGCTAAACCGACCAACGTGATCATTTGAAACAAGCTTGAATGTCGGTGGTAATAATCGCTTCGCTTTCTTCTTATGAACCTTAGCCGGTTTGGCAGCAGTTGACTCAGATTGTTCGAGTTTGGGACCCTTTTTGGTAGGTCCTGGTTTATCCACCGCCTGATGTGCCAGAGACCGACGACGCTTGGAAGGCTTCTTTGTAGTAGTAGGAGGATGTTGACTTCCCTTGCTGCTGTCAATCAGTTCAAACAGAACCACCAGGCTTCGGCGCAGGGTGTCGCCCATCTCTTTGCGGAGGGAGTCGCGCATCAATAATCCGTCGCGGTCGGCAGTGGATATCGATAGACGAGCGGCTCGTTGCGATAGAGGCTCTTCAATTTCGGGTATGCCCATTGAGTTCCATGTACGTGTTGTCGCGCGCTAGGGTATATCGCCGGCTCATCGATTTTTTGGGGTGCGCAGAGCACGGAATTTGTGTGCATGCACCGATTGTAGTCAATCAATTGAGGCACTGTTTAGTCAGTAATGTCGTTTGAAGCCCCCAATTCTTTGTAAATTTGTTCGAGCGTCATGATCTCGGGAGGGGCAGTTGTCTTCTTATCTGTGGATGGAGGGTAACCAATCTCTGTTAATACTGTAGCTAGAGCAGCAGTATCGGCTTCATCTTTAAACAAAGCCTTGTAGTTGGTTGCAAATTGACTGCATTGGGTTTCCAGAGTCACAAGGTATTGATCATCATTCAGAAATATCACCAGCTTCGCCGGTAATAGCACTCGATTGATCGTATCCCATGCCGCTGGAATGTATAATGAGATGTATGCTGGTATCCCCGTATCGTCACTAGCCTTTGCGGTGACATCCACTTCCCAAGAGTCACCCGCAATCTCGAGAATTGGTTTAGCTTCAGTCACTTTACTGAGAGTAGCTAACAATTGATCAGTACGGGCCACTACCCAACGCTCAACGTCATCGACCACCACGACCAGTGCTCCGTGTTCCATAGCCATAAGCCGTAAGAACTGTTGAGTACCCACCGATTGAGGGGAAAGCACATCCGGTTCAAGTAAGCGTTGATTAATGATGAGGTATAGCTTACAACTGAGCGGAAGATTAACTTCTCCAGCATCTCTGGACGAGGCAAACTTATAGATCGTTTGGAGATGCCGAATCGTCAGTTTAAAGTCCTGGTGAACAACGATAACAGTGGTTGCTGATACAGTTGGCGTAGACTTGATTAGCGATCCAATCCATTCGGTAACTGCTTGTGGGTGGTGGATGGTATAGAATTCGTCGTCGCCACTAGTATGGTAATCCACTGACGGCACGTCTCCTTCGATGAGAGTGACCACACGGTGTAGTCGCTTCGGCTGGGTCTTCAATTGGGATAACATTGGGTAAGGCGGTAAATGGTCAACACTAGCCTTGATCGCGCGACTTTGAGTTATATGGGAAGGGTGACAAAAATCGAATACCTAATGATCTGAGTAATTGATTTGGAGGCAGTTATTGGCAGATATTGAATTGGTGGTACTGTCATGTGGACGCGTGTGTGTGGCTTTTATGAAACAACATGAGTATATTGACGCGTCTGGTACAACTTCTGAAACATGACACTGCCTACAATTAACAAATGGAGAACAAATGACTGACTTCAATACTACACATCTCCAAGATGACTGAAGTGGAGGATTCACTTTGTATTGACGTCGAGTTTATTGAAAAGTTGAATGCCAGAGTTATTGAATTGGATGACAGTTACCACCGGTTTAAACGAAAGATCCTGGAAGGTCATAACGAAATGATCGAGTGTGTTTCCTATCTCCAACAGAAATTTGAAGACCAACAAGGAATCTTAGTTTCCCAACAGGATATGTTGGCATCACAACAGGAGATGTTGGAATCATTACAAATGACGTTGAATACCGTTGCCCAGGAATTACTGGCTCGCGACAAGGAACAGACTAGGGTCCAATACCAAAGGATTCGAACCCTGATACCTTGTCGGCGACGGCGTTCAATGGATGGGCCTGTCGACCTTACTCCATATTTACCATCAAAAATACCTCGTCCCTCACGATGCAGATAAAAATATACAATTATCACAACATGGTGTCGAGACCAGTGGTGGGGATTGCTTGTAGTAAACCTTCAGGAAGCGGTAAACCCAGGGGCACACGTGATCGGTATTGTTGATATTGTTGGCCATACATCTCCACAAGCGCCTTTTCTTCACGTTTGACTCTTAGCGCAAAAAAAAGTGTTGTCCCCGCCAACCCCACCACCATCATCAAGCGATTACCGAGGATCAACTGGGTCCCCACATCTAGTAATAATACACCAAAGTACAGTGGGTGTCGCATCACCAGATACAACCCACTGGTGTGTAGCAGGTGGCCTTGGCGTTTCACCCGCTCCACAGTATGATTGAACAGGTCACCACATTGAGCCATAGCTGACCAGCGCCACCCAAGTCCAAATAAAGCAATCGTTACTCCTAGCACGACTCTAACAGAATTCCATTGAGGCTGGAAATACCAGTGTTCAAGCCAGCCGACACTTCGAGCGAACCACAGGGTGAAGCTACCGTCATTACCCCATATCAAAAATGATCTGGGGGTTACCCGAGTCGATTGATAGGTAGCGATAGTGAGGAACTCACCGAGGAAGAAGCCAGCGTAGACTAGAGTGTATACGCAAATAGCATTGAGTGTGTGAGTGGAAATGTAGGTTAAGGCAGTGCCAATAGCAACGCCCAACCCTACTCCAGTGACCACATACTGGATGGCAATGGTTGAGGATACTGGTGGCATGGAGAATATATGGAGTGTGACCACTAGCCTCTATCAGAAATGATGGTACTGCACAATGATCCTACCCCAGATTCAGAAGGGCTTTGATTATCAATATTTAAATAAAGCTTTCCTGGTAAAATCACTGATAAAATGAGTCAGTCATTATTGTAAGTGTAACGCCAGCAAATACCAGCATCTAACATTGTGATTGATTTGTTAGCAAGACTGCTATTTTGAAGTTATGGTGATATTTGTTTACCTTGAGCTTACCAACTAGTCCCATACTTTTGAGACATGATAGTAAAATCAAGTATTCATTATACAATTGCTGACTAGTATTTTATTTCACCTTTAATTCTCCCTATATACTTCGATTGATGTTAGTCGTGGTCAGCGCTTACTAAGCAGTCGCGGTATGTCACATCTCACCACCATAGCTAGCCAGAGCTCACTCTCAATCCACACTTTGCGATCCCACCCCCCAGCATGGACGCGTCGGGGCAGCTACTACCGGAGGCAGTCGACTTGGGGCTCGACGGCGAGGCAGTGCCTAACGACAACGACATCGAACAGCTCTTCCGCGAGCGCAAAACCAAGCATGCCGACGACGCTATCGATTATGAGGATATCGACGAATTGGCGGACGACGAGCTCCCCGAGGAGACGGAGCCGACCACTAAGACGGCCGACGATGATTTTTTCAATGAATTATTAGGGGATGACGAACAACAGCAGCAGCAAAAGGCCGACGACAGCTTTAACGATATCTTTGGCGATGGCGGCGACGACGATCTCCAACGGGATAAACAAGCTCGGTTCGACGACCACAACAATTTAAACGCATTGGATACCCACCACGATATGATGTTTGACGACGACGGCCTTGGCCAGTTAGTTGGTGAACTGTTTATGGATGACGGGGAGGTGTTTGACGCTCGTCCGGTGAAGAGAGGTCCGCAGACGGAGATTGCCAGGGAAGAGAAACGGCAGAAGTTGGCCCTGGTGGTGGCGAAGCTTGAGAAGTACCAGGTGAAACGTAACCTACGGTACCACTTCCCCACGTTCTCACCCAATAAACCGTATAATTTCCACTTATTCTTCCTTCCAAAGCCTCAATACTACCGCTACCAAACCCCAGCCATTGCTACCAGGGAACAAGTGAAGCCGTTAGTGCCGACTAAGCTCCAATTTGAGATAAACGTCGACCAACGGAAAATCTTCAAATCACGCAAACTCCGGTCTCCCGCCCCGCCTAATGTCACCAATATCACCGAGGCCGACCTCCAGCTCATTGAGGATGTCCAGCGCAAGCGCCAGGACAAACTGCAATTCATTAAAAGCATCGACTTCTTGCTGGGAGACTGGTGTGAAAACGACCGCTTTGGCGACTACAGCAAGGAGCTTATCCTTGCCACTACTGACTGGGACGACGAGCGCATTTATGAAGGGGCACCGGCAGCCTCAAGCACGACTGTGGATAACAATTTGATGGACATCCGCCTCGACCAGGACGCGGAGATGATCGACGACGAAAGCATTTTCCTGGGCCAGATCGCCGATAAGGTGGTCAACTTGGACATGAATGACCCTAACCTTATTTTCATCCCCACTAAGGACCGTCCTGCGGCTCCTAAACCCCCTACTCTGCAACAGCAACTGCTGGCGCTGGACCAGCTGTTGATCCAACGATTCAACTTCCTGAACGACAAGGCCTACGAACGGTTGAAGGAAAACTACATCACCAAGGTGCGTTCGCAACTTTCCAACTTGAATATCGAGCACCTGGTACCGGCACTCCGTCTCCAATCGCCGTATTATAAGGTTAAATTGACTAAAGAAGAGGCGCGTAACTTCCACCGCAACCGGCTTGTCATCCGTCCCGGTACCCTCGTGCTGTTCTCAAAGCTTCGTGTGCGTAAGAAGAAGAAGGATAAGGGCAAGACGTTCCAGGAAATCTTTGCTCGTACCTCCGATCTCACTGCTGCCGATAACTGTCAGTTGGTGGCGATGGAGTACCTGGAAGAGTACCCTCACATTTTGCTGAACTTCGGGATGGGGTCGAAGATCATCAACTACTACCGCAAAGAGCTGCCTGACGATACGCTGCGGCCAAAGCTTCAAATCGGGGAAACTCACGTGCTTGGCCCTGAAGATCGACTGCCGTTTTGGAACTTCGGTGAGGTGGGACCGGGTGACTTTGTCCCGGCATTGTACAACAACATGGTGCGGGCGCCGATCTACCGTCACACTCCCCGCAACACCGACTTTTTATTCATCCGTCTGAGTGGTAATGGCCTGCATCAACGCTACTTTTTGCGGACGATAAACTATAACTATGCCCTCGGTAACTCGTTCCCGGCGGTGGAGATCCCCGCACCTCATTCACGTAAGGTGACTAATACCCTGAAGAACCGCCTCAAGATGATTGTCTACCGGGTGATGAACAAAAACGGTGTGGCCCGGGTGCTGGTGAAGGATGTGCTGAAACATTTTCCCGATCAAAACGACATGCAGAACCGACAGAGACTCAAAGAGTTTATGGAGTACCAGCGTCAAGGTGACGACCAGCGTTACTGGAAGGTAAAGGGGCCTAATAGCGACATCATCCCTCCGGAAGATGAGATCAGAGCGATGATTCTGCCCGAGGACTGTGCGTTGTTGGATGCAATGCAACACGGGCAGCAAGTGCTTGAAGATACTTACGCCATTTACGGTGGTGACGAACATAAGAAGGCCGAAGCCAAGCGGGAGCGGGAAGAACGCAAGGAGAAGAAGAGACGCGAAGAAGAAAGAGCTAATGATCCCGAAGGGCCTGAAGATATGGATGATGACGATTTGCTGAAGAAGAAGCGCAAACCCAGAGACCCTGACGCCGAAATCGACTTAGATGAAGAACTTACACCGTGGTCACTTACCAGAAACTTTGTCACTGCCAACCAACTGAAACTGATGCTTCAGCTTATTGGTGAGGGCGATCCTACCGGTATTGGTATCGGGTTCTCGTTTATGAGAGCAACGCAACGGCAACCGTTCCATCCTCTCCACCCGCCTCCTAAGGAGCTGGTACCGAAAAATAACACCGCTGCCTATCAACAAAAGCTCTACGAAGCCGAAATCAAACGGATCTGGTACACTCAGCGGAAACTGCTTGTCGACCATGGTGACCACAATTTCAACCTCAGCAAAGAAATTTACACCGATTACCCGCCAGTGTCTCACACTAAGGTGGTGCACCAAATGACCCGTGACGAGAAGATGATGGGCAAAGTGCTTAGAATCACCCGTCGGGTCAGAGACGAAAACGGTATTGTTCAGCGTAAGATTGAGACCATCACCGACCCTCGGGTCATCCGCGCCTACATTCGCCGACGCAAGCAAATTGATTACGAGCTGTTGAAGAACGCTGACTTAGGCGAAATTCGTCCCGGCACTAACGAAGAGATGAACGAGATCAAGAAGCAAGCGCTTAAGGAAAAGATCGCGCTGCTTGAGAAACGGGCCAAGATGAAGAAAACCGGTGCGGCTAACCGGGAAGCGGCGGCTGCAGCGCAAAGCGCCTCTGGTAGTACGGCTCCAGGGCTGACGCCGGGGCTGGTGCCGCCGATGGTAGCATCGCCCAGTGCATCTGGCAGCAACGTCGCATCGCTGCCGGCACCGCAGGCTCCTCCCAAATCGGGCAAAGGCATCGGTAAAGGGAAGCTGAAGGCGCGGCGGTGCACGCTGTGTGGCGAATTTGGCCACATCAAGACGAAGAAGACCTGTCCCAACTTCTTTAAAAACGACCCTGACGCCAACGTCCCCGAAGTGTTTGGCCCCGGGCTGAGTCTTGTCGGTGGAGCCGACGACTCGCTGAAGGCGGCCACCGAGATCAAGGCCGCCTTTGCGTTGACGAACCAAGTGGAGGACGACTATGGCACCCCCGCCGACACTCCTCAATAACGACATCTTTCACACATCCCACAAATATACCATCGACAAATACCTTTAATGTACAAACTGGTTTGCAAACGAATTGCATTGCCATTGGTAAACAAAGACCCACTTATTTCTCCTGTCCGCTGCACAAGCATGTTAATGGAGCATACTGGAGCATATTACTTTGTACATGGAGATACATCAGAGGGGAAAATTCCATGGGCCATTTGTAGAGGGTAGAGCCGAGGAGATGGAGACTGGCGTGTGTCTCTCGTCACTTTGTCTTCGTAAACGTGTTATTATTGTTTGATACGTGTCTTGTTATTGGTTTTAGTATGGCTTAGCCTAGACGGAAATACAATAGACGATTGTCCCGCTATTTTTGAGCCTGGTTCGCGATTGGTCGAATGAGAGACAATGGCGGGCAGATTGGGGGTGTGAAAGGGATTTGCGAGTCCAGACGTCATCATCGGTTATCGGGACCGGGGAAAAATAGGGACATTATTGTACGTACATCATTACACAGGGGTGGCGGTGACGTTATTGTCACCTTTGGTTTTGTGGACTGTGGCCACACGGCATCCTTCTTCAGGTACGGCAAACTGATTACGGGAGCACGCCGTCGACAATTTTTTTTGACGGTGTGTCGCCATGACCTGCGTACAATCACGTTCATTGTTCTCACCTTGTGAGGAAGGACGTCTATTTTTCCCTCTGACCCGTCTGGCAGCGGAATGAGGCTTGTGATAAGAGGCCTTGGCTACGAGAAGACTACAACACCTCGGCTCCAGATTAAGTTGGGAATTATCAGGTAGGATGGCTTAATTGTGAGGTCGAATGGGGCATATGGAGGCGACGGGCGTCAGGGCGATGATGCGAGGCATTTCATCTCGCCTATTGTGTGCGGGTATTCCCGCCTCGAATTTTCACGGGGGCTGATGGAGAGACGGCAGCCACTGGCGATGGTCGGATGAGGGGGAGCCTGTGGTCTGCGGTTAATGGACCCAGGGCACATGATCAGCATACGCACAAACCGCCAAGTCGCCCCAGTGAGGCACGGCTAGAGTTACCTTAAGGTCCCTTTCAGCCCCGTGTCAGTTAGAGGCTTCTCCTTGGAGTAATACGCTATGTACGGAATGGAGGCACCTGTCCCTCCATTGCTTAGATGTATATGGTTGGTGATAAGCTTCACCGCTTGCCAGGGTCCATTTGCCTCACCTTTGTTGGTACAATCAGCACATTGTGTGGCTCGATGAGGGGGTGGGGGTGCTGGGCGATGAGGTGGCGACGAAATTCACATCCTGGCACGGCTACACTGCTCGCCCGCCTTGAAGGCAGTCTACGCCCGGTTTCAAAAAGAAAAAGTATTACTTTTAAAGGTGAATTAGTTCTTTGTTGATAGTGACAATTGACGGGGGACGATTTATATGGGTCGGGTGTGAGGCTCCTGTATACGGCTGCGGCACGCTGCATGCGCCCTGCAACGCCCACCAAATTAAGGTGTGGTAACCCGCTGGCAAGAAAAAATAATTACCTCAACGTCCTGAAGACGGGGGCTCCTACCTATAAGAGGCGGCTGATCCCGATGCCACCGGCCTCCTTAGGCGTAGCGTGATGTCGTACAACGAGAAACAAGGCCCTCACCATGAAGACGTCTTGGGCGTCGACGCCTACCGGCTGCTGCTGATGGTCGACGACCTGAACCTGGCCTACACTTTGGAGACGGTCGAGTACGGCACCCGCTGGCAGCGGTTTGTCGACTCGTTCAAACCGATGGACTTGGACGAGGTCGGCATTGACACTACAGGGATGACGCCGATGGAGAAGCTGGTGATCGCTACTGCCCGCCACCCGTTGGCGCGGAGATTGAAGTCTCGCCATTTGCAGATGATTGCCATTGGTGGGTCCATTGGTACCGGTTTGTTTGTTGGTCTGGGGTATGCGTTGTCTCAGGGTGGTCCCGGTGCCGTGTTAATTGGGTACGTCTTGGTGGGGTACTCGCTTTTGTGTGTGATCAATGCCTTGGGTGAGATGTCGGTGCAATTCCCCGTGCTGGGGCTGTTTAACCTGTACTTCTCTCGGTTTGTCGACCCTACGTGGGGTTTTGTTCTCGGTTTGTTATACGCGTGTTCGTGGCTCATCTCCTACCCTTCAGAACTCGTGGCGTGTGCCATGACCATTGGCTACTGGCGACCAGACGTCGACGGGGCCGTATGGGTCGCCGTGTTCTGGGTGGTCATTTGTCTGGTGAACATGTTTGGCGTTAAAGGGTACGGGGAAGTGGAATTCGTCCTTTCCTTCCTCAAGGTGATCGCCGTGATTGGGTTCTTGATTTGTGGTCTTTGTATCATTTGTGGTGTTGGTGACAAAGGCTACATTGGTGGCAAGTACTGGTCCAACCCCGGTTCATTTAACAACGGGTTTGACGGGGTGGCATCGGTGTTCATCTCCGCCGCCTTCTCTTTCGGTGGTATTGAACTTGTGGCTCTCGCCGCCGCCGAAACGGAAAACCCCCGCAAGTCGCTTCCCAGAGCCACTAAACAAGTGTTCTGGAGAATCACCATCTTCTACATTCTTACTGCCATCATCATCGGCTGTCTTGTTCCTTACACCAACGAAAAGCTCCTTGGTTCCGATGACCCTACCCAAAACACTGCCCTGTCTCCATTTGTCATTGCCATCCAAGAAGGTGGTATTAAGGGTCTTCCCTCGGTGATGAACGCCGTGGTGCTTCTCGCCATCATCTCGGTGGGTGTCTCCTCGGTGTACGGGTGTCTGAGAACGCTCGCTTCGTTAGCCGTCCAGGGTCTTATCCCTAGCTACTTTGGCTACATTGACCGTGCTGGTCGTCCCTTGGTGGCGATCATGTTCACCAACATGTTTGCCCTCTTGGGTTTCCTCGTCGATGCCGACGCTCAGCTGACGGTGTTCACCTGGTTCTTCTCTGTGTGTTCATTGTCGTCGTTCTTCACCTGGATGGCCATTTGCTACACCCACTTGCGGTGGAGATGGGCGTTGAAGGCTCAGGGCAGAGACACCGACGAAGTGATCTTCCGCTCGCCCATGGGTGTCTGGGGTGACTACCTGGGGATCGTGGTGTTGTTGTTTATCGTCGCCTGTGAGCTCTACATCTCCATCATCCCTTACGACGCCGAACAATTCTTCCAAAACTGCTTGTCGCTCCCCCTCATGATCGTCATGTACGTGTTGCACAAGACCTTCACCCGGCTGTGGAACATGCTCCACGTCAAGCTCAGCGATATCGACCTCGACACCGGTCGTCGTGAGGTCGATTTGGAAGTGCTCAAACAAGACATTGCCGACGAGCGGGCCGCTCGAAAACAGGCGCCATTCTATGTCAAGATCTACAAGATTTTCTGTTGATCAGTAAAATCTCTCTCCTCCTTTCTAAAATAGCTTTTAATTAATATCCTCGCGAAAATGTCTCGTAATTGCAAGTAGCGACGACCTGCCGTCACTTTCCGCTGCCACTTTTTGCCACTCGGACATCACATTTTTTTGAGGCGGGCTTTTGTCACCAGGCACATCACCGCCACATTTTACCCTAAATACCTTGGAGGTTCAAGCATCATAACCGTCTCAGATAAGCCGGGATTCCCTCTCCTCAAACAGGCGATGAATCTAAGGTACTGATCTATCAAACGCCGCCCATCTCTCCTTTTCTTCGTGATCCTTTGATTTCCACACCCTGCACGCTGCAGACACCGTGTGTAGTTGGTTGCCAACGTTTTTCGCCTTGTCTATTGTTCGGATGAATACTGGGCTCTGATCTACAGATCTCGCAGACACCTGTGAGCTCGGCTTAGGGTGCCGTACGTATTCCACGTAGGTTGCCCTTGCGTGCTACTTTAAGCGAAACTCTCTTTTGAAGACTGAACATGAGATAGACATTATTCTGATTACTGTCGCCAACCGAGTCGACAAGATATTGTATGAGACATTGTACGCCATACACGTCTCATATTTATACTTGAAAGTGATTTTTCAAATTTTTCAAAGGGGCTCGGCAGTGCATTTCCGGTTAGATTAGCGATGAGAGGTGAAATTTTTCTTGCCGTTAAATGTCACCCATGCGGACCATTTCAATTATGCCAAGGCTCCCACTATTTACAAGGAGTGTCGAATAATCAGATGGCCCTGGCTGACGCTGACGGGGGCAGTACATGGTGCCGGTGTCTGCAGTGGGCTCCTTAAGGCGACTGACACCTGAAAAAGCCGTGCTGTCGAGAGTAATTACACCAAAGAACAAGCTTTTAAACATAGAAAAGAAGAAGGCTTCCCGTAGGATTTGCTGTAATAGCCAATTAATGCTGGCTCTTGTCAATCATATGAAAATTTCGATCCTTCCAGTCACGTGAATGCTCACGTGATCGACTCACCGGTGCCAGTGACAAGTCTCACTGAAGAGTTGCGATTGTCGACGCCGTAATTGGTCCGTCGGAAGTCAACGGGAAATGACGTATAATAAAGCCCCGTATGCGTCACACTACACTTACCATAGTCAATTGGTTTTACGTAGCTCCATCTTGGCAAGTAGTTGTAGTCAATTGACCGATATTACGTCAAAGCTGTCAACGCTAAAAGTGGGCCAATTTCCCAATTGACAGGCCGCAGTACCCTGCAAACCTGAACCCTGCGGTAGGGTTCCAGGGGGACGTCGAAGCACGGGGTAGAGGCTTCGCTTGCGCATGAATGAATCGTTTATTGATATAATTGGATGGAGGCATTGGTGAAAACAGTTACTTGTTGGTAACGGCGTAGGCATCCTTGGGGTCGACCTTGGCGTTGGGCTTGGGCTTCTCCCCTTCGAAAAGGATGTTGTTCAACTTTCTCGACGCCTTGGGGTCGTCTTGCACCTGGTTGGAGTAATTCCAGGCCTCGGTGCCAGCACCGTACCGCTTAAGCAAGGCGTAGAAGAGACCAACGGTGACGAGGGTACCACCGGCGAGAACCAAGGTGGTGGGAGATTTAGCAGCGGGAGCAGGCATGATTGGCAGATGAATACAGGAGGTGTCTGAGCCAGGGCGATCGTCGACGCTTTTATACTGAGGGGGGGAGCCCCTCGGAGTATGAAGTTGCAGGGCTGCAAACATCAGCAATAATGATGGTAAAACCGACTAAAACCTCACCCCCACCATGGGAAACGGCTGAACAACGTTGTTTAAGGGTTCAATTGACCACAATAAGCGTCGCGTTTGTGGTTTTGTAAATGAATTGTGTTGCAATTGGCCGTTTACTTGACCTGACGGAACCACATGCGCTTGGTACCAGCATAAATGCCAGCAACTCAATCTAGGGTGATTTCCGCTGATGGTTTGAAACATTGGTCCCTCCTCATCATCATGAATCACTAAACATCGAAGCCACTTACTGGTACACTATCAATTCCAACGATTGAGCTAGAAATCGTCATTACCCCGCCATTTAGGCGCGACACGGTTGCTGTCGCGATCGGAAGCATCGGCTGGGCCCCCCACCACCACTGGTGGCTGTCAATTTTGACAACTATCCGTCACTTTGACTTGAGTAACGGTCACTCGGTTTTTCTCGGGGGTAATGTTGAGGGACGAGGCCACAAACCGTAGGTATACTTGGCGGTGAGATCATCAAACATTTAGGACAAACAAACACATAAAATTTGCAATAGGAGAATTAATGTATTGAATAAATATGAATCGTAAATTTCGTTAGGCACGTTCTTGGTGGTGGACAGTGTCGTCCAAGGTCTGGTTGTTGTATCGGCGGATGGGGGCCGTCTTGAAGTAGTGGCGCACCCCGACAAACAAGCCGGCGAACCCCACCGCGCCGATGGCGAGGGCGTTTCTCGGTTTCGAAAGGGTTTGGACAAGCATTGGAAGTTCTTTTCTTTTGTAAGTGGATAATGACCTTCCGAGACAAACCTGACCGCCCTTATATACTCCTTTCGTCTGCCAATTTATGACGCCATTTTTTGTCTTACACTTAATCGAATGACAGACTGTGCAAAAGTCACCCCATTTGGTGCGACTCGCACTGCGAAAATGCTGGAGTCACCCCACAAGGTGCGATTTTTTTCCTTAGGAAATGGCACCACTGGTCACGAGATTTCCCGCACGCGAACGAGGCGAATTTTTCTATTATTTTGCAGCCAAATGGGCTCATATAGGCATACTCCCCACTCTCGATGAAAAGACTGCAAAATTTCAGTAGCGACGCTGGTGAGTAGAGGTGGCGAGCACGGGGAGGAACTGGCCGATGATCAACATGGGGATGTCGAATATATCACGTTTCACCGTCCACACCAGACAGAACTCGATGTAGTCGTTCTGTTCAAGCCCCTTCATGGCATCGCCAGTTAAGTTTGACGGCACTTCGTCGTCGCCAGCAGTGTTTTTGATGAGTTTAAGCTTAGTCATAATACTCGAGTGTAAATTGCCGACGGCAATCAGCTTAAACAACTTGAAGTAGTTGATGATCAGCTCATCGTCGTACATGAGCTCCATAATGAATGTGCGTTTGCCCAAGATCTCGGCAATGTCAAACCCGAGAAGCGAGAGGAGGTCGTCGGTGATGCTAACAATCTCACCCGTGCGTCGCCACATCACGGTGGGAGACAGGTTGAGCTGGCCAAGCTTTTCGTAGTCTATGAGCGATCTCTGGAACGTCATCTCTAAGAACTGGAGATCATAGGGTTTCAATAAGTTTTTATGAGCACTGATGAATGTAGGCCGGTACAGGGCGATGAGCTTGAGGATAACAAGCAAATTGTGGCGTTTTTGGTGGCGCTGTTCCGGCAGAAGGTGAGGGCCCAGAAACCGCTTTTTAAGGAAATAAGTGAGGGCATGGTACAGTTGCGGGTAGTCGTAGTTCATCGTGTTGTGGGCATAGATGTCGTTGACCGTCTGGTACAATTGGTGAGTGGCTAACGGCAGCGTATAGGGCACTGGCGGGAGCAGTTCCGGCACCTGGCCCAAGTTGTGGTTTAAATTAGTCAGCAGCGATTCCAACGAGTGGACGGCCAGTCGATCAGGCTGCGATGAGAACCCTAACGAGATGAACGGCCTCAGTTCTTTTATACCTGAAGCAAACTCAAGGGGCATATCCTGAGGGTACTCCAGCGGCAGAGTCGGTTTCAGCTGGAGCAATATGTCACCAAGCATGAGATACTCCTGGTTCAAATAATTCAGCAGAAACGGTCGCAGAGGCGTACTCCTACGGCTGGGGACGTCCATGGGGTCGCCATCGACTTCGAGCGGCGGTTCCCCCGATAGTAGCCGCAGCATCACGTCCTTAGTGGTGTCCAACATGCTGTTAGGAGGCGCCGTCACCGGGTTTATCGGCAATTCGGCGACGAGGGCGTCGGGGACGGGGACGGGAGGGGTGGGTGTCACCACGACCAGCCCGGCGAAAAACGGTGCCTGCGGCGACGCGTCGCCGTTGTCGGAGCCTCCCAGGCGTAGCTGTTCCGGCAGCGAGTTGGTATGGAGGTATTTGGCCCGTTTGCGGATGACGTCGTGGCATTGGTGGCCGATGTTGCGTTTGACACAGTTCTTGCACGGGCGCTCGTTGGAGCACTGGAGGTGTTTTCGGTGGCAGAAAACACAGGCCCGCGACGCCGGTTTGCGTTCCTTCTTCTCCTGGGCGGATAGCTTTCTCGTCATTGGCCGGTAGACGGTGTGGGGTCGATGGTGGTGGTGGAGTCTGGGGAATCGCTCCCGGCGAAAAACGGAAATGCTTTAGTGGGGGAAGGAAACGCCGCGCGCGGGCACGACCCGGGGCTGCTCGCGACTGCCACTGTCCCGGTCGCACCTCCCGGCCACCCTCGGACAGACTCACACGACACGCGCCAAGAATGAAGTATGGTCAATTTTATTAGCGTAGTAATATTTACTTTGATCCATAGCTTTCGTATTCTTCATGAAATTATTGGTTATACCATTGCCCCCTCAGGTAACTCGTCAATTGATTATTTGGGCTTTCGAATAGGTACCCGATTCTGCCCGATCACCAATATCATCAACATATTCTACGCCAGTGTCCCCATCAAACCCTCGATGTCCACTATGGTGGTACTAGTCCATATTTAAGTTTAACTCCATTTGCACTCATATATAAACCACCATTCCCAGATTGCATACACCCATGGTCCCTTTGAACCGAAATCTCCTTCAGTAAGCACAAATGCTACCATTACTTAGCTTTTTGCAAGCATAACCAAAAACCTGTCCAGTCACGAATAAACTCTATCGTGTAAGACATTGTTGAAAGTTGCAGATTAAGTGAGCTTGAATAGACTTGGGTTCACTGAGACACTGTGATCGGCTGTAGTTGCAGTTCCTGCCAGTCTTAGTGAAATGAATTGCAATCGTTGTATTGAAAATCTCGGAATAATCAGGCTTTGAGGACGAGTTACCCCATCCAAGAGAAACAAATGCTAATATGCATAGATTGATTCTTTGGGGCTAAGACTTTTGAACACTTGGTAGGATAGATTTTCTGGTGTGTAGTTTTCTATCAAACATCACCTCTTGTCACTACACCGTTGTCATCGTGTTTGGTTGTGTATCTTGTCGTGGATCTAATAGCACACTAATATATACATGTCATTACTTACAACGCCGGTTGGGCCCCGGGGATGGGGTTGCCGTTGGCGTCAACCAACCCTTGCTGCATCATCATCAACTGTTCGTTACCGGCAGATTCAAACTGCAAACCCACACCTAATCTCGTCGACGCCTTGATCTGGTCGATTTCACCCGAGAACAAGATCGACACCGTCGGCAACACTCTCTTTTCCAAGAACGCCGCCACCTTACCGGTGGAGTCAAGTTGACCACGGAACACCGACTGGCGGTACTCGTACTTGGCACCAATGGTGGTTTGGCCTTCAACGACGGGTTCAAAGCCGATGGGGGTACCCATCATCGGGTCGGTGATAGGCTTCACCGAAGCGGCGATTTGCGTTTCGACACCAGCTTCGACCTTATCGGTGACCTTTCTCCAGAACGACGCCACCACCGAGCCTTGGGCTTGGATTTGCGCGGTGGCAATCCAGTTACCGGCGTTGTAACGGGCGACGTACGACACCGCCGAGTCAGGGGGGGCGGGGCCAGCTTGCTTCGAGTACATCGCTTCCAAACCGATGGCCAACTTGGGGGACACCGATTGCAACAACGACGCCACGGCGACACCGGAGAAGCCGCCGGTCAAGAACGAGGGGTTAAGGGTCTTCAAGTTGATGGAGAAGTCGTTGGCTTGGTAGTCTTGTTCCAATTGCACCATCAGCGGCTGGCCGCGGGCGATTTGAAGGGTCACCTTCAGGATGTTGGCCTTGTCCCAGCCGTAGTTGATTCTACCCGAGAACGACAAGTCGTTGTCGATGTTACCCTGGACGAAGTAGTCGTCGGTGGCGTACAACGCCAGGAAGGCGTAAGGGGGCAACACTTGCGACCCGATCGACAAGGTGTGCGAGGTTTGGAAGGCAGGTTGCATCGAGAACGCCTTGTTGAGGTCGGCTCTCAACCCGGTGAAGAAGTATTGGTTAAGGAACACGTCTCTCAGCACTTCCTTGGTCAAGTTTTCGATGGTGCCGGGGTTAATGAGCCCCAACAGTTGGCGGTGTTCGGCCAAGGTGGTGTAGACGTCGTTCAAGTACGAGAACACCGGGTTCAGCGACCAGATCCCGTTTTGCTTGGGGGGATCAGGCGTGACCTGGGGCAAGGTGGGGATCGCCATCTTGGTGATGTCGGCAATGGGCACTTGCGGTTGTTGGGACATGGTGATGGGTGAAAAATTTTAGTGCGAAATCGTCGTTGGTGAGCCTGGCCGAGACGGTGGTATTTGTCAGTAATAGGCGGAATTTTGTGTAGCCATTTGAGGAAAATCGATGGTTTGAAAGAAAGAGAGAAAAGTAGTCATTTGGAGATGATTTTGACTGAAACAATGGTGTAATTTTGGTGTTTAGCTGGTGGCGTAGAATATGGAGCTCTATGATTCGCGAATGGAGGGGCGGGAGCCCTGGACCAGTCACACTGACACCTAAACGAGGGATCAAGAATTCTGTGGATTCAGATTTTTTTGAGAGGGGTGTGGGGTTAATTAGTTTTGCAATTTAGAGTTTGAGATAGTAGCTTCGTCTCTCGATTTGATAGTGATTGGGATTATAATTTGGCCACGTAGGCCGTTGAGTCACGTACTTATATATGCGTACCTGAAACATCAACACAAGTAACATCAGGATATTCTCAGGTGGTTGAATGAAAGTCATTTACCCGCCATAGAATCCAACATATTCAGTCATCTCCATTGACCTTCTTCGGCATATGGTTTGGGAGAAGCATCAATTTACCTACGTAAACAATTGGTAATAAAACAGGTACCAAAAGTCTACGGTACGCTAACGATCTCATTCTTTTCAATGTCTCATCTCCTATTGAGCATTGGCGTTAGTTTAATTCCATCAATGTTCAAGGGACTACTCAAGCCATGTTTTATGATGAGTATGCAAGTCCACTTAACCTCAACCTGACTCCAATAAGTATACTGGATGAGTGCAATGATGCAATTGCATTGATAAACTTTCTGTTCGTCCCCAATTTTAGGAATCTTACGATATTGATCTCATTGATTTCTCTACTTCACACACCACGGTTGTGCGACACCATCAGTTCTACTCCTGCTCAGTTTCACACCATTGTTGACTACCCCTTACCCCTTTTCAATTGAACTCTCCTATTTAACTCCTCATCGTCAGATTTGTCCACTGCTTCCCATTTCGTCTCGAGGTGCTTCGCGGTCCGCTGCATGCCGCACCAGTGTTGCCCGATAGCCTCTATTGCGTCTTAAAGGAAACCTCGCACACACACCCTTGACCATCAATTAACACCATTGCACCATGCCCGTCCCCATAGTCAATGGCACCCTGAGTTTCACGGTGTACGCTGGCACCGAGGAACTCAAAGACAAAGCCGTGCAATTCTACACCGAAGTTATTGGCCTTACTCCGTTAAATAAGGGCAACGATACCACCTTTGTCACCTCCAAGGGACTCACGGTGAGAGTCCAGGTCGACGCTAATCGTGGGTTAACTCAATCGCAAATCGAAGAAAAGCGCCAGACTTTCCAAAAGGCTCTCCACGTCCACGACTGGCGGCTGATGGAACTGCTGGTGGCGCTTGAAGTGGAACTGATACTGAAAGTGCTCCAACGCCTCCACCAAGCCAATATCTCTCCCGTGCAACAAAGTCCTAACGATTTGTACCCTAATGAAGTCTACCTTTTAGATCCTGTGGGCACGTTGGTGGGCGCGACGGCGCTGACCAACCCGATCTCCTTGGTGTACCCTATGGAGAAACAACCGGCTAGTTGCAGCCAGTCGATGAAGCCACTGGCACTGGAAGCCAGTCTGCGGTCGGTAGCGACGCTGACGCCGAAAAGTAGCCACAACATCGCCGTGATGACCTCGGGTGGTGATGCCCCGGGGATGAACGCGTTTGTGCGGGCAGTGGTGCGTTCGGCGATCTACAAGGGGCTGAAGCCGTTTGTCATCTGTGAAGGTTATGAAGGGTTAGTTAAAGGTGGACCTAAATACATCAAGCCGATGCTGTGGTCTGATGTCCGTGGATACTTGACCATTGGCGGTACCATTATCGGTACTGCGCGTAATAAAGAGTTCCGTGAACGGGCTGGTCGGCTTGCCGGTTGTAAGAACTTGATTGACGCCGGTATTGATGCCCTTATCGTCTGTGGTGGTGACGGGTCGTTGACCGGGGCCGATACTTTCCGCGCTGAATGGCCGCTGTTGATCGAAGAGCTTTACCAAAAGAAACAAATCACTCAAGAACAATACGATAAGCACAAGCACTTGAACATTTGTGGGGCCGTGGGGTCGATTGATAATGACATGGCGTTGACTGACGCTACCATTGGTGCCTACTCCTCCCTCGACCGGATCGTCCAGGCCATCGACTACATCGACGCCACCGCCAACTCTCACTCGCGGGCGTTTGTGATTGAAGTCATGGGTCGCCACTGTGGTTGGTTGGCGTTGATGGCGGGTCTTGCCACCCTGGCCGACTACATTTTGATCCCAGAAAAGCCGTCGCTGCTGAGAGAATGGCAGGACCAAATGTGCGATATCGTCGGTGGCCACCGTCAACGTGGTAAGCGGAAGACCATTGTCATCGTAGCCGAAGGTGCCATTGCCAACGACCTTACTCCTATCACTTCAGAACAAGTTAAAGATGTGTTGGTTAACCGTCTTGGCCTCGACACTAGAGTAACCACCTTAGGGCACGTGCAAAGAGGTGGTTCTGCCGTCGCCTTTGACCGTATCTTGGCGACATTACAAGGGGTGGAAGCCGTCAACACCGTCATTGAGCTGACTCCGGACACTCCGTCGCCGATGATTGCCGTTCGCGAGAACCAAATCATCCGCCAGCCGTTAATGGAAGCGGTGAAAATTACCCATCAAGTGGCCGATGCTATGGACAACAAGGACTTTGCCACCGCCATGAGTTTGCGTGACTCTGAATTCACCGAACAGCTCAACAACTTCATCACCACCAACACTGCCGACCACTTGAAGCCGGCATTGCCTGAAAGCAAGCGCAAGCGCATTGCCATCATTAACGTCGGTGCTCCCGCTGGTGGTATGAATGCTGCCACCTATGCCATGGCTACCTACTGTATGCAACGAGGCCACACCCCTTACGCTATCCATAACGGTTGGGGTGGTTTGGCTCGTCACGAGCTGGTTCGCCTGATCAAATGGTTGGATATTGACGGGTGGATTCTGCAAGGGGGTTCGCAAATCGGTACTAACCGTCAAACCCCCGCCGAAACCGATATTGGTATGATTGCCTATTACTTCGAAAAGTACCAGTTTGATGGACTCATTCTCGTTGGTGGTTTTGAGGCGTACACCTCGTTGGAACAACTTGAAGAGCTGCGGTCGATGTACCCTGCTTTCCGTATCCCTATGGTGTTGATTCCCGCCACCATCTCCAACAACGTCCCGGGTACCGAATACTCGTTGGGGGCCGACACTTGTCTCAACTCGGTGATGGAATACTGTGACATCATCAAGCAATCGGCATCGGCAACCCGCGACCGCGCGTTCATTTGTGAAGTTCAAGGTGGTAACTCCGGTTACATTGCTACTTTCGCTCAATTGATCAGTGGTGCTCAAGCCCTGTACGTGCCCGAAGAAGGCATTGATTTGCGCCAGCTTGAAATGGACATCTCCAGTTTGCGAGAGCTGTTTGCCCTTGACAACAGCAAGACCCGCCTGGGTAAGCTTCTCATCAAGAGTTCTAACGCATCCAAGGTGTTGACCACTGAGGTTCTCACCGAAATCATGATCCAAGAATCGAACAACGCCTTTGACTGTAAGGCAGCAGTGCCTGGTCACGTCCAACAAGGTGGCACCCCCACTCCCATTGACCGGACTAGAGCTTCGCGGTTTGCCATTCGCGCGGTTCAATTCATTGAAGAACAAGCGGAAAACATTCTGCCTTACCGGGAAACGTTGGATATCCCTGTTGACGATGAAGTGGTGATGAACACTGCCGCCGTGTTGGGGGTGAAGAAGCTGAAGCTTCAATTCCTACTGGTGAGATTCTTGTGGGAATACGAGACGCAACGGTCAAAGAGAATGCCCCGTAAGATCCACTGGGCCAAGACAAGAGAGATTGCTGACCAACTTGTGGGGAGAACTAAGCTCACTGTGAAATCTTAGATTTAGGTTTAAGCGGTTGGTAGCTAGGATTATCTGCTATTTGATTGCTATAGCTGGTAGTCATACTGTTATCTATGTTTATTATTTAACGAATTCATGCCATTTATCATCATCTGCTTGTATCAAATTGAAAGCATTAATTGTTTCAACTACCTGAAATTGATTTATGATTATCAAATAGCTGCTTGAATAACACAGCACCCATAATGGCAGCGGTCCAAGATCAGTTGACAATGATTTACGATTGTTGATACATCTTTTAAGCTTATGAGTTTGATCACAGCAACGTTTAGTGCTACCTTGATCACGTTGATTTTCATGTTATCGCAATGTTTTCCGATTCATTGGTGTTTTTAAAAAAGGGATACTCGGTTTTTGAAACGTTTGCATTCATCAGACGTCTCTATCACTGCAAATGCAACTTTGAACCACAGACTGTCACACTGGAACCCCTCTTCATTTTAAAGCGCCATGGTAATCCGGTATGGTGTAATGGCTATCACGGTTCGCTTTCACCGAGCAAATCAGGGTTCGATTCCCTGTACCGGAGTTCTCTTTTTGCCAATCTGATGAATTGATCATACTGTGGTGATCGTGTTTATTATCGTGGTATAATCTTATAAGGGTCTAACGCGGTGGTCACATTTTTCCGGTACCGGTCCCTCCACCGGGTCTAACTCTACCGTACCCACGGGCCAGTAGTCCGGCAGATTGCGGTAGTAGCGTAACCACCCTCCCAATTTATCGTCTACTTCGTTAGCATCTAATCCTCGCAAGTCATGAGTGTATTCTTGAGGCCGATCAAGGCACCCAGTCACCAACACGCGGGAACAGTCTCGGCCGGCAAGCTTCAGGTAGGAGCCTTTGCCTGTGTACAAGTCCCGCCGGCGAGTCACGTCAAACACCGTTCCGTTTACCAGTAAGTATACTCTGGGGCGGTGGACACCGTTGTATTCTTGAAGCTCAGCCATCGACATATGGCGCGGTCCCCATACTGCCTCTTTCGCCACGTCCACCCAGTAATTGGGATCGATCTTATGGCCCTGGTACCCCCACGTGCCACTAGAAGTGAACCACCATGAGAGAAAAGCGTTTAATAGGAGCAAACCCCCAATGATCCGGAGTCCGTCCAACGGGTTCATCCGCGCGATGATGAGGTAAACAAAGCGACGATGAGATCAATAGAGTTGATCTGGTCACAAGAAGTGAAAAACCAAGTCATCCAATATTTATGTGAAAGATCAAGATAAAGTAAAACATTTCTAAATGAATAATAATAATAATAGTGATTTGTCTATAATTTTTATATAGTGGTTTATGAATGAGGGGGGGTCGCTTTGCCAGAAAGCGTAGGGTGTAAAGAGCCGTTGACTTCCTCCACCACCAACTGAGGAGGTCGCTGGTCTGAATCAACGTCTGTATGAATTTCGTGTACACTGCCATTTGCCATAGACTTCTTGGCGTTAACACTCACTGGGGTTGGGGAAGCAATCTTCAGCTTGTGTGGGGGTTGTTTGCGGGGCCACTTAGTCGCTATATCAATGTGGCTCGCAGGGTACCACCACTCAAGCCACATTAAGATGAAAATGTCCACCACCACGCAGAGGACAAATAATTTACCCGCAAGCACACCAAAGTTGTAGAACTTGGAAATGCGGATCCACTGCGATTGATTGAGCTTACTGAGGTCAAGCAGATCGTACACTTTCTCGGTACGATAAGCAATGTTATCCCAGGCGTACATCGTCGCCACTTCATCGTGGAATTTCAGCGTATCGATGTCGCCATTACTGATACGATCAATCAGCTCGAGCGCTGCCTCAACGAGATCATCCTCTTCCGGACGAGCAAATCGGGTCATATGACTGGGGAGAACCTCAGGAATACCGCCCACATTAGTGGTAACCACAAATAAGTTACACAGTGCCGCTTCAACAATGACGGTACCAAACGCTTCTGTCAACGAGGGATGGAGATATATGTGGCCTCTAATCATCACATCCCTCACCTGGTCATGACGAACTGCTCCCAAAAGCGTCACTCGCTCCTGGAGCTCGTGGCGTTCCCGCATCTGCTCCAAGTCCAAAAACTTCGGTCCATCGCCAGCAATGAGAAAGTCGACCTCGGGCTTGGCGGCACAGATGCGGGGGATGATGGCGGTGAGTAAGTCAGCCCCTTTATTTGGGTATAATCGTGAGATCACGACAATCACGATTCGTTCCATCAGTTTAATCTGAGGTGAGGGGCGGAAATCTTCCAGAATCACGGCATTAGGGATCACCAGTACCTTATTCGGGTCGAGCCGTGCTCGAAGTACCGTATTCTCCTTACACGTATGAGACACACAGATCACGGCACCAACATCATTGAGGGTAAATTTCACAAGTTTATTACCCAAAATCAGCCCGATATTAGCAAAGCCAAATAACAGATGGTCGGTAAACACCGTTTTCATCCCCATCGTTCGACCGTGTAATATCGCTTCGTGGCCCAAGGCCAGAAACGTACCGTGGGCATGAATGATCTCGATCTCCTCTCGAATGAAAATATTGCGTAATATAGGGAATGCCAGGAACACGGTGGGGAAACACGCCAGGCGGTCAATCACCATAAACGGAATGTAGTACACTTTGAGGCCATTGGTCAAATATCGGACCCCTTGGCGGTTGCCATAGTCGTGGGTGACCACGACGACACTGTGGCCCATATCGATCAACTTTTGCAGGAGATCGTACACGTGGAACTCGACTCCCCCTGGCTGCGGGTAGAAGAAGTCCGTCACCATCGCTATATTGTACCCCATGGTGGCAACCTAGCGATGGGATGATATCGTCGCTGTTAAAGTAAACACGGTGGGGAGAGAGGCTCCGAGATGGCTGTGGGTGAGACCCGCTTAGGTAAGGACAAAGTAATCACCCCTATCCCAACTACGTCAATAATTTTCACTACTGAAAAATTGAATTGCCTCACTTGTAACGGTTGGCGTCTTCAAAGAAGTTGATTTTGTTTTTAATTTATATTTCATTTCTTGGGGTTAGCATTGATGCTAAGGTTCCCCGCTGTAGTATCAATCTACCGTTTGTTTCGCGTTCAACTCGCGCGACCTGGAAAAAAAAAAAATCCGAGCTCACGTCTTTCACTCGAAATCCATATAATGCTGGAGCTGAAGCGACGGGGCAGCGCCGATGACGACGAGCGCCTGGTAAAACGGGAACGGGTTGCCCTAGAGGAGCTCAGTGAGGACGGCCCGCTCACTCAGGACGACGTCATCTACTTTAAGAAGCAGGCGATATGGCGCCAAATGCGCCATTATCGGGGAGAAGCCAAGCGGCTAGAAAGCGAGTTGGCGCGGGCGCAGCAGGCTTTAGATAAGCTTAGGGACCAGGTGGGCGAGTTGGACCTGTGGCGGATGCAGAACCTGGAGGTGAAACCTGAAATTAGCGCCGCCATCGCGGAAGTGAAGCAGTTGGCCGACACCAACGCCGACTTGCGGGCCAAGATCGCTGCATTGGAAGCGCTGGTGGCGCAGTACGAGGGCAAACTGCTTAGAAACGACCTGACAGCGCTTAAGCGGGTGTTTGGCGGTGCTACCACCAGTGATGACTCGAAGCTGGACGCCACTCAGGCATCGGCTGATGGCACTGCTGGTGCTGGCGCTGAGGCCACTGCCACTGGTGGTGATGCTACTGCTACCGCTGAGGCCGCTGCCGCTAACGGAGCTCTTACTGATGAAGTGGAGCGTTTACAACTGGAACTCGAACAAACCAAAGCTGAAGCTGAGGTGGTGAAGACTCAACTTGCTAAAAACCAAACTGAACTTAGCCAGCTGAGCCAGCGGGTAACGGAACTTGAACTGAAACTCGCTCTGCTTGGAGAATCTGACGTCAAAGAACTGGCATGGTTCCAGGCGTTAGCTCTGGAGAATGAATCCCTTAAAAAGCTGATTGCCACTTTGGAAACTCAACATCAACAAACACAGGCCAAATTGGACAAATTGGACGCGTTACCCGCTGACCCTAACTACCAAGCAGTGGTGGATGAGCTTGCCTCAGTGAAGCAACAACTTGAGAAGACTGAAACTGACCTTGTGCGAATAAGAACGGCGCGTGACGACTTGGTGGCGAAGAACGCCATTCTCAAAAGCGAAACGGCATCGGGGCTGCTGTTTGCTGAGCTCGTGGCGTTGAATAAGTCGCTTAGTGCCCGAGTGAGCGAAAAGGCGGCAGCGGTGGCGGCCGGTACCGACGACGCGCTGCTTGCGCTGCTTCTGGAAGAACAACTCCGACAGAAAGTCACCCAACTCATCGGCGAGCTTCAGGAGGTGGAATCGGCATTTAATGACACCCGTAAATTGGCGCTTGCTAAAGTCGAGGCTCAAGCAAGCCATGACGCCACCATCAAGAAGCTCACAGTGGAAAAGACTAAAGCTGATCAAAAATACTTCGGGCTGATGAGATTGAAAGATCAGATCCAACAGGAGAACAAGCTACTCAAGGCGCAGGTGGCCAAGCTGCAGGACGGGCTTCGCCAATCGCAAGAGGTGGAACGGGCGCTTCAGGATAAGATGGCGGCCCTTGAACGCCAGGTGAAGGAGTTCAAACAGGTGAAGCTGGCGGCGATGGCGGAAAACGTCAAGCTCAGCGAGCAAGTGGCGCGTCTCCTGAAGTTGAAGGACCAATTCACCGACGATATCGCCAAGGCCCGTGCTGCTTCTGAAGCGGAACTGATGAAGCTTCGCCTGGTCCTGCTGGAGTTACAGCTGGAACAACAGCTGGTGGCGAAGCTCGAGCTGAAACTTAAGCATACCGAACAATTATTGCGCAAATATAAACTGGCCAACCCGTCGTTGGTGGTGGAAGATGAACAGGAGATCGAAGGGTTGCGGAGCATGGCCAAGTGCCTGGTGTGTCTGAAAAACTGGAAGGACACCGCCATCAGTGTCTGCGGCCACGTCTTTTGCCACGACTGTACCAGCGAACGGCTCGCTGCTCGCTTGCGGCGGTGCCCGACGTGCAACAAAGGGTTCTCCGCCAATGACTTGTTGCTGATCCACTTGTAATATATGTATTATAGCACTATATAGCAAAAACAACACACTCTGTTGGAGAGAAGACCGAGAAGTAAAGGTATTTCACATTACAGTGACTTGAAGGGGTAGAGAAATTGAGCCGTGCTTCGATTATTGATTTCATTTAACAGATTCATGCTACTTCACTTTTCAATTTTACAGATTATACGAAATTTTGTTCAGGTTGAGGAGGTCGCCAAAATTACAGATTTTCCCAGATTTTTCAATTTTCCAATCCTCACTCGATGTTCGTTTGAGGAGATTTCATAAACGCATCAGTGTTCCCCCACAAACCCAGCCACCCGTCGTCAAGCATCGTCAAGCATGGCCAGGCATTGCCCACATTGACATTGTTATCTAAGCTTCGCATGCGTGTGATTGCGATCTCGTTTGTCAACCCCATGACTCACAGATTATAGCTGGTGTTTGCCCGTTAATAACTTGACGACCATGGTTTCAAGAGATCACGTCTGGATGACACCAAACTCTTAAAGGCTCGGCTTTCTACTACAGGTGATTCTAAACTTACTCAAAAGCCCGGGGGCTACAGGTTTTTGGCTTGTGTCTTGGGCCAGGCCTTGTCTTGCGCCATCGCGTTAGCCCTCGCACCGATGCAGGTTGCCCCCCTCGATAAACGACTACAACGCGTTATGTTTCCAGGCTCCAACTTTGACCAAGTTGACGATTAATGGGAAGCTCAGAAATGCTATTGGGAGTGACGGGTTAGTGGTGGCAAGGTCATCTTTACGGAGCAACTTGGTGGCGGTTGGATGGACACCTGTGACTATATGCCGGTGGTCGCATTGCGTTCTGCACGCTGTGTTAGGAGCGCTTCGATCGGCTTCCACCGGATCGGATGACCCTGGTCACACCTACCACTCTCCCTAAACCCCCTGTTGTGCTTTCAGACCCCCATCGTTGTACCATGGCTACGCCAACTTAAGGCCGCCGAAATGAGCCACAAAGGGTTCATAATCGACTAAATATACCCCGTGTCGGTTTCCGAGGCCCGTTGCCGGGGGCGCTGGCCACTTTTGACCCAGGGATTTTCTCCCCTCGGCTTGCTTTTGCTTTCTCACTCGATTGAGGCAGTTTATGAGTGCGTCGAGTCTCCAGAGCAGCTGAAACACCTCGACCATGTGAAACCGGGCTGTTGCTGTCCCGTTCAAACACCTGGTGATGAAGATAGCTCCCCCGCTAGCATCTTTTAGACGGGAGCCATCCCCTTTCTTCACTGTTTTTATCGTGGCAGCTCCCCCCAAGTCATGTGCAGGAAAGCCAGCTGTCTTCTCAAGTATCCAGATAAAAATTTTTCCCGCAACTAGAGGACAACCCTGCGCCTTGGTTAGGGGGCAACCACCGCAAACGACGGCTGCGGAGCCAATTACTAAGCGTTTTGTCGGGGTCCAGCGCATGACCCCTTTTTGCCGTTATTTGTTTTACCACCTACTTTTCTCCCGTTTCTCTCGCGTCTAGTGTATCATGTCTGTGTGGTTCTCTTGTCATCGATGGTGGCGACTCTCTCTGAGTGGCTGGTACGCTGTGTGCCGGCCGCGAGCATTAAGCTTATATAAACACCCGCCCGCACGGGTTTTTTTCGCAATCTATTTTTCGAGCCCCCGGGTCTATATACAGGAGGAAGCACGCGCTCCCGTGACTTATTACCACCAACCTTCCATCCCCCCCATCTTTCGTACAAACCATCCTGTGGGGCATGTCTGAAGTGGAGGCCAATACCCCAGTACAAACCCCGACGGCAGAACCGATGAAGGACCCGGTGCACGACCTCGAGGGGAGCTCGCCCAGTGCGGCGCCCGTGCTCGAAGAGCCGGCAAAGCCGCTATCGCCGCCAAATCCGCTGCCACTGCCAAGGCGCCACCTTGACAGCGAACCCGACGAAGAGGCGCCGCCGGCGAAACGGGCGAAAAACGCGTCCAAATTCGACTACCCGGACCCGGCGCTGCTTATTGGCCCCGACGGCAAGCCGTTACCTCCGCAAGAAGTGTTTGGCGAACCGGCGCCGGCCCCGCCCGCCGAGCCCGACATGGACAACTTGCCGGAAAACCCCATGCCAAAACACCAACAGAAGTTTGCCCTTAATACCATCAAGGCGATCAAACGGCTCCGCGACGCCGCCCCGTTCTTGCACCCGGTGGACATCGTCAAGCTCAACATCCCTTACTACTACAACTACATCCCGCGGCCGATGGACTTGCTGACAATCGAAAAGAAGATCGTCAGCGACGCCTACTCCAACGAGCAAGAATTGGTCGACGACTTTGACCTCATGGTGACCAACTGTAAGCGGTTTAACGGCGAGCTGTCGCTGATCTCGCGGATGGCGTTGAACATCCAGGCGCTGTTTGAAAAACACATACTCAACTTCCCCCCTAGAGACGCCGTCGAGGACGTGGTGGTGCTGCACAAGCGCAAGCTGATGGCCGACCTGGAAGAGTTCCAGCGCGAAGCCCGCGAGCTGGTCGCCGCCCACCGTCCCAAGCGCACCATCGTGCCGCCGAAGCCGAAGGAGTTGCCTTACGATGTTCGTCCCCGCAAAAAGAAGTTCGCCGCCGAGTTACGCTTCTGCCTGCAGACGGTGAAGGAGCTCATGAGCAAGAAGCACTACCACATCAACTTCCCGTTCTTGGCGCCGGTGGACACCGTCGCCCTTAATATCCCCCACTACTTCGACGTGGTAAAGCAACCGATGGACTTGGGCACCATCTCGTCAAACTTGGCCAACAACCAGTACGAAAACGGCGACGAATTCGAGCGCGATGTGCGGCTCGTGTTTGCCAACTGCTACGCATTCAACCCTGAAGGCACTGACGTCCATGCCATGGGGAAGAAGTTGGAGGCGGTGTTTGACAAAAAATGGGCGCAAAGACCGGTGCCGGAGCCGACGCCGCCGGCGCTGGACTTTGAGCTGGATTACGACATTGATGACGAAGAGTTTGAGACCCGGGCGGAACAGATGCTTGCCGAAGTGCCGGCGATTCAGTTGTTAGAAAACCAATTGAAGCGGATGAAGCTGGACTTGGACAAGTTGAAGGAGCAACACCTTAAGCAGTTACGCGAGGAGTTCCAGGCTAAGCGGGCCTCGCGTAAGGGCAAGAAGGGGAAGAAGTTGAAGCAACGGGTCAACGGCGAGGTCGCCGAGGTCAACGCTGGCCCCGTGGTGACGTACGAGATGAAGAAACAGGTTCTGGAAATGGTACCCAACTTGCTGGAAAAGAAGGCCCAGGCAGTCTTGAAGATCATCCGTGACGACTTTGAAATTGGCAATGACGACGAAATCGAGCTCGACATGGACCAGTTGGAGGACCGTACCGTACTCAAGCTTCACAACTACTTGTTCGGGCAGAAGGCTGCCGCCCGCATGCTGGGGCTGCTGAAACGCAAGCAACAGAAGGCCGGAGGGCTCAGTGCCGACGACGAGTTGGACCACTTGCGCAACCAATTGGCGCTTTTTGACGGCGAGCTGGCGCTGGCAGCAACTAATGGCTTGATGACCATTGGACACGAATCGCTGGACGACGACGACTTGAGTTCGGAGTCGCTGGAGGAGGAATAAGGGTCACCTTGTAGATACGAAAAGGTTTGTATAATTATGGCGATAATGAGAAACGACTGGGACTTGCCGTAGAGCTAAAACTAGTGAAGTCGAGTATTTTACTTGGTGTATTTGGGGTGATCGTCCATCGGTGTTTAATAAGAGATTGGAAGGAGTATGGTTTTGTTTAGATTGAGTGTTTTGCTGAAATATCAAATATGATAGACTAATTGTTTTATCGTGCAGTGTAGGATCATCATTTCGTATATAATTAAAGATTCGTGACGTTGACCACATGTAATGCTAAACGGTTTCACCAGCAGCTTTGGTAAAATTGATGAGGCCTGGGTACTCTTTCGGAAGCTCTCTCTAGATGATGATGGTAGGCATCTAATTGGTAACCTTTTGGATAAGATAGCCCAATACAAGAGCGATGCACGCCACCACGGTGATGCTGATGGTGGTCTCGTCGTTGGTTTTCTTCTCCAGCACCACCAGGGTGCGAGGAGGAGGAGGCGGCAACGATGTGTCTTCAATCTCTTTGATGTCGTCGCCATCAATAACTGTCTTTTCTGGCGGCAGCAGCGTGGTCAGGGGAAACTCTTCTGGGGCACTGCGGCTCATCACGGGGGAGATCTCGCCCGAGGTGTGTCGTATGGCTCCGTTGGCCAGGAACAGCTGACGTAAGGGGCTGGGTTGGTTGAAGAACTCGGTGAGGTCATGGGTTATGGGGATATTATTCGCCTGAGGCGACGGCAGCTGTTCGCGATCGGATTTGAAGTCGCCATTAACAAACTGGAACAGGTCCATGGTACCGAACTGGCTGTGGCCGTTAGACTGGATTTCTTTCAGCAGGAGCAGGTCCACCAGGTCGTTAGCGAGTCGCACCGATGGGGCGGGGATCTTTTGTGCTTGGACAAGCATGTTTAGCCGGAGCACTTCTGCTTCTAGTTCCTTGATGCGACCCCCAAGCATGTCTGCCTGTTGCCGCAGCTCTGCCTCCTGGGCCTGGCACCGTTGTTCGAGGTGGTCAGCGTGGAGTTTTTCCCGGGCCAACTCTGCTTCCATGCGATCAATTGTCTTTTGTAGCTGGCGGTCGAGGTACTGGGTGTTGAGGTTATTAAGCTTGGTGTGGTACTCGGCCAAGAAGTCGTAGAGACTTCGGAGGGTATTATTCTGCTGCTTGATCCTGGTGAGATCGGCGACTAAAGTGTTGACAATCAGTTCAAACGTCAGCAGATTGGTGATGGCCAGGTTATTGTAGATACCGGCGTTAGACTCGGAAAAGAGACCAAGGAGGTCGTCTTCGATCGCAGGATTAATATCACCAAAAAGACCGATATCGAGCGAAGTATCGGTATCATCCTGAGGTGTTTGCTCGTGTTCCATCACCCTCTTATAGATGTCTTCAATGAAACTCAAATGCTTATACTGGGGCAGATTAAGGTTCAGAGTAGTGTTGAACAACGTCAGGTGATAGTCGTTTCGAACCACATTAATGTTATCGACCCGTAAAGCGATCTGCTTATGCGTCAGCTCCAGTTGGACATTAAACCCGAGGCACACATGGTCGCCAATCTTTATCTCGACAGGGTCCAGCCCGAGACGGAAGTCGTTCAAGTAAGTACCGTTAGACAGGCCCAAATCCTGCAACATGAGCTTCCCCAGCTGGGGATCGATGAATATCTGGGCATGATTGCGGGAAAGCACCCTCAGGTCAAAGTAGCCGTTGGTGACGTCAGGCTTGTGGCGAGTGCCCGTGGGCCGGCCGAGTTTGGTGGTCTCGGGGAACATCGCCACCGGCAAGTGTTTTTTGGCGAAGGTATCGTTGATGGGGGCGAGGGTGACGTAGTACTGGACGTGGTTGCGCTTTTGCGGCGCCAGCAGCATCGGTTTCGGGTGGGGCATTGACACCACCTGGGACGTCAGGTTCAGCCGCAGCCGGCCGTGGGAACGCCCGGGCACCTCCAACAGGATGGGGATGTCGGCGACACTCATGGGGCGATGGAGGGGTGGGTGGGGTGAAAAGACGCGCGGGATCGGTAGTGGTTAATGACAACCCGAGAACCTGTGCGAGTGGTTGTTGACTGGGACAAGAAGGAGATATAGATAATAGGTAAGGAAAATTGTGGAATTTTCTATTGATGAGTATGAGCAGATGGTTTGGCTCTGATGTTCAGGGATAGCAAGGGCTAGACATTGCTAAAACTGTGTTCACTAAATGTTATAGTTGTGGGTGAGCCCACTGGAGTCGCGAAATTATTAATGCGAGTGCTAACCCCACAAGCGAGACAAAACAAACGCCGATCTACGACTGCGTTGAAGGGGGCGAAGTCACAACAAAATGCATGTTAAATATAGTAAAGCATCTACGAGGGGTTGTGGCAAAGGCAACACTCCATAAAAATGGTGGAGAGGCCGGGTAGTATAAAAGGGTAGTGTCGCGACCAGCTCAGGGCGACGAACACATAGTCCATTCACGGGTGATTCCCATGAAAGGTTTAAGCTCTAAGTTTTAACCACTACACAGAGTAAGGCAATTTATGGCTGTCAACTATCAGTCAATGTAAAGAAACAGTTCACGGACATTATGGTGCGACACGACCCACGCGGTTGTAGATAGATCGCCGCATATCCCTTGGGTAGTCAACTCACCCGTTGCCAGGGTGTAGCCCCATTTTTGCCTTCCTAGCGTGTTAGCGAATGTTTTTTTTTTGTTACTGCGACGACTGCGGCTGGGATGTTTTTCTTTTCCATGAGAGCACTATCGCGCGTCCCTCTCTATATATGGCTTTGGACTATACCCAGTGTTGTGCCGATATCGAGCGGGCGGTGGGCATCCTCAATCGTACTCAGGCGCGGGTCGCCGAGGCGACAAAGGGAGTCGACACCATCCTGCGGATTGTCCACACCAATCGAGTGTTTGGGTTGGTGGCAGAGGCCGATCTTCGGCACGCCCACCGTCGCGCCCATTCTGCCAAGGCCCGCTTGTACCCAGTGGCCACCTCCGTCGCTGCTCGTATCGCTTACTTAGAACGCAAACGGGACCAGTTGGAACGCCGCAACCATCTCCGAAGGCTATTTGATGGCGATGACGTTCTATTTACTAAGCTTTACCGGATCGACCGCTTGCTAGATAAACGCGACCAGTTGCAGCGCGAGGTCGAAGCCCGGTCTCGTGATGAATGAGGTGCAGTTTGGGATGTGGGTGTGCGTTGAACGATTGCTTCAAAAGCGCCAAACTAGGACTGGTATCGTTGTCTTTTGGGGGAGCCACTATGTGGTGAAATTACCGTTAAAAGGGTGTTGATCACCTTTTAGTAGCCTAGCATTTTAATCTAAAAAAATTCGTCTAATAGAGTCAAATTCGCCCCTAAAACATCACAATGCGGGTGTTTTTTTTTTTTTTTTCTGTGGTGGGTATGCGTGTGTGCAGGCACGCGGGTAAAGCTTGGCCTTTATCAGTCAGTCACATAGTCACCGCAAGCCAGCTTTCCACACCTCCTTCGCTTTGGGCCTAGTCTATTGGTGTTATTCTGCCGGTTCTGTTTTAACCAAAAATAATGCAATTTAAGACGTTATTGACCGTGGCGTTGGCCACGATGGTATACGCCAAAAACGTCCTCGACATCGACCAGATCTTGTCGCAACCGTGGAATCCTACCAGCATCATTCCCACCGACTTCTTCAAGGAAACTATCAACAACTTGTTGAGTGCGGAGAACCACCCACAAGTTTCATCGGACGATTTGAACCAGGCCGTGGGCACTCAGCTGTTTGACGTCGATGGCACCAAGTATCTCGAAATCTTTGAAATCAAAGACGAGTACCCGCAAATTCTCGAAAAATTAAACCAACATCGTGATGACAATGACAAGATCACCGGTGAGCAGTTGGACAACGTCATCAACGTGTACTTGTTGAAGTTGGAGCTGGAGGCTAAGTCGCACAACTTGTACCACAAGCTCGTCCAACTCTCAGGCGATCAACAAGTGGTGAGCTTAGAGTCATTTAAAGAGGCACTTCAAGCGGAAGCGGCGCAGTTCCAACCGTTATTGGACGCCATCAACCGTTACACTAACGATAAACGCGAAGCGAAGAATGTCATCAGCTTAGCCGACTACAAGTTTGAATTACCTGAACAATCAAATGAAAAGCGTGAGAATGAAGCTGAAGAACATAGCTTAAAGACTTTGATGGCCGCTAAGTACTTGGATAAGAGGGGACAAGCCAGCCACAAGAACCGTTTACAACATTTGAAGCTCGCCAAGTACAACGACAAACGTGAAGCGAAAAACATTTTCGACTTGGCTCAACTCCAAGCTGATCTTGACAACAACAACCACGAAAAGCGTGAAGCCAAGAACGTGTACAATTTGGCCCAACTTCAAGCTGGTATCGATGACGAAACTAATAACGATAAGCGCGAAGCTAAAAACGTTTACAACTTGGCCCAGCTCCAAGCTGGCCTTGACGATGAAGTCAAGGATAAGCGTGAACCCAAGAATGTCCTCAACTTGGCTCAACTTCAAGCCGATATCGACAACGACAATAACCACGAAAAGCGTGAGGCTAAGAACGTCTACAACTTAGCCCAACTCCAAGCTGGCGTTGACGATGAAACCAACGATAAGCGTGAAGCTAAGAACGTCTACAATTTGGCCCAACTTCAGGATGCCGTCAACGAAGAAAACGGTAAGAGAGAACCCAAAAACATCATTGACCTTTCCGCGGTGTTGACTGATCTCGACAAGCCTGGTAAGCGTGATGCTAAGAACGTATTCAACTTTGCTGAGTTGGCCAAGCTTGAAACCAAGCCGGGGAAGCGTGAATACACTTTGGCTGATGTGTCGGCCATCATTGACCTCATCAACCAAAGACAACAAGTATTGAGCCAATCTCTGGGTCCGGTGTTGCAAGAAGTGTTGCCACAAATGAGAGACATCTCCATCTTCACCAGAATGATCCGTGACAACGCTGGTATTGAAGCGATGACGGAATCGCGTGACCAGGCGTTGTTGATCCTTGCGCCGCTGGATGAAGCCATTGCTAAGTTACTGCAAAAGCCGTGGGAATTCCCCACCCCGGTCGTCGGAGACAAGTCTGACGCCATTGCTGCTGAAAACTTGGACTCGTTCTTGAAGGGGCACATCGTCGAAGAGTTCTTGTCGTCGTTGTCGACTGAAGGCGTCGACGCCTGGTTGATGAACGGTAAGCCCTTGACCATCACCAAGCAAGCTGACGGCAAGGTCTTGGTCAACTACGAGGACAGACATGTGGCGGTGCGCGACCTTAAGCAAGAGGCGAACGGGTACGTGCTCGTCCTCGACGAATGTCTTGTTCAGCCTTAAGCCAACAAGAGAACGTGACTTTCTTCTGGCCTGGGGCCCATTTTTCTTGAATTTATTGGGAGTTAAATTATATATGTGAAATTGGAAATTGGCAACAAATGGCAGAGGGGGTCAACCCTTATGATCTCGTCATGTCTTATTCGTAGTTGTAAATGTGTCCTGATGAGGCGAATCGGGGTCTGCCGCGTTCCTGAGTTCAAAGCCCACTTCGTGCTTAACACCTATAGCCGAGAGCAGCTTAATGCACACCCCCGTACTCATTGTGTATTGTTACGGTGTGGGTATCTCCTGAAAGCCAACAATTAGCTAGTAAGCGGCATTTTATCGTCGAAGGACGGGGAAAATTGGACGACAAATTTTATCAGACAGACACAATATCTTTATCACGACTCCTTGCATTATCCGTTAAGAAAAACCACAAAAGCAACTACAATAACAAACGAAAGGCGTTGATGGCGCCAAGGCGATTATGGTTAGGGGTGAGGTGACAGTTGACATAAGCTTAAAATTTCCCCACTTCAGGCTTCCCGAGGAAAATATGTGTGAGATAGCAATTTAAGACATAGCCGTACCAAAATCAATAATAAAGACTACTCAACAATTGTTTTGTTAATTGTAAATGAAGCTACAGTTTCAATCACAGACCTAATTTATATTTAAAAGCAAACAACACATTAAAAGGGCATCAAAAAATACATAATAAATAAGTTAACAGGACAAACAAACGTGTCAAACATCTGTTTCCAGGGTGACCGGCGGGCCAGAGACAATTTACTTGCCTCTGTTTTGCAAGTCGGGCAAGGGCAAAGCCTTGATAGTGATGTACGAGTTCTGTTCGTTGGCAATACCGGCATAAGCATTATACCACGCAGCAAACGCCGTCAACAAACCAAACACACCGGCAGCCTTCTTGACAGCGGTACCGTTAGTCTTGAATTCAGCAATGGCCAACAACAAAAACGTAATCGCAAGGAAGAAGAACACGAGGAAGAAGGCGAGGGTAGACTTGAGGGTCATCAACATCATGAAGAAGGTAAAGATGAACCAGCCAATCAAGTAGATACCAACAGCATTAGAGAACATTCTCTTGTCCAACACCCCGGTTTCCTTGTCCTTATAAGCGTCTTGGATACCAAACGAGGGAGTGTAAATGGCGGCCCAGGTACCCCAGAACGCCCCGTACGAGGAAAGAGCGGCACCACCAAAAGTGTTACCAACAGCGATTTCAAACATACCAGCAACCAACTGGGCCAAGCCCCCGTAGAAGTAGGCAAGACCCACGACGATGTTGGGGATCTTGACACCTCTGGCTTCGACGTTGATCAACGACAACACGAAGGTGGTCAACGCGAAACCGCAAAGACCCAAGGGAGCAGGGTTGGCAAAGTCGTGCTTGGGAGGGGGCGACAACCCGGGGTTCAAGGTACCCCCGAAAGCCTGGACGAGCTCCGAGCGAAGGTAACGTTCATTACCAAATTGGATGTACTCGCCGTCGGTGTGGACCTTCAGGATTTCAGCGGAGTCGTCGTGGATGGCAATGGGGTCGTTGTCCACGGCCAACGTGTGGTCTCTGGGTTGCTGGTTTTCAATGTCGGACATTGGAAAGGGTGGATATGCTACAACTACTGGCGAGGCAGCGGTTTATATAACCGGACCTCTGCACCACCCCCGCCGACGCATCGACTCCTGGAAAAAAAATTAGCAACGCGGGGGTCTTGCTTCGTGGTCACGTGTACGGTGCATGAGGAAAGCGGGGCTAGTGGGGAAAGGCTAATCGTAATAAGCGAGGAAACCGGTGTTATCAGCCCGACACCACTCGGGTTAATCTGCCATCACCACCCTAAGGGGGGCGCCGATAAGATAGCCCACAAAGCACGCCACCCCGTGTTTGTAGCAGCTTCGTTCGCTTTTGCACTCCATTCTCAACGCTCGTCGAGCATTGCATTTTCTGAGCTAATCGCAGCGGGGTGACTGCAGTCACTCCACTCCGGGATTCCTCTTCGGCGGTCCGGTAAAGCCCCTCGAGAGGAGATTTTTTATCTTACCCCGGATTTTGTTGGCAAATTGTAGCCCTGGGCCTTTTGTTGTGAGGGCTTTGTGATTATAATTCGCCAACATGATTTGTGGAGGCTGTCGCTTCGGCAGTAGGCGCCGACGTCGCCGAAGGTGCCAACGACGGCTTACTAACAAAAGTGATCTACTCGACCCCAACTACCAGTTTCTAGGGTTGAACGATATGAGGCACGTGCCAAGAAAACGTCTTATATATCGTTTGGGTGGGTCAAGAGGGGGTGAGGTGGCTGCAGAGTGGAGCGTATATCGAGTTGCGAGCTCCGCTTTTGCAGTAAAGTCCGAAAGTTTCAGGCGGCCGCCTCCGTTTGACCCCGGGACCTAGCCACCGCTTCTTCGCAACCACCACTATTCTCACAACGAAAGCAGGAGGCTCCAATAAGCTCCGCATTGTTTAAAGGCGTTCTTAGTCGTATTCCCTCACCGTCGGGCGTCGGCATCGCGGAGTCGGCCCCGAGCGAGCCGTGTGCGCGCGCAGATGGATTAAACCCTATGCGTCACCATCACGGCTGGAGGTGGTGCATTTGACATCAAAAAGAGGCAAAAAAAGGACCCGCCGGACTATAAAGTTAATGCGTCACCGCCATCGCCTCAACAAGTCGCCTCCACGCATTATACATGTCGATTTCAGGTAGGAGGACCGGTGGGGGGACCGCTCGCTAGGGCACATCATCAGATATAGAGACCTCGCAATTTTCCTTAATCACGACATGGGGAGATTTTTCGGGGATAGTAGAGCAAATTTCCCACGCCACAAACCGTATCCCTTCCATAAAGAGGTCTTGTAGCCCGTGGCGGTGGATGACGTGTACCTAGAATTTACCTAGAATTCAATTTGGGCCATTGTTTGATACACCGCACCTTAAGCTCGCCGAAGCTTATCTAAGGCTGCCGCGAGTACTAAATGATGAGCATTTCGGTAGCAGCGGCAACCGGAATTCCACACAAACCGTAAACTGATAAAAATACATGCTTAAGGAAGAGTTTGGTCGTCACCACCTATAGTTGGCATTTTGCTTTTCTACAAAGCCCGACGTGGGCTTTGTTAGTAAAGATGGAAGCGCTTACTAATGGTGAAAGACGACATGTCGGTGATGCACTAGTGAGGCATATACAGACGGGTTGGCTACGGTTGGGACACAAAACAGCGTTGATCGAGCTTCCACGGCCGACCGTTGGTGTTCCATGTAAAGTTATGCTTTCTCCCCGTAACGGCAACTATATAGATTGCGTTTGTGCCATGTTGTTTAACCAGCCCTCTGTTAGTATTGCGCCACGCACACGTGACATCAGACCGTTACCACCATCAAATAGCATTAACGGCACCATAAACAAGGACAAATAACTCAAAAACAAGATTTAATCAAACAGCAGATCAAAATAAGGACGTGTCTTTCACCTTTCTTTGGAGTTTACTGCCGCTGTCTTTACCTCCATTTCATCTCCCTTCAAATTTCTCTGCGCGTCGCAGTTTTTCTGCCAGCCATCAACGTAAACATTCATTTTACCTGATTCGGCGATCTCCCAAACAGTGGTCCCGAAGAGCCTGTCAAATAAAACCAGCGCCCCAACCCTTCGCCGTACCCCATTCCAGACACTCTTCTCCTCCTCCCCCCATACCACAATCCCAATAAAACCATGTTCCGAGCCACGCCCACGGTCCTGGACGGCGACATCGCCGACATCTCCCACACCATGGAGAACGTGCTGCTTTCCCACCCGATGGACATCGACCACCTGTTCCGAACCAACAAGGAGAACATCACGCCGCAACTGCTGCCGACAAAGCTGATTTTGCACCAGCTGCCCCGCAAACCCCGCAATAACCGCCACCTCGCCGAGCTTACCCATAACATCAGTCAATTACAGCCAGGTACACGGATCTCGGACGACGAGTTCCGCAGGCGGGCAAACAACCCGAAGACCAAGCGGTTGGCCCTGGTGGCCCAGCTCTACTTCTTGGACTACTACTGCGACATGTTTGACTATGTCATTCTGCGCCGAGAACGCACTAAAGTGGTCAAGCACCGGCTTTTAACCGACCCCACGTTCACCCAAAACCCTCAGCGGCAACAGTTGGAGTGGAAAAACTACGTGGGGCGGGAACGGGTGCTTTTGCGTAAGCGCCGGTTGAAGCCTAAGCATAAGGACTTTGAAATGATTACGCAAGTGGGGCAGGGGGGCTATGGCCAGGTGTTTTTGGCCCGCAAAAAGGATACCCGCGAGATCTGTGCCCTCAAGATCTTAAACAAGAAGTTGTTGGTGAAGCTAGACGAGACCCGCCACGTGTTGACAGAGCGTGATATTTTGACCAATACTCGCTCCGAGTGGTTGGTGAAGTTGTTGTACGCGTTCCAGGACCCGGAGAAGGTGTACTTGGCCATGGAGTTTGTCCCCGGTGGCGACTTCCGTACTTTACTTAACAATACCGGCTACTTGATCCCTCCCCACGCTCGGTTCTACATCTCGGAGATGTTTGCTGCCGTCAACTCTCTCCACGAACTTGGGTTTACCCACCGTGATTTAAAGCCCGAGAACTTTTTGATCGACTCTAAGGGCCACATTAAGCTCACGGATTTTGGGCTTGCCGCTGGTCTGGTGCTGAATGACCGTATTGAACTGATGCGGATCAAATTGCGTAACTTGGAAGAGTTGGACGACTACCAGCTCCCTTCAAACTACATGAATGAGCGTCAGCGGTTATTCAAGCAAGCTCAGGGCCACTTGAACCTTGCTAACTCCATCGTCGGGTCGCCTGACTACATGGCATTGGAAGTGTTGGAGGGTAAGAACTACGACTTCACCATCGACTACTGGCTGCTTGGGTGCATGCTTTTCGAAGCCCTCTGTGGCTACCCGCCGTTCTCGGGGTCTCGTCTGGAAGAGACCTACTACAACTTGAAGAACTGGCGCACGGCGTTGAGACGGCCGCAAACTAAAGATGGTCGTTACGTGTTCAGTGACCGCACGTGGATGTTGATCACTAAGCTCATCAACCTGCCCCAACAACGGTACCGGTCGTTTGAACAGGTGCAACGGGCGCCCTACTTCAGCGACGTCAAGGACTGGGACTTGCGCAAGCGGACGCCGCCGTTCACGCCTCAATTGGACAATGACGAGGACGCCGGTTACTTTGACGACTTCGAAGACGAAGAGATGATGGCGAAATACAAGGACGTGTTTGCTCGCCAAGAGCACAACGAGTCGTTGCTTGAGAAGGACGGCGGCAAACGGCCGCTCGGCCAGAACAATTTTATCGGCTTTACTTTCAAACACAAGCTGAATCCCAACAATAAGTTTGGCGGCGAGATCAACTTGATGGGAGGCCAATCCCGCTTGGACCCCTTGGCTACTTTATACTAGAATGAATGACGACACCACCGATACCCATGTAATGGATGTAGACTTTCCAGCAATGAGATAATATCAATCGTTACCACTATAGCGACATAAGTGGTATCGAGTTTGAAATTAGTCTGACAGTAAATGAGAGTCTTTTAATCAAAGGTCGAAATTAAAGGTCGATCAAGATCTCAGGCAAACGCCATAAGGAGATTAACGACTGATCATCAAGTATACTTTAGTTCACGCTTGTGAACATGTAAGAAGAGTAAATGTCATCTTCGGCTATCAGTTCAACATTTCGCACCAACCCACGATTGAAGAAAACATCAAGTCTGATTATTGGAAAGTGGTGGTACTTCTACCACATGGACGTAGATCCATGGCTTTACAGTTCCTTGACACCTTAGTTTCGATTCATGAGGTAAACAATGTATAAGCAGTAACCAGCAAGGTGACTTACCTTACTAGTTACGCCAACAATATAAATATGGGGCGACTACGTGGTGGTGAAATGCTCTAACGTCTATTTTAGTGCTTGGATTTTAAGTCCTCGATGCCGTGGGTGGTGGAGGAGTCGGAGTCATAATCGACGACCAGCTCGTCGCAGAAACGCACAAACACCTTTTTGATGAAAGGGTCGTCGCGGCGAATCAAGTACTTGAGCTTGTTTTCAATCAAGTTGAGCTGGGTGATGGTGTAGCTGGCGTCGGAGGGGTCCAGCGTCGCCAACCAGAGGTAGACGTTGGTGTTGGCTCCCAGAGTGAGCACCAGCAACCGCTTCAAGTGGAACGCTCTCAAGTCGCGGTTACCCGCCAATTCGTCCTTGACGATGCCTTCGACTTTGTCGTAGGTGGGCATCCCCGGCTTTTCACCGACGTCGACCAATTCGTTCCACGCCGTTTTAAACGACAGCCACCCAGCCTTGACGATCAAGTACAGCACGAGAAGACCACCGACGGAGTCGAGCCAGGCGACGTTAAACATCACCCCACCAGTAACGGTGACGAGGGCCACGGCGGCGGTCAACGAGTCGACTCTGTGGTGCCAGGCGTTAGCCACAAGCACCTTGGAGTTTGTGTCGGCGGCGACCTTCATCGTTTTCCGGTAGAGCACTTCCTTGACGGCAATCAGGGCCGCCGCAATCCAGGCGGCGTTGATGTTGGGCACTTCCCTCACTACCTCGGCGTGGGAGTGGCTGTGGTCGCCGTGGGAGTGGGAGTGGCCCACCAGCGAGTCCTCGGTGGTGGTGGTGAGCGAGTGGGAGTGGGAGTGGCCAATTTGGATGTGCAGCACCATATCGTACCAGTAGGCGGGTAACGTGTACTCGAGCACTTGGAGGAGGGACAGCCACCCTACCGAGATACCGGCAAAGAGTAAAATGCCCAGAATGAGTATCAGCCCCACCGTCTCGATCTTACCGTAGCCAAGAGGGAAATGGGTGGGAGAACCGACTTTATTAGCGACATTGACGGTGGCCAAAGTCAAAAAATCCAGGATCATATCCGAGACGGAGTGGATGGCATCGGCAGTTAAAGCTTGCGAGTGGAAGTAGATACCACCAATCCCCTTGCAAATCGCCATCCCCACGTTCACTAAGAGGCCGACCCAGGTGATTCTCACTGCCGGGTTGCCCAAGATCAGCTTGGCATCGGTTTTTAAAAGCTCGTTGTGGCCAGCTCCGTGGGAATGGCTATGGCCGAAAAGCGAATGGCTATGGTCGTGGTCGTGGGAGTGAGACGCGGCATGGCTGTGTTCGTGGCTGTGGGCGTCGTGTGAGTGGTCGTGGGAGTGGCTCGCCAGGGCGGCCGAGTCCAGCGGCGCGCTGACCATGGCATCGGTGTGGTGGTCGTGGGGCAACGCCATCGTCTGGGTGTGGTGTTTCGGTGACGTGTAGATAGGGCGGGTTAGCGTAAACGCGCGACCAAACCGGGGCGGGGGCGAGAGGCGCCGGAGGGCTATTTTCGCCAGCAAAAACATATACTTTTCCTCCGCGGGGTGGGGTGCCTCAGTTTTTTTCCTGGGGTACGGGGTGGATGAGTGTTATATAGTGGTGGTGGCGAACGTCATCGGGATTAAGTGCGCGAGGGGATCCAAGCGGACCCGCGGCATCAGGGGCGTGGTTGGCGTCTGGGGTGAGATATAGTCGGTGGTGACGTCTACGGTAGTGGTGGTGGGTATAGTAGGAGTATGGTGTAAACTAGATCGGTGATTGTGGCACTTTCAAGAGAAAAAACTGATTCCAATTGTAGAGGAAATTAAAAAAGACGACAAATATGAGTTTAATGCATCAAAAAGATCAACGGGGTTCTATTGTGGTCATCAATTGGAGCTGTACGCTGATCGAACTGAAGGTCTGGGGTTAGTGGCATCATCACTGGCGATTTGTCGATGCGAGGCGCGGGCTGGAGCTTATCGCCGACGGCCACTAGCCGCTTCAGGCATCTCCGACCGCCGGTGGGGAGGAAATGCGGAGCCGGCGACTGACGCCATTGTCGCCAGCTCTGGAACTCCTTGAACAAAAGGATCTGTTCATAGGTTAGTATTATTCAAGCTTGAATTCATAGACATCACGTAATATTTGAATCTGGCTCCTGCCGGTATTGGAATGTGTTTCAGCCAAGATCACGCCATTGACCACAGTTTCATGAGTAGAACATGGACGGTAAAGATCAGGAACTTGTAATAAATGAACGCTGCTACATAGCCACCATATAGGTATCTGTACGTTCCACGCTTTCACTTCCCCTATTCATTGATCATTCTGAACTTTAGCTGTCTACTTCTATGAGCTCTCAGTCAAAGTGGACCTCAGATGATTCAAATATAAAAGAATTTCTATAGTATTTAACTAGGCGTAATCAAGTAGTAATGTTTGATATCTCGATGGTAGGAGCCCTGTAGGATCCTGAAAGCATTCTTGGTTAACTCCATAATTATAGTACGACTCTCGAGGCTCGACTGGAACCGCAATACACTTGGACAATTTCATGAGGAATCAAGAGATGAACACGAGAGGGAAGGGCGATAGTACGTTAAATAATGGTTGCAAGAAGGCATCGACAGGTTTAAATTGTTGATCAAAGCTACTTTAACCCCCATTTCCTCGTTAGGCTTCAATTGAGGCATGTAGATGCTTATCTCATAAACTAGGACTTACAGACCATAGGTCCTCTAACAAATGTTACTCGCAAATAGCTGGAGACTGATGTCAGTTAATCTCAGCTTAAGCAGTTCAATTTTTGTATCCATGTTCCAAATTGCCCAGCGAGTGTTTGGTTCCAAAACTTACCGGATTTTAATTGAGAAATTTCTCAAAAAATTTCAGAACTCAAGGGTCCCCGGTTTCCAGGGTTAGGTGAATTAGACCCGTTACCACCATTCGATATTTCTCAAAATGGTTCAGTACAGCACAATACACAACTTCCATGCCGGAATTAATCTATTGAATATTACATTGTAAAGTTTCAGTCAACTACTGGCTGGGTCGCGCGTATACCGATATTGGCTGGGTCGCGCGCATAGCTCGACTTGAGCCGCACTCGCACGCTCGGTGTAACCACCATGAGTGAACCCATCCCCGAGACCCCGCTGGTCCAGGACGAGTATGAATTGTGGAAAAAGAACTGCCGCTACATGTACGAGTTCGTCCTGGAGACCGCTCTTACGTGGCCGTCGTTGACGGTGCAATGGCTCCCGCAGCACTCGACCAACGCCGACAACAACATCGATGCCCGCGTGTTGCTAGGCACCCACACCCTGGGCCAGGACCAAAACTACCTCAAGATCGCCTCTACCGAGCTTACTAGTGACGCTAATTTAGCTAGTGGTGGCCCCAAAGCCAATGCCCGCATCAAAGTGGTGAAGAAGTTCGCTAACGACGCCGAGATCAACCGCGGGCGTGTCCAGCCCCAGGACCCTAACGTGATTGCTACGATTAATGGTAACGGTGAAATTGATGTCTACAATACGGAAACTGATACTCGTAACCACTTCATTCCCCACACCGAGAACGGGTACGGGTTATCGTGGAACCGCCATAAGCAAAACTGGCTCTTATCGGGGTCCGACGACCGCTCGGTGGCCGTGACCGATACTTCGCTTGCCTCCGATAAGTCTACTATCGTCAAGGTTGCTGACTCTCATACTGATATCGTCAACGACGTGCTGTGGCACTATTTCGATGCTGATGTGTTCGGTTCCGTCAGTGACGATAAGACGGCCAAATTATGGGATCTGCGTACACAAAAGTCAACTGCGCAATTTGAAGTTCCCGACTCTCAAGGGATCAATACCATTGGCTTCCTGCCATTCTCTCACAACTTATTTGCCGTGGGTAATGCCAGTGGTACCATCTCGGTGTTTGACCGGCGCAAACCGGGCCAGTACCCGCTCCACTCGATGATGGGCCACTCCGAGGCGATCAACATGTTGGAGTTCTCCCCTCACAACGACGGTATCATTGCCCTGGGGTCACTGGATCGCAGAGTGATCATCTGGGATTTGTTCAAGATTGGCGAAGAACAACAACAAGAAGATGCCGAAGACGGGGCTCCTGAATTGTTTATGATGCACGCCGGCCACACCGCGGGAGTCACCGACTTGCTGTGGTGTCCCTACCGTCCGTGGACGTTGGCATCAGTGGCTGATGACAACGTTGTCCACTTGTGGCAAGTGGGCCAAAAAATCCTTAACGAGGGCAGCGACGACGCCGTTGCCGATGATGAACTAGAATAATAATTGTACTATTACGGAATGGAATAAAAAAGGAATTGTGAAATTTTTAATGAGTAACTTTGACGGCTAAGCTGGAACCACTCCCGGTGGTGTGTAATGTCTAAAAAATGACATCGTCGTCGTCTTGTAATAACCCAGGCTCGTCGTTATCGCCGACGTTAGCCGCCTGGCTCGCCTCGTCAGTGACGTCGGCACCTGCCTTGAGCTTCTTTTCCGCGTCCTCGGCTTCTTCTGCCGCCGCGGCAATCTGCTTCTTTTCTTGAACTTTCTTCAACCGGTAGAACTCCTCTCTGTCCAACTCGTCAAGCTCGGAATTGATATAGGAAATAGTGTTCTCGGTTCTAGGGATAATCACGTGTTCAATGGCATTGACTCTGCGGTTAGTCACTTTGATAACTTCGTCCAAAATGATGAATGCCGTTTGCAACGACGCCAACTCCACAAGCGTCTCCACCGCCTTGGTGTACACCAACTTCGCCTTCTGAACCTGTTGCCCGCCTCGACCAAGCCCCGTCAACTTGAAATCGTTGATATCCTCGTTGATATAGGGTTCAAACGTCGGCAAGTAGACACCAGACACGTTTTCTTGCTTCGCCTTCACCTGGAAGCGGGCAGTGCTCGACACCAGCTCACTCACCTGGTAGCCAATGTTGTCGCCAGTGGCGTACTGGACCTCGGCAAGCGAGAACGCCGCCGTTTGCATCACCCGCCCCATCTTGCGCTTGGCGTCGTCAATACGCTGGGTGATGTCGCGGAACCGCTTGGTGAGCGCCTCTGACTTTCTTTTTAGAAGCAGGTGGCCCTGCTGGGCCCCTTTGAGCTTGGACTTCATCACCCCAAGCGTCATCCGCGTGGGGAACACCTGTTCACGGTTCGCCGACATGGTGGTGGTGTGGTGAGTGCGAGTGCGAAAGCTAAGTGGAGGCGGTTGATTAAAGGCTTGAACGACATTAATTGATAGATTTAACATTGCAAATTTTGGATGCTTGAGTTAAGGTGATCACTTGTGTTAGCTTAGCATTGTAATTGCATGTGTTCAAGTCCAAATGGGATTGCTTTGACTACAAGGGTGATTGTATTTCGAGCAATAATTGATAATCAGCGAGCACTAACATCACTTGTTACCCATATGGTTTTGAAGCTTGATTATTGAACTCATATTAAGAGTCTACAATTGCAGATTTCACTCTGTTGAAACTTGACTATTCTGTAACGAAATCGCTTCATAGCGTAATCACCCTTGATAGTTGTGATTGTCGACATAAACCAAGTCAATCGCTTTTGAAGCACATCAAACACAACTGAGACCGTTATAAATGAAGTTAAAGAATGTACAAATCAAGTTAAAGAATGTCATCAATCCATTTTAATTTCATCTATCGTTTTGGTCCCGGCTATAACGGGTTGCTCTTGGTTTCCTGCACAAACCGTACGACCCATAATTAGGCCGCCAGCGACTACCCCAACCAATATCTCAGCCGCAATGCAATTGTTCAAATTCGACTCGCTGGAATTCGCCCAAAAGGAATATCAGATCTCTGGGATTACCACCCACGTCTACAACCTGGACAAGCTCCAACAATACCTTGAAAGAGTCAACGAACGGTGCAAATTGCCCGCGGAAACCCGCAGTCATTTGCCGGCGATCCCCATCCATGTGTTGTACTTAGTCCACCAGAGAGGGGGCGATTACCATTTCACTGAGTCAATGGCGTACAATATCTTGCACCAGTACTATGCCAACAAGCAGAATGTGGAAATTCCCCTTGTGTGTGTCACTTTTGACTCGCGGAACCACGGTGAGCGTTTGATCTCCCTGGAGAGAAACCGGGCGTGGAAACTGGGGAACCAGACCCATGCGCTCGATATGGTATCGGATCTTGACGGTACCGTCGAAGATCTTAAATTGATCATGAACCACTTACCGCTGTACCTCAATTTGGAGTACTACGTTGACCCCGTGGTTAAGGACGAGTTGGGGATCAATATCAAGTATGTTAACGCCATTGCTGGTGTATCTCTTGGGGGACACACTGTGATTCGTTTCGCTTCGAAATACCCTGATTTGGTCGACATTATGATGCCGTTCTTGGGTCTGATTGATTTGAGTACGCTTTTGATTAACCGCTTGCTTAAGACTCCCCTCGACGACCCGCTGTACGACCGGAGAATGTTTTACTTTAACTACGACGAACTTAACCTTTCAGATGAGCAGAAACAAGTCCAGTACCCTGAATTCTTCCACAAATACTTAGCTCAGCGTGACCTCCAGATCTTCGAAGAATTCCCCATGAGCAAGATCAAATTGTTTGCTGCCTTCGGTGCTGACGACACTTTGGTGCCCCCTAAGTTGCTGACGGTGTGGTGTGAGCTGTACATCAACACCAACGATGCCTCGGCTTTCATTATCGAAGAAGGCGTGGGCCATGACGTCACCGACGACATGATCAAGAAGGCCTCCGAATGGTTAGCCCGCGTGTTGTAAATCTCAAATATATCACATAAATAAGTAACACCGATCTAAGTCACCCCACGCTCAGTGGCAATACTACAAAGTACGTGAATAATTTTGTTTCGTCATCTCCACTGTGGGGAGACCTAACTTTTATTATTACGTACGTCTATGTAGTTTATTTCACTCACCGACCGCCACATAACAAAGTAGCAATGAGGGGATCTCACCCGATCGAGTGTTTGAGCTCAAAGTCAACTTGACATCCAGGCATCGCCATACCCGATGGTAACAGAGTAATCTTGAAGGAGCGTTTTCAATGCATCGGATGCTTCCTTCGGGGACAATATAGTCAAAATTGAGTTAGTAAAAGTTGGTAGCCCTTCTTGTATTCAGTTGTCCTCATCAATATATTCAGGAATTAAGTGAATCAATGTTGCTAACCTTCTCTGTATTCAGTTGTCCTCATCAGTGAGTAAAAGCTGTAGATTGATTGTGTTGGTCATTAGTAGTTCTTGGTGACAGCGGGTTTGAGTGATTACCAGAATAGCAGCGAGGTGTGGATATTTATGTGAATGGGACAAGCAGCCCTGCTCCCCGTACGGGGCTGTTACCCGGCCTTCTCAGGCGGTTCCTGGACACAAGCGGAGGCGGTTCCTGGACACAAGCGGAGGCGGAGCCAGTAGAACAATACCCCCTCCTTTGCCAGTGTCTCCGTGAGTCAGCCCACATTCCGGTTACCATGCGTCTGTGGCAAATCTCGAAAAACGACGATCGACGATCCTCTATGCAGCTAATCATGATTCTACCTTGAAGGGATCTCTGCATAAAGTATTCCTCAACCAAGTTTCTTGCCTCTATACTTGTAGGGGCAACATGACTTAGTATGGGTGGAGGCGGGGTTCAAGTGTTGTAGGATAATTTGCTCAACATCGTTCTCAAAGCACAGCGTCGTCAACTCAATGCTGGTTATTTTTCCCTTTAAGTAAGAGTTAGAACCACCCATAGCTAGTCGCACGCTTTATTGTTGTCAGCTTGACGACCACGCCCTCATCACAGGCATTCTCCACGACGAGCTGCGACTCCACGAACGATTGATCGTAGTATAGCAAAAGCGTATAGCCCACAGCCATTTAACCAGTCAGCAGTTAATCCATAATGGCTTCAGAGTCCATATCATTTGATAGATTGAATATCTCTAGGCGGCAAGATTAGTTCAGTGCGAGTCGATCGTCTCCCCGGAAGATTAAACAAACGCGCCATAGGCACGGCTGATACGCACACACTATTCGGGTAAGGAAGATAATAGCGGATATTCTTACGGCGACACAAAACCTTTACAACAGGGTTTGCTGAGCGGCATGTAAGGTATCGTATAAATAATAAACTACACAAGTTTGTAAAAGAGTGGAAAAACTTATAATTAGATATACACTTAGTTTTCCAAGTCCTTCTTGAGGGTACCCATGAAGGCGGCCTTTTCGGCGGGGGTTTGGAATCTACCCTTACCGAATCTCGAGGCGGTGTCGATCCACTTCAAGTTGACTTGTTCAGTGGCACGTCTCGAGGTGTCGACGTACAACGACTTTCTCACGGTGACAACTCTCTTCTTGATACCGGGGATCGAGCCCTTGAGCAACAAGAAGTCGTTGTTGACCATACCGTATCTGACGAAACCACCCATGGGGTTGATGGTCTTCTTGGTTCTGTCGAATTCGGTGGCACCGTTGGCTTCGTCAGCACCCGAACCCACACGGTAAAGCTTGTGGTTGATCGAGGTTCTGTGGTGGTAACCGTTTTGACCGGCTCTGGCAACAGTCCAGTTGACGTTGGCCGGGTGCCAGGCACCGATACAAGCAACCTTTCTCAAACCTCTGTGGGTCTTTCTGGGCAACTTCTTGGTGCCCCATCTGTGGGTGACACCTTCGAAACCGTGACCCTTGGTGACGGCGATGACGTCGACCATTTCGTTTTGTTCGAAAACCGAGTCAACCGACACTTCCTTTTCGAAGTGTTCCTTGGCCCAGTCGACCTTGTCGGAGATCGAGCCACCGTTGATTTGGATTTCGGCCAAGTGAGCCTTCTTTTGGGCAAGAGGGGTCTTCTTGATTTGGGTGTGGGCGAGCACTCTGACGACCGAAGCGTACTTCTTGATTCTTTGGAGTTCTCTTTCGACTTCCTCAGGCGACTTGGCGTACTTGGCGGAGTACTTGGTGAAAGCCTTCTTCTTAGACTTGAACCAGTTCTTGTAGAAGCGTCTTCTGACTTCTTCCGACAAGTGTTCGGCCCACACGGTGGTCAACGATCTCAAACCTCTGGGGGTTTCGACGTAACCGACGACACCAACGACGACCATGGGAGGAGTGTCGATGACGGTGGCGGCTTCGACAATTTCTCTCTTGTGCATCTTGGAACCGGGTCTGTCCAAGTCTCTGACGGTGGTGGTCATACCAGCCTTGTAACCGAGGAAGGCGGTCAAAGCGACGGGCTTCGACTTGTTGTCCTTGGGGAAGGCCTTAACTCTACCTCTTTGTCTGGCAGCTCTCTTTCTGGGCAAGAACCCGAGCGAACCGTGTCTGGGGGCTTCGTACTTTCTGTGAGACATGGTACTGTTGGTGTGGGCGCACCGGGAAAACTTTTCACTTTAGTATCAGCGCGAGCGTCAGCGATGGCCGTACTGCAGGTAATGAATGGTCACGTGATAGATAGGTCTCCAACCCTAAGGTTGAGTTACTTCCTAAACGATACCACCATCGATTAAAAGAGAAAGGTTGTGTCATAGTGGTGGTATTCTCCGTTGCATCTTCCTTTTGGTTGGTATCTTTGGTGGGACGGCTGCTGTCAGAACCAAGTATTGGCGGTTATAGCAAATTAGTAGTGGATACGAAGCCACAGGGGTAGGTTTAAGCCTATACTCTGTGGTAAACGTTGTTGTCAAAACCAAACCACGACAATTGATACCAATACTAGTAGCCACTAGGCGGTTGTTCGTGTGAAATTGAATTATCAGAGGGGTGCTCATCTGTAGTAGTTCGATTCCTGGTGAGACATAATTTCAATTTGTAGAATCATGCGTATTCCACGAATGGGAATGGAAGCATGGTACTCGAGATCATATTTGATTACATATAAATTGATGTTAGAAGGCTGTGTTTGAGATTACAATGAATTCAATTCAATTTATCGGTGAATGTAAATTTACGGAACAATTGCATGGTAGGTACATGCTTAGTGGTGCATCGTAAAGGGGCTTTCCTCTGGCCACAAAACCAACTTACTCACGATTAACCATGAAAGTGACCCAATTGTAATCAAGTAAAAACCTGTGTAAACTCCGAAACTAGTGTCACTCCGAGATTTGTTCAGAATCCGCAACGTCACAATATTTAAAGTCCGCAATTTGTCAGCGCGTTCCAAATTAGGTTACGTTTGCCCCATGTCACCGTGCAGCGCGGCGTCTCCCCTCCGTATATACGCAGAAAGCCCACAAATACTCCGAACTCCCACCATGCACTTGCCATGAACTCCGTCGAACTCGAGACAATCACTCCCGCCTATCCGTCAGTGTTATCGAAACGTCACGATGTTGACACTACCAATGCGTTTGCTCCACCACCGTCTTCCTTTGAGAATGGCTCTGATGAAGCTTCCGTCCCAGTCCAACAAGGGGTGCCGCCAATGACTTTACACGACCCTCCGCGGAACATGTGGCGTACCGTCGCCTGTATCCTTTGGGGATTCTCCTTAGGGTTCAGCGATGCCGCTCCAGGGGCGCTTTTGCCCCATATTGAGACCTACTATAATATTAACTATGCTGTGGTTTCCATGATCTGGGTTGCCAATGCCGTGGGGTTTATCGTGGTGGCGTTGCTTGCTCATACTATAGAGCCGTTGCTTGGTCGCCAAAAGCTGTTGCTTCTTAGTTGTGTGCTTAATATAGTGATGTACGCTTTAGTGTCGCTGGGGACGGCCTTCCCGGTGATTGCTGTGGGGTTCTTCTTTGGTGGACTTGGTGCTGGCCTTGGCGTTGCTCAGACTAATGTGTTTCTTCTGAGAATGGAATTAAAAGCCCGTTTGCTTTCATTTATTCATGGTGCTTACGGTTTAGGGGCGACCATTTCCCCGATTATCGCGACTCTGGTGGTTAACGCCAATGTCGCTTGGCACTATTTTTACTTGATCCTTCTTGGCCTTTATGCGGTGAACGGTATCAACTTATACCTCTCATTCCAAGGGTCGGATGTTGACCTTAAACCATGGGATGAAGACCCGACACTGGCAAACCGTATTGAAACGACTACACATGAAACCAGTCTGGTATCTTTACTTAAGACCGCTTTAAAGAACCCCATCACGTGGTTGTTGTCGTTTTTCATCTTCTTTTACCAAGGTTCTGAAGTGGCCATGGCAGGGTGGATCGTCACGTTCCTCCTCGATTACCGTCACGGTGACCCGTCTACAATGGGGTACGTCGCTCTGGGGTTCTGGGGAGGGTTGACTATTGGCCGATTAGCCCTTACTAACTTACTTCCGAAGCTATTTGGTATTCGTCGTGGTGTCCTCTTAGTGCTGCTTTTATCGATTTTATTTGTGGTGCTATGTTGGGTTATCCCCAGTGTGGTGGCAGTGGCAGTGCTTGTGTGCTTAGCAGGGGTGTTTGTCGGCCCAAATTATCCACTTATGGTGGCATTTACTACCACGGAAGGGCTTGTCCCCCGTAAGACTCAGGTGATTACCATCACCATCATGACGGCATTCGGCAGTTCCGGAGGCGCGTTGTTCCCGTTTATCGTTGGTTTGATCTCGCAACTGGCGGGCACATATGTGATTATGCCGGTTTTCATATCGTTGTACGGGGCGATGGTGATGCTTTGGCTCATGCTTCCAAATGTCGAACGCACTGCCAAACACGGCACCCCTCAATCTCTCTGGCAGCGGTTGTGGTAGCTACAAACAATATACGAAGCTCTTCTGCTATCGGAATATTCCTCGCAATAAAAAGACTTCAATCCAAAGTCCCTGGTTCGTTGGCTACTCCTGCTGTTACCACTACGATGGATGTAGCCACCATATGCTCTCTGACTCATTCATATTCGATTATTTCGATAATTTGACCTAATCTTCTTCGCTTGCAACCAGTTTCAACCGAGTATAGTCTTCTTCTGTTGAGAGAAGTGATACAGACTTTTCAAATGGAAGTATAAATACCAACACGCTTTTGATATCACTAATTGAAGCTCAATTGGCACTTTCAATACTCTCATGCCAATTTGGAGGTACTTGTGGGACCCGCAGTGCAGCCACTTCGACGCCACAAAATCGACTATATCAACCAGCGTAAATGGTTACTGAATTGTTGTTTCAAATGCATCTGAGTCGTACAAGTGGCATTACACTTACTTGCATCCTGTTAAGCCAAGATTAACCGAAGGCTGGCTATCGGCACAATGCAAGGGCAATTCGCCTTTCCTTACAAGATTAGAGAAGATCAATTGAACTTAGACAACTTTCAAAGCGATGTTAGTCACGTTGAATGATGGTCTAATACAATCAACGGAGTGCCTCCACTAGTCAAAATGCCGTTTGGTGCAGCGTGTGCCAAAGCAGTGGTAAATACGAAGTTTTTGCATGGAACAATCGACCTCGTTCAAAGTACAGCTCAACAACGTGGGGAGGGTACACTCTCAACTGATGCTCAATTCATTGGCTGTCAATATATATTCGAAGAGGCCGAAATCATGGCATGACAGTAATAATGTCTCAAATACCTTCACCTAACACAACACATACTCAATAATTGAGAGGGGTTTAGCTGACCATTGCATCATCAGGGTCACATGTTACTCCTTCGCTTGCTCCAACCAATTGCAATCCATATGCCTCTCTTCGTTATGTCATGAAGCGTGAGCTGTACTGCAAAGCCGCTGTCGTAAATCTGTATGCGACAGTTAAGGGGTCTACCACATAGGAAGCCAATATATTGAATTCACGAGAGAATCCCCACGTGTGTTCAGGTGTATAGGTATAAAGACGTAGTCAATTGAACCTGTTCAAATCCATTGTTCACTACTTTAACCTGCTAAATGAGACTCGACGCTTGGCTGCTGTTACCAGTGCCTCCACAGCTAAGCTCTACTGGCGTGATCTGACTCTCGAAGCGTCTGCTGGGTGGTGCAAACACTTGATGTCAGCGTGAGACAAGTTCACTTTGAAGGCGGCAACGACAACCCCACCAAGGGGACGTTTGAAGACCCCAACAACCCTGGTAGACTTTTGAACTTATACGCGAGAGACGGTGGGTTTGATTTATACGTTCAGGACGGTGATGGCCAGAAAATCGGCGACTGCTGGAAGGATAACCTTGACCGCTGCAACCCTGGTGGCGGTTTCTGGGCCGCCGGCTGGGGCCAATGCAACTACTCGTGAGTTTTTAGTTGGCGAATATAGGGAAATGCATGTGTTTGAAGCTCAATTGATGATCTCAAAAGGTCTTTCTTGAACTCAATTCGAAATGTGGGGCAATTCATTTCCATGCGACTTGTCCTGTGACTCAAACAGAATGAGAAGACGGAAATTGCCGGATCGACATAAGCTTTTACGTGTTCATTCTCCACCTACAATAATATACAGTAGTCACTTTCATTTGGTGAATAATCACTAATAGTAAGTGACTCACAAGTTCCACACAGGAGCGGGGAGATCGTAGAGCACAGTCCTGGTGAGTCGCGAGACGACCATGAAGTAGGCTCAGTAGATCCTTTCAAAATATTAAATCAAAGTCGTAGTTGACTATAGTAGTTTTATTAGCTCATATAACGGGTTCTCCGGTTCCCCCCCTGGGTGGGGTTCCTACACACAGCCAACACCCCCTTGCCGCTCCGATTGCGAACCGCCGAATAATGCTCCAGGCAACCGTCAGACGAGTGGTAACGCGAGCCATGCACATCGAACTGATCCCCATGAGATGGGGCTCCGGCGACAACTACGCCTATCTTTTAGTTGACGACAAGCTGAAACACGCGTGGCTCATCGACCCCGCCGAACCCGACGAAGTGGTGGCGTACCTCGACAAGGCCGGTACCGGCTACGAGCTTAAGGCGATTGTCAACACCCACCACCACTACGACCACTCGCAGGGCAACCAGTTCTTCCACAAGAAGTACCCGGACTTGCCCGTGATCGCCGGCAAGGACCTGCCCCAGGTGCTGTATACGCCTCAGGACGGCGAGGTAATTGATTTGGGGGACCTGTTGGCGATCACGGCACTCCACACGCCATGCCACACCCAGGACCTGATCTGCTACTACGTGCTGGATACAAACACCAAAGAGAAGGCGGTGTTCACGGGGGATACGCTATTTATTTCCGGGTGCGGCCGGTTCTTCGAAGGCACACCCAAGGAGATGGACTACTCGCTCAATAAGGTGTTGGCGAAGTTGCCCGACGCCACCAAGGTGTACCCGGGCCACGAATATACCCGCAGCAATATTAAGTTCTCGCAGAAAGTGCTTGACAACGACGCCATTGCCGCCCTCGCCGAGATGGCGAAAGCCAACGAGCACACCACGGGGAAGCTGACCATCGGCCAGGAGAAACAGTATAATCCGTTCATGATGTTGGGAGACCCCCAGGTGCAGCGGGCGACGGGGGAGCTGGCGCGGGAGGCGGTGATGGGCAAGCTCCGAGAAATGAAAAACAATATGTAGAAAATGGCGTCTATATTCGTACAAACTCGGGTTTGCGGGTGTCGTCGACCTCCAACTCCGGGTTCCATAGCTCAATAAACTCGAGGTCATACTCCAGCTTGCCCATGGCATACTTCTCGTACTCGTCAAAGATCGCCGCTAGCAGCCACCCTTGTAGCATCTTTCTCATGAGCCCCACAAGCACTCCGATGCGGTGTTTACCCTTATTAGAGTGGACCAACATCGGGAAGTTATCTTTATCAAGCATGAGTTGAAGCGCCGCTTGTAACAGCTGGTGGGCTTGAGTTTCTGCCAGCACCAATGTGAACGGTTCTTGGGGTGATTCAAAGAGCAACTTGTGGAATTTGATCAGGGTTTCTGTTTCGATCCATTGTTCGTAGGCCTGCATGATTTCAACGGTGCCGTGCTTGTCTTTCTTCTTCTCCTTGCGTGTCAGCGGCATCCCCAAGTCGCCCAAGTAGACGATGGTTTTGATGCCCAAATCATCGAGAAACGGGTAGTTGATGGGCATGGGGAACCCCAGGCGATAGATACCATCCTCCACCAACGCAAAGTTGAGCGGAGGCACGTATCGGGGCGGGGCCATGGCCAGAGGTAGTGGGTGCGACGTTCACAAAGTGGTCGGTGCGACCGATACTTCCGATAGTTAACACAGCTGGGGTTCGGTAACAAAATGTGGCAATTGGTTCCAGTTTAAAATTAGTTGTATTATTGGTGGCATAAGTGTCAACGCTTGATCTCTAAGCCTGTAATTTTGGACTAAGTTTGAGTTGTAATTTAATTACAGAAGTATGAGGAATTATAACACTAGATTAATTGCATCATAACCCTGATGAGCTGTCAATAACGACTTATTATCAGTTACATGATCGCTAACTCCTCATAACACGACCACCGTTCGCGTGTGTTACCCCAGTCACACGAGCGGTGTCGGGGTTAGCCATATATGACAGTGTTGCAGCCTCGCAGCATTGCCAACCCGCGGCGTCACCTGAACCTAATACAGAAGGAGCTTACTGTGAAACCAAAACAACAATTGAACATTAATCAGCTATGAAACACGTCCATGACAAGTTCCAAAATGTTATTGTTGCCTACGGCTGGCCATTTTAGCAATGGAGTTTAGCGAGTCTACCACTTTTTTCCTTCACGTGATCTCATCCGAAAGAAATTTTCAGTCTAATCGCTCGCCACTACCAAAGGAACCAATCCCACAAATATCATGTCGTGGCTCTTTGGCTCCAAGAAGCAAGAGACTACCGAACCCGAGGCGACGTCGCTGTTAGGCTTCGACCCCGCCCAGGTCACCGACATCAACAACGTCATCAAAACCCCGGGCGCGTTGGACCCGGCGAGATTGCACCCGTTGGCGGGGTTGGGCAAAGGTATCGAGTACTTGGACCTTGAAGAAGAACAATTAAACACCGTTGAGGGTTCCCAAGGGATCATCCCCCTGAGACTGTGGACGGACGATCTCTGTTACGGTACCGGTGCGGTGTACTTGTTGGGGTTAGGCATCGGGGGTGCCTACGGTATGCAAGAAGGTTTAAAGGCGGTGACCCCGGACATGCCCGGGAGAGTCAAACTCAATACCGTGTTGAACCACATCACCAGACGCGGGCCCTACATCGGTAACTCCGCCGGGGTCATCGCCATGACCTACAACCTTATCGACTCGTCCTTAGACGCTCTCAGAGGCAAGCACGACGACCTCAACTCCGTCGCCGCGGGGGCGTTGGCCGGGGCGTTGTTTCAAGCCGGTAAGGGGGCTAAGCCCATGATGTACTCGACGGCGCTTGTTTCCGGCGCCGCCGCCGCCTGGTGTGGGTTGAAGCGCGTGTTGAAGCACGGCGTCGAATCCGAGGTGCTCAGTGAACCTCAAGTGACTAACGAAGCTAAATGAACCTTGCATTTGGGGTTTTGTACATAGACATGTATCATAATGTAGAAACGAATTTTCGCATTGTAAAGTGTAGTACTCTCCGGAGTGAAAAAAACGGGGAATTCCCAGGGTGGTGGCCTCAAAAACTCATTCAACAACTAATGTGGGGTTCGTTGGCAATATTCAGGGTGTGCAAGGTCGAAAAAGTAAAAAAGTATTGACACCGACGTGATTCGAACACGCGCATCTTACGATAACAGAAACCCCAACCTCACAGTTGAGAAGCTTTCGCTTGAGTCTGCCGCCTTAGACCACTCGGCCACAGTGCCTTACAAAATTTTGGTGAAATACGGTTCTTTATATTCAAGTGAGTATGACAAATCCGTGAATAAGGGGAGTATCGAATTAACAACTCCGATTTAATGCTTTTTTCAACGCAATTTGCCCCTATGTGAATTCGTTTTGTGCGATTATTGAGTTGATGAGATAATTTAGCTATTTGAAAATTATCTGACATTCTTGGATCATGGTTAAAATCGTTCTGATACAAGATCCAACAAGGCAGCACTCCTCTCATTTTACGTACTACTCGAGCTAACATTCAGATCAATTCTCTTTTGTAAACTTCAAAGCAATGATTTGTAAAAGCTTCGCAAGGACCGTGATCACTCGAACTGAGGCAGAAGTTCAACAAAAAACATTGTGTACTCATATTCTGATGTCTGATTACAAATCGACTTCAATCCAACGATTATTTCCCCATATATTAGTTTTCTGTCGTAAACAAATTTTAGATCATACGGGGAAAGCCGCGCCAATTGCTATATGCTTCGCATCCTCCGCACCATGGCTACTTACACCCCCGAACGGGCGACCCAATTGAAGGAAGCGTACCTGGTAATTGCTAATCAGGTGAAGCAGGCTGATCCCAGTGGTAAGGTGACGCTTGTGGCGGTGCTGAAACTCAAGCCCGCCAGCGACATCCAAGCCCTTTACGACGCTGGCGTTCGCCACTTTGGCGAAAACTACCCCAATGAATTAGTCGATAAGGCTCAGCAATTGCCCCAGGACATCAAGTGGCACTTTATTGGCGCTTTACAGCTGGGGAATGTCAATACTTTGGTGAAAAAGATTCCTAACTTGTATGCTATTGAGACCGTTGATCTGTTGAAAAAGGCGAAGAAGGCATCGGCTCTGAGGCAAGGTCAAGATAAAATCAACGTGTTTCTTCAATATAATACTAGTGGTGAAGAGCAAAAAGCTGGATTCACGCTGGTTGATGAAGTGGTTGAGTGTGTTAAATGGCTCCAAAGCGACGAGAACACCAGTCTTGAGCTTAAGGGTTTAATGACCATTGGTCTGTTTGAACAATCGGTGCTGGGAGAAGAGAATAAGGACTTTGCTACGTTGGTGGATGTGAAGAAACAGGTAGACTCGCTGTGTGGCACTGATCTTGATTTGAGCATGGGGATGTCTCATGATTTCGTCCAAGCCATCGCTCAGGGGAGTACTAACGTGCGGGTAGGGTCGCTGATCTTCGGTGCCCGTCCTCCCAAGAATTAAAGCTTGAAAATTGATGGGTATTGTCCAATACGTAAATACTCATAGATACATACAAATATCCATGCAATTATCAAAGTCTTGTAAATCTATGCAATTACCATGAATCAGTTATCACTTACTAGAGGACTCATTCCATTGAATGGTGTCTAGTCTCTGTTCAATGCGATCGAGTCTCAACTCTATACGAGTCAAGATATCGAGGATCCGGCGTTCAAGCGGGGTCAATGGTGCCAACAGTGTTTGCTGAGGGACAGACTTGGCCCGTTTATCGTCTCCTCCTTCAGATTCGTCGTGGTGGTCAGCGACACTGTGCAGTCGTTTCCGGGGCCGGAGTTCATGGCTGAAGCCGGCACCGGCAATGCTAGGGCGACGGCTGCGAGGACGTACTTCAGGGAGCATGTGGATCTCCTTGGTTACTTTGCTAGAGTCACCAGTTGTGGGAGATGAGTCGCTCATGGTGAGGCGAAGAAACGGGTCACTGGAAGCGAGCTGATGACGCCATTTTTTCTTGTTGTTTTGACGATGTGACACCAAAAAATAAATAATTTCCAGCTAGCCAACGCTGAAATTCCGTGCGGCCCGTCGTGCGAGTGAGGCAGATTCCGTGCGCGCGGTATAGATAAAATTGATACGGTTCCGCAGTGTGCTAACAAAATAGCCACACAAATATGATAGTGCGAGTGCGGAACCCCACACAGACCTCATGAGTGCGGCCACGATACTACTCCGACGGCTCCTGACAGCTCGAGTTCGCCTCCAGCTGGGTTCGGGACCCCAAGGGGTACACGGACGGTTTGCCACTGCCAATAAACTCGGAGATAGCAGCTCCCTGCTGACAGCGGTGGCGATTACGGACCCGTTTGTGCTTTATGAGAACTACGTGGCACTGGGAGTGATTGAGCCTGATGAAGCTCAGCTCCGGGTGATGAAACATTTCCAAAAGCTTTATTATCGGTTGCTAGGTTACGTCCCGAAGGGTGAAGTTGAAAATAAGATCCAGCTTATCTTGAGGGATCTTGAATACCACCGGTTCCACCACGCCGAGCGAGAGAAACAAAAGCTGTGGCTCCACGCCATCAAATGGTACCCCGACCCTGAAAGACAAACACGACAAGTGATGAAGTTTGTCACTGATGAAGAAGAAATTATGGATCAAGGGTTTTCGCCTCAAGGATTATTAGTTAATGGTGATGTGGGCTGTGGCAAGCTGATGTTGATGGATATATTTGCTCAACTGTTACCGATGCTGCTGAAGATGAGATGGCACTATTCAAATTTCATTTTGTGGGTTTTCACACAGATGCACAAGTTGCAACAAGACCGTCAATTTGAGATGCAATTAGCCCGAAACCACGGCGTGTACCTGGACCATCGGCTTCCCTCGATGGAACGTGAGTTTTTGTTATTTCATGTGGCTCGTCAAATGATTGAAAAGTCTACCGTGTTGATGCTTGACGAGTTTATGCTCCCCGATGTGGCTCTGGCTCATATTGTGCGGATCCTCTTTACTTACTACTTTAAACTCGGTGGGGTATTGGTGGCTACGTCCAATAAACTTCCCGAGGAGTTATACTCGCAGAATTTCAACAAAACGAGATTTGCCGGTTTTGTTGGGGTATTACACGCTCGTTGTGAGCTGGTGGATATGAAAGAAGGTACTACCGATTATCGGGAAAAAGCAGCTAATGAAACTAAGACCCAACGGGTGGTGACCAACTTCAAAGATATTGATCGGTGGAAGAGATTGGTGGAGCCAGTGCTTCAAGGCCCCATCCAACCCGCTACCCTTGAAGTGTATGGTCGCCACATCGAAATCCCTCAAACTTATGGAGATGGTAAAGTCGCCTACTTACCATTTGACGAATTCTGTGGCGGGCTTTACGCTGCTAGTGACTACATTCTGATCGCACTGAGATTCCCCGTGGTGGTGATCGATAAAGTACCCATAATGACGCTTCGTCAAAGAAATGAGGCTCGACGTTTGATCACATTGATTGACGCTGTGTATGAGGCTAAGTGTAAGCTTTACTTACGCACTGAAGCTCCCTTGAACCAATTGTTCTTCCCTCTCGAATCCAATGATACCGATACCACCCAGGAGGATTTGCAGCAACAGGAGATGTTTGCCCGTACGCTTATCGACACCGAAATGCCTTATAGACCCAACGTGTCCACTTACGATCAAGACCATACCCAAACTTACGTCACTGAAGAAAGTGACCACAGCGCTGAACCTCCTCTGGCTCAAGATTATACCGATGCTAGAGCGTTCATGGGTGAAGACGAGAAGTTTGCTTACAAACGTGCTGTGCTGAGACTTGCTGAGATGGTGCTGGATCGCTGGGCGATGATGGATCGATGGGTACCCGTCGATGATACCATGAGACCATGGGAGGAGTCGTCCGAACCCGACAAAATAGCTCCACAACTGGGAGGCAAAGAAGGTCCCGTTGTGGCTCCAAACGCCCCTAAATTTGACGAAGGTCATGTGTGGCAAATGGGGAGCTGGACAGCCACTAATGCCGACCGCGCTAAAGACCCGATCACGAAGCAATGGCTCAAGTCAGGAATGAAGAACAACTCAGAAGAAGCTGCTTCGCCTTTTGACAAGAAGCAGTAGTCATAGCAAGATTCCTCCATCATATTTGTTGGTGCATTTCATATATTATTTATTCAATTTACAATTTAACAACCAAAAACAATAAAAACAGGCTTTATTATGAATAAGTGTGACTTCTATTTTAAAAACATAGATGTTGGATGACTAGTCTAAGTATATAAAACCGTTGATTCGAAAATTTTCAAGGCGTGATTTCTCCACTTTTTCTACACAAAGCGGGTTTGTTAATACGCCAGCAATGGCATTGTGGCCGAGTGGTCTAAGGCGGCAGACTCAAGCTTATCATAGCTTCTCGACTGTGAGGTTGGGGTTTCTGTTATCGTAAGATGCGCGTGTTCGAATCACGTCGATGTCATTATCTTTTTCTTTTTGAATTTTTGGCAAATTGGACCAATGGAATTCCACCAATTTCATTTCTCAGTTAAACTCACTCTCCACTACTCTTCTCGACGCACTCTATTAATTTCCATTTCGGCTTTTGGTGACGCTCGCGTGGTACCATCAGTATAATCAAGTCGCAGACGCGTCGCACCAGATCCCCAGATGGAGGCCATCGCCCACACCGTATTCTGGCACGATGAAGCGAAACCGGTTTATTCGCTAGCATTTCAACCTCAAGGAGACCGACTCATTACTGCTGGTGGCGATAATCACGTTCGAGTATGGCAAGTTCCGGTGACTAAAGATCCATTTTCGGTGTCGATTGATTACTGGAGTACGCTCATAAAACACACCCAGGCGGTGAATGTGGCGCGTTTCAACAGCAAGGGAGACATGCTAGCTACTGGTAGTGACGATGGCAAAGTGTTTGTGTGGAAATTGGCTCCTCCAGATGCTCCTGCTGAGTTTGGCGCCGAGGTCGACGAAGACGCTAAAGAGAAGTGGCACGTTGTCGGAGTGGTACGTGATTCACTGAAGGAAGTGATTGACTTAGCCTGGCTGCCTCAGGATGATTATATCGTTGTGGGGACTCAGGGAAACCATGCTGTTATCTATAAACTTACTACAAACGAAACTGGCAGAATTTCCGGGGAAGCGGTGGCTCAGACAGATGAACGAGACCATACCCATTTCGTCCAAGGTGTGGCCTGGGACCCGCTCAATTGTTATATTGCTACACAGAGTGTGGATAAACTGGTGAACATATATCGTTGGCATCAGGCTACCTCAAAGCTTGAGTTGGTGAAAAAACACACTCACGTCGACGGTAAATTGGCCTATTTCTCCGAAGACTTAAACCTGTTCTTCCGCCGACTTTGCTGGACTCCCGATGGTGCTTACTTGATTACTGCTGCTGGTAAGACCAGCGACGACGACAATCTACCCTGTGTTTATGTTTTCGCTCGAAACCACTGGGACCTGCCCGTGTGGGAGCTTCGCGGACTTAATAAGCCGGTAGTGGCAGTGCTGGTGCTGCCGGTTAAATATAGAGCCGGCAAGGACCGGGTGCTGACGCTTAACTATTATTATCTTGTGGCGGTGGCGACGCAGGACCTGGTGGCGGTGTACTCGACTGAAACCTGGCAACCGCTAGCGCTCGCATCAAACTTACACTACTGCTCGATCTGTGACGTGCTGTGGGACGCTAGTGGCGAGCGCATCATGGCGCTGCTGGCGGATGGCTTCTGTAGCACGGTGGTGGTGCCCGTTCCCGGAGAACGTATTTAATTAATGCTTGGCTATGAACATATATCTATTGGGACGCGAGCTTGCGTTGCAATTGCTCGCGGGCGTTGAGGATCATCCGCTGCTTGCGCTTTAACAAGAGGGTATCCAAGTCGTCGTCTTCACCTTCTTCAGGAGCAGGGCTCAGAACGTCGACGTGGTACTTCTCGACAAGGTTGACGGCCTTAAAGTTGATCGGGTCAGTCTTGGTATTTGAGGTAGTGGCCGGCGCTGGTGCTGGTGCTGGTGCTGGTGCTGGAGCCCGGTAACCGGGGGGAAACGGCAAGCTGTTGTTTTGCATATAGTTGTCGATCGTCAACTCCACCAGTCCCGTCTTCTCCAAGTCGTACACGATCTGCTCCCTGGTCAACTGCGGGGCAATCGCTTGGACCACCTCCACCATCAGGTCTGACGGTGGACGCTGGTGGCGGCGGCGGGCACTGCCGGTGGTGGTGCCATCAGACACCGCCAGCGACCGGGCCTCACGCTGGGTGGTGCGTTCGTTGATGAACTCGTTGGTTTGGGGGATGGGCGAGATGAGCCAGCGCATGAATATAAACGCCACCGCGATGGTGACGATGAACACCAACGTCGACGACTCCATATGTGTGATCGAGCAGTGGTGGCCACCACAGAGGGTTTATCGCTGCGATTTCAGTGCGGCGCCACAGACCCCCGCGCGCGTGCCTCACCGAGCGAAAAAAAAAAGACTTATATGCAGTACAAAGTCGTCAATGGTCGCGTTCTTATCACCAGGGTCTTTTTTTTCTTAGTGACGTCACTGAGAGCTCAATCACGCTAACAGTGAGAAACATCTACCCAGCCACAAAACCGGGGTAACTAGCCCAGTTCCCGATGACAAATGCTTTTCCCCCACAGCCCACCCAGAAAAAAAATTGCCAAGAAAGTTTGGGGGTTGTCATCCAGCAAAGATATAAAGAAACCACGACCACACGTCATTTGCTTCCACCTGGATGGATTCGTCTTATAGTGCTTGCATAGATACACACCCCGTATAATTGAGGCTGCGACCACACCCCCTCTACGTTAGCGACCCAGCCCCCGATTATCCAAACACTACTAATAATACTAGTCCACACTTATTATTTCTATGTATTTCCCAATTCCTATCACGCCCAGGAATTTTATCCGCCGCAAAAAAGAAACCTTGTGGAGCTTCGCCTAGTCCCCCCTCGCTAAGGGTGAGGTGTTCGCCCGCCTGCACACAATCCTGCAGGCGCACTCAATGACACAAATCCCACTAATAGGTGTACCTTACACCAGGTTATTTCTGCCCACGATCGTTTCTGGCCCCGTGTCCCCGCCGCTGTCGTCCGTTCCTTAGTCTGGTTATTCCGTGACCCCACCTGCCGTTATCTGATCTCGCGGATTACACCCTAAAAAGCTCCTAGGAAAATGACGGCTAGCGCCTCGGTGCCGCTCCCCCCGGGGGTCGGCCGCTACCCTCTTGTCGACGTGCTCGAGGCGGAAATCACCGCCACCGCCGCTACCAGTCTCCATCCCCAGGTGCACCAGATGGTCCAGGTGTTCCTCAAGTATCTCCGCGAGCCCCGGTTCCAGGCGCCGTTGACGATGCCCCAGCTATCCCAGCTCTTTGCCCTGTGGAACCGCGACCTCGCCCTGGTGGTGATTGGCCTCTATACGCTGTCAAACAGCTTGAAGAAGCTGTTGATCGCCCAGCTGGAGTACATCAATGCTCATCCGAAAGTGTTTGACTATTTGCTTGCCATTGCCAACTACAGCGCCCTGCTGATTAAACTCCTTAAACGTCACGATGCCGACGCGCTCTACCAACTCCGGGTGTTCAATTTCTATAAGTTCTACACCGTGTGGGCGCAAATACGCCAGGCCCAGCACGTGTTGTATACTCTGGTGTTGGGAGATGCGGTGACTCCTCTGGCTCGCATGAAACGGGCTCTAAAAGAACAACGCGACGACGCTCTGTCAGTGCAATCTGAAGACGATACCCTTTACGCAAAAGTGTTACGCTTTGACCAGCGCGATATCATCCACCAGGAATTCTTTGACGAGAAAATCGCCATTTTACGCCAGCATAAGTTGCCGTGGACGGCGTTCATCCATCTGGAGACGTCAGACCAGCACGATAAGCTCGATAAGTTCTTCTCCGAGGTTACCGATGATGACATCGCGGCATTACAAACGCAATTGGACGTGATGGCGGCGGCCAAAACTCCCAGCACTAAGCTTTTGGCCGTAGTGGGGCTCAACCGCCAACTTGTCGAGTTATTACGCCACCACGGATTCGCTAACGCCGAAATCAACAACGATATTTTACTTCCCGTGCTCATCTATTTAGTGGTGACGAGACTCGAGCCACAGGACTTAGTGCTCAACTTCCATTTCATCAAAAATCTCGGCTACCAGCTTGACCCTTACCGCATCGAGTTGTACCTGGTTCCCGGAGTGCTGCTGAGTCTCACTACTTACCAGCCTCAGGATAAAATCAACAAGTCTCAGCTCCATAAACACCGCCTCCAGAATTTGTTTGAGCTCTGCAACATGCACCCCGAAGTGGACGCCGATACACCTGAGCCCGCAGTAGCAGTGGACCTGGAGTTCGAGTTCTGCCCCACCACTGCGGCCCTTATTTCCTTCATCACCGACAACTACCTCAACAACGGCGAGCTCATGTACTACCTCACCAACTTGGAGGCGTTAGTGATGTTTTTGTCCAACGTCACCATCGACGAACTCTCGGATAAGCCGCCCGAACTGACATCCCCTTTAATGGTCCACCCCATTTCCAAGTTGGTTGAAGATGATATGATGCTGCATTTTGCCTTCCCTAAGGGAACGTTAGCCGAGGAAGAGCTTGCCAACGGTACTCTGCTGCCGAAGAAGTCCCCCAGGCTGTCGCCTAACCGCCTGAGATCGCTGTCGTTGATGCAGAGCATCACCAACCGCATTGGCGACGCCACCACTCGCATTTTGAATGAGAACGGATCACTGTCCCGCCAGAACCTGAACCCTAATCGAGAACTGCAAGGGTCTAACGATTTCGGGCCGCGGGATCTGCCGATGAAGGAGCTGTTCCCCCTCCTCACCAACGACGGAGACCTGGGTGTCCTACTGGTGCTGAGCGAAAACTTGAACCAGGACGATACCCTGCTGTTCCTGATGATGCGGTCATTTCTCGGCCGACTCAACTCGGTATCACAATTCCTGCTTGCTCAGGAAAGCTCTGTTGGTCCACCGCGGTTATCACCGCTGCACTCCAGAACTCGGTCGCTGCTGTATGAGCCTAACGGCAAGCGCAACACCATCACCAAGTTTGCCCTGGGAATGACCGAGTTTATGACCAAATTCAACAACCCCGTCCACCCTCTGCACGACGACGTCACCGAGATTCTGGGGCTGGAAGGGCTTGACAGCTCGTTGACCACCATCAGACCTCAGCCGACACGGGCCCGCACCAACCTGAGTTTTCAAGTAATGGACAAATGGCTCCAGAACCTTGCTACTCCTGCACTGCCGATGAAGACTCAGGAGAACTCCGCCAAACCCTCGGTGAGCGAGCTCACACGTTTCCGGGGTACCGACTTCGAGCTGTTGCTGATAGCTGATTTGAAGGCGATGAAACGGTACTACGACTTCATGTGTGGCGAGCTTGCCGTGGACGAGTCCGCCGAAGATCTCGGTGTATAACTGCATATTGATTTCACTTCCAATACATATAAAAATTACAGGACTTCAGAGGGTAGCAACATTATGTAGTCTGATCTGACAATCTACAAAAGTGATAAACTACTAAAATGATGAATTGTGTCTCTGATTATACTCTCTTTATTAAGTCCTATACTCTCTTAATATACTCTTATACTCTTATATCTTGTATCTCGATATCTTCACAAGTTAGCCTCTTGCTTCTTAAATTTGGGTCCAGTTTGGCGGACCATGGGTGCCGGCACTTGCTGGCGGTAGTTCTGCGGGTTCAGGTATACGGGGCGATGGGGTTGAGCTCCACTTTCGTGGGTCTGAGTGATTCTAGGCGTCAGGCCAGCGTGCGATGAAAACCCAGTGGACAGAGCTATAGCGTCTTGCCAGAGTCTCAGCACGATCGCCGCCGACTCCGCCTCGATGTCGGAAAGCTTCAGCGGCGGCTCCAGGCGCCGGTCGCGCTTATTAATCTTGATTTGGTCGGTGTGGCTTAAGTGGTTGATGCGATCAAGCAGCTCGGCCACGGGGTTCTGATAACGACGAACACTAAGGTACTCGCGACTGAACCGTTCCAGCTCCATCTTCTGCAGTACGCGGGAGTTACTGCTCAGCACCGAACGGAGAAACTGGTTCAAGTTGGTGGGTTCTGATGCTCCCGGTGTAGTGACAAGCGCCCCCTGTAATGCTCCTTGAAGTGAAATTTCTCCTCCTGTAGTTGACCCTAAAGCTCCTCCAGTGCTTCCGGGAGTGGTATCGTTGCTATCTCCGAGCATATTCGTCTTAGACCCACTGCTGCTGCCGCTAGCAAATTGGGTCATATTTGTAGTGCTTTGGTTATGGGCAAACATCAAGTTGGAAAGCGACAAATTGGAGAAGTTGTTGAGGTTGTTAGCGTCCAAATGGGACACGTCCATCAATGAGTTCTCCCGCTGGAGCCATAACCGCTGCTGGGTTCTGGTATCTGATTGGGCGTGGGTGTGAGTGTCTGGAGCCAAAAAGCTGGAGAAGTTATTGGAAAACTTTGGTGTGGGTTTCCGTTTCAAAGGAGTAGGCTCCACTGGGGGCATTGATGACGATGAATTAGTCAGGTTAGAAGGAGCGGCAGCGGAAGCCACTTCCACCCGAGGCGGCAGCGATGATGATTGTGGTGGTTGTTGCTTGTCGTAATTGTCATCATCATTAGCCAATACTGGAGACTTAGACTTGGTAGAGGCAGGGTGGGGCAGTTCAATCTTTCGCGTGAGTCCAGTAGACTGAGATAAAAGAAGCGATCCTCCGTAAGCAGCGCCATTAAGCAAATCGTCAGTGGACGCTTGAGGAGAAAATTTCGGTTGTACGGTGACATCGTCAGGGATAAGCTCAAACTGGTCAGCGGCGGCGTTTTTCCTCGGTACCGGCCCGGAGAGTAAACGATCGCTGCTGGTCGACGTGTTCGTCGAAGTTTCGGAATTACTGCTGTTGGGATCAGGATTCGGCGTGATAAACCCTCTGGTTGCTGGTACCGATACTTCGTCGTCGGTAGCGCCGACATCTTCGTATTCATCGTCATCATGATCATCATTAAGCTCTAGGATCGCTTTCCCCTTGCGGGCACTCGTCTTAAGCCCCACGTGAGGCGGCAGCACTAGGAGGCCTCGAAGCGACAGCGTCAGGCGTGATTTCGGGTGCGGGGACATCGTCGTCGTTGAGGAAGTGTTCTCGCTTCCACCGGAAAGCGTCTTGGTAATTGGCTGGAGACCCAGCAATCGCGTCATGCTGCGACTATTCTGTTTAATCTTTTGTCGTATAAGTCCGTCAGTCAGCTTTGAGCGGCCTAAGCCAGGGCGGTGGCTCACGGGCCCGCCGTAGTAGACCTTAGTGAACAGCTTGTTGGCCTTGATCTTAGGCGGTTTGCGGGCATTGGCTGCCAGCGACGTCACCGCTAGCAGCTGGGCCAGCGTTAGTTTGGGCCGGCCGCGCCCGTCGTGGGTCGTCAGCAGGCGCAGGGTGTGGCTGGTCAGCATCGACGGGATGGTCGCACGAAATGGCTCTCGTGGACCGTTTATAGCGTAAAGAGGGGAAGGAACAATTGTACTAAAAGTTACAATATAAAGATATTGAAATTATAAATTAAAGCCAGAGGAGAGTACACTGAGTTCATAAGAATGAGATCGATGAATTTTGCTTTTATTCGAATGGTCAGTGGTGGCATGGATAATGGCTGTCGTAGATGACCACTGACGAAAATTACTAGTGACCTGATTAAGAGGAAGTGATAAGAGAAATCGTTTAACATCACCTCATTGAGATTGATATCGTGGTAGGAAGTCGATTGTGCCAAACGAATGGTGACCTACTAGGCCCAAAGAGGGGCACACGTCGCAGTGTGGGGTACATGAAGCAGTCGATTCGGAACGACTGGTTCCAGTTGTAGATTGATAAGTCAAAGACAGCAAATCGATTGTTTAAGTGTCACTAAGTTTTGATTACAATATGAGATAGTCTTCGAACGTTAGATACACTCTCGCATCTCACTGACCACCCACTATACGAGGTCTAACATGGTATAGCGTGCTCAGCAATAGACCCTTTGAAAACTTCATAGACTTATCCGACCACGTCATCGCTGACTTATACATAGTAGTAATTCCAGTTCTTTGCAATGTACTCATTGCCACCTACAATCTTCCTATTATTGTCGTCATTACTATTAACGTGTACTGAAGCGTATACCAACGTATACCGGACGTATACTTGACAGTATACATCAACTTTCAACTCTCATTAGAAGTTGCCTCGACCGCGGAACCCCCGGCCCCGGCCTCTAAACCCCCGGCCGCCGCGGAAGCCGCCCCGAGGAGGACCTCTTCCTCTGAAGCCTCTGCGGTCCATCAGCGCTTCCTGGCCGGCCTGGCCACCAAAGATCCCTCTACCGTACTGTCGTCCTTCTTTGAAACCCGGGTCCAAGTCAATCGACACGTATTGGCCATCAAGACAGGTGTGGTTCAAGTACTTCATCGCGTCCAAACTCCCCTGCTGCTCACGGTAGACGACAAAACAAAACCCACACGGTGTGAGTTTATTGCGGTCCAACCCCATGATGATTTTGTCGATGGCGCCACATTTGGAGAACAACTCGTAGATCTGTTCTTCCGTAGTGAAGTGGGAAAGCTTACCGACGTAGATGGTCCGCAGCGCCATCGCTGCCGTCAAATCGTCGAAGTTCTGGCGTCTCACTGCCTTGCGGATAAGGTACTCCAGCGGCCGGTCCTGGCGGGCGGCGCTGTGGCGAAACCGCTCCTCGAGTGTGTCCATGGAGATGGTATTGGCGTGTGCGACCAGCACCGACCAACACCACCTAAGGCGCGGGGCGCGAGACCTACTACTTCGAATGAAAGATTACTGAGACAACTAGAAATTGATTGAAAAGTTTATCAGTTGACTCAGCCGATTATCACTACATTAAGAGAATTGAAGATTTTTGCTTTCTTGGTAATGAAATAAACAAAGATAATTTGTACTAAATTGGCTACAAGTGAATCACCAAAGTATAAAGTGATGACTGGAAGTGTTACATTTCAAATCACGACAGATCTCTTCAAACCATAAGCGTATGTTTTAGGTCATGTTATCCCATTCTCGTAATTAAACTATGTACAGATTTCGTCACATCTTCGACAAGAAGTTGTTGTTGTTGATGCGCTTGATGTTGGCCTTGCGCAACTGGCGCTTTCTCCACTTCATGATGTCGGCCTCCTTCAAGTCGGCGTCCTTCTTCTGCTTGTCCAAAAGCGTCCACAACCACTCGGGGTACTCGGCGTCTTCAAGGGCCACCGGTTCGTCGCCCAGCTTCTTGATCTTGAGGTTGAGCACGGTGCCGGCGGGGCACGACAGCACCACCAGCGCTGCCGGCTTCGGGGCCGCCAATACGGTGCGGGAGACGTGGAGTGCCCGGACCCAGCTTCTCATGTTCAAGGTTGGTGATGGAGAATTTTCGCACCGCGCTTCGTAGTCGAGGTACCATGGTAGCTAAGGTTTAGCTTTAATGGAGAAACAGTGATGAAATATTGTTGAAGTAGCCATGGAGTGATGATGAGGTGATGATGTTGAGCAAGATAGAAAAGAATTGTATGGTCGGATCGGTTGAACTTTCACAGATGAGATTTGATACTAATAGTATGCCATAGATCATGACTAGGAAACATCTGTAAGATCCGTTAAAGCTCCTAAACTCGTATTGCACTATGGAGGCTCGATTAAATGAACATAGGATTACACCTGGCATCAGTTTTACGAATAAGTAAGACACAGGTTTGAAGTCACTAGCGCCCGATGCCCCTCTTATCGGTGCGGTGCGGGTGCGATGAGGTGCAATGCAACCGACCCTGATCGACCCCAACGAGTACGTGGAAGCGGCCGAAGGCACGCTCCAGTTTGGCGACCAGGCCCAGCAGGGCAAGTTCGAGCTCGGGGTGTGCATGGCCATCTACAAGTGGGAGGAGTTGGCCACCGCCGTCGACAATAACTGGGGGGGTCCCCAGCTGGCAGACAAACGGGACTGGATCTCGGGGGTGGTGATTGACCTTTTCACCGAAAACAAGATTGTCGACATCCAGCTCATTGAAGATACTTTGCTTTACGCCATGGCCGACGAGTTTGACACTGAAGTCGATAACGACTCTGCCCTTGAGATTGGGGCTTTAGTGTTTAAGCTCTATCAGGAATGCGCTCAAGAGAAGTACGATACCGTCGATGCGTTGTACCAGGCGTACCAGGAAAAGCAGGCGTACAGAGCGAAGCATTTGGTTGAGCTTCAGGCGGATCCTAACAACCCTTCGGACTCTGACGACGACAGCGACGACGATGAAGAAGACCACGACCACCACCACCAACATGATAACCAGGGCCACCTCCACACTCACCACGAGGACCTGATGGACGTGGACGACGGGCCTGTGGTTGACGACGACGGGTTCGAATTGGTGCAACCTAAGCGCAAGGGGAGACGGTAAACGGAAGGTAAAAGTTGGTAAATAGAAACATTAGACATTAATACAGTAATAGGAAAAAGGAGACAGTAGTTGAATCGCATTTGATGGCTCAGGGTACGTCACTAAATTGGAGGTGTTCATGGCAATTTGCTAATAACATCGTTGGCGCCTTCGGCGAGGTCAAAGTCCTTTTCAGTGACAACATCGCCTTGGTCGTGAGTGGTGAGCCAAAGATCAACGCGGTTGTACACGGTGAATATCTCCGGGTGATGGCGTTGAGTGTGGGCGCAGGTAGCGACGCCATTGAGGAAGTCCCACGTGCGTTTGAAGCTCTTGAACTTGTATGTGGCGTAGAGGTACTGTTTCCCCTGTTTTTCCACCACCAGCCATCTTTGCTTAGCAGCGTTAACTTGGGTAAGACGCGTCGCCAACTCCGTCGCCAATGGTCGCATTGATAGTATAAAGTGAGACGCAAAACCGAAGTGGAATGGTAGTTCAGATTTTTAAGTAAACAAGTTTCAGTTCTACAGAAACAGCAATTGCTTGAGTAGCTACTAATTGCATAAAACACTTAGCAAGGACGGATTTAAAACAGAGATAGATGAAATGCTATAAATGATTATAAGAGTTCACTATAGTCTCGAAAATCATAGCACTGTCAAAATAAACACTACTCTCGTATCATCCTTTCTTTGAATAAACGAGACCCCCGATCAATTCTAGAATCCCCCTTGGCCGCCATTCCTTGACGTGTTGTCTCGGAGGTCTTAGGGCGCGAGTGCGCGTCGAGGCCTCCATGGTGCTGGGGGTGTATATTGTCTACTGGCCGGAGCTGGAGGTGGAGTACCCCCATCCCGAGGTGCTTATCCACCGCCAGTACCACGCCGACGTCCTAGACCCGCTCCACTTGATGCTGCGGTTCGAACACGTGTACACGGGCCACCCGTTCACCTACGACCCCGTGTACGACTGCCACTTTATCCAGCACCGCCACGACGACTTGATCTTTGTTTTGACCACTTCCAACGCCTGTGAGAATGCCATGCTGCTTGTGGTGGTGCTCAGCCATTTCAAACAGATCCTCCAGCGATATTTGGGCCCCCAGCTGTTGATGCGAGATACCATTATCGACAACTTTGACCTTGTCTACGAGCTATTTGACGAGTGTCTCGACTTTGGTATTGTTCAGATTACTGACTATAACTTGCTCAAAGAGTATATCAAAGTGGAAGTCAATCTACCGAAGCTTAAGCTGCCTACGGATAAGATTTCGGTGAGTGACGACGACCTGAGTGACGACGACGAATCAAATGATAAACGCCTGAAACTGCTGAAACTGAAACACAAGCATAAACAGATTAAGAGTACCCATAACTTGGCAGTGAAGGACGACGTGTTGAATGAGGAGCACCGGATTATCAATAGTGCTATTCTTAAAACGACCGCGGGGGCAATCAATTGGCGTCCGAAGGGGGTATTCTATCCGAAAAACGAAATCTATGTGGATATCGTTGAGGACTGTGAGTTCCTTTATGACCTAGAGTCCGATCGCATTAAGCGTAATGACATCGAAGGGAAGTGCCATTGCCGGTGCTATTTACTGGGGATGCCGGTGTGTCGTCTTGGGTTTAATGAGGAGCACGTATCAGGTATTGAGAAAGGCGAACTATCCCAAAAGGATAACCTTATAAAGAATGATGATGACGAAGAGGAAGAGGAAGAGGAAGAAGAAAAATTATTATCTCCCGAACCCAGTGATCCTCCTGATGCAAAGACTAAACAGAAGAAGAAAGTACCCTTACGTAACGTCCAGTTCCATCAGTGTACTGAGCTTGCCACCATCTATAACGAGGACCTCGTATCGTTTGTACCTCCCGACGATAAGTTTGTTCTCATGACTTACCACATTGAACAACAAAAGCAGGCACATAAGCTTCCGTTGTTTATGATTAACCCCACCTATCGCGTGGTAGCAGAGGGTCAGCGGCTCCAGATCATGTGTGTGTTGACGTCCAACTACCGGCGTCGCATCCACTGTCGTGATCTTGTCATCAAAATACCCGTATCCCCCTTCATCTTTGACATTGACGCCGACCAGATCCTGGCCCATCAGCTTAAGTATAAAGCGGAAATGGGCGAAGTGGGGTATAAGCTCGACACGCTGGAGATCATCTGGAAGTTTGACAACTTGACGGGGCGCAAAACTATCAGGATGATGGCAGAAATTCCCTTGAAACTGGTGGAGGGGCTCAACGGCGACAAGGTGGAGCGGCTATTGTTCAAGCGCGGCGAACAGGTCGAGACCGACGACGACGGGCTCGACCGGTTCTACGGGGTGAACGGGACGCTGGCGTCGGCCGCCAAGGACTTGCTCGTTCAGAGTCGGGCGAAGACCGACCACTGCCACATCACGATGACATTCTCGCTCCATATGATGACGTATTCAGGGTTAAAGATTACCTATTTGACGGTCAACGAAGAGGAAATGGGGTATACCTGCTTCCCTTGGGTGCGCTACGTCACCCAAGCCAAACAACACCAGCATAGCAACGCCGACCACCACCAGGATAGCGACTTCCGCTTCCGCCTAGGTCCGCTGAACTTTCAGTTCGCCCCAACTACATAATTGCTTTGTATAATAGACGGCCCACGCCAACGCCAATTACTACTACTAGTAAATTTCCCCGGACGATTAAGTGCGAACCGCGCGCTACCATTAACCAATAGAGCCCCACACTATGTTGCGGTCGCTTGTGTTTAAACGGGCACAATCGCTGCTTATCGTCAATCCGTTGGAGGTAGCCAACGCTCATATCATCAGGGAGCTGCTGAGCCGGTTTGCGAAGCCGGCGGTGGTGCTGTTCGACGGGTTCGGCACCCTCTGGATCCCGCGGACGCCGGTACCGGAGCAGTACCAGAAAGTGGCTTCGTCGTTGGGAGTGGACTTGGATACGGCTACCATTGAACTGCGATTCAAGCTGGCATACTCTGATTTGCAGAAGCAGTACCCGATCTACGGTAAAGGCCAATTGAAGCTGAGTGACGCGTGGTGGAAGTTATTGGTCAACCAAGTGTTCCAGCTTAAGGATGAGAAGAAAGCCGATGAGCTTTCCACTGCTCTCATCCAACACTTTCTCAATGACGACGCCTATAAGCTTTACGACGACGTGATCCCCTGTCTTGATGCTCTCCACGAAGCCGGTGTACCTCTAGTGCTTTCAAGCAACACCGACCCTAACGTGTACACCCTTTTACACAATTTGGGGCTTGAGAAGTACTTTGGCGACAACGTGTTCATTTCCTACGAGCTTGGCGTGGCCAAGCCTGACCGTCGCTTTTTCACGCATGTGGCCAAGACCAAGTACGGGGCCGGAAAGCTGTTTAACTACGACTTCTTGGAGAATTGCTGGCACGTCGGCGACTCGTTTGAAGTTGATTTTGTCGGTAGTGTCAAATCTGGCTGGAACGGGGTGTTGTTGGACAGACACCGCACCTCGGAGTTCTTTGTGGCTAAAGATAATATTAAAGTGGCGCAAGATGGGTGCTTTATGAGCCCCACGGGAGAACAGGACAACCCCGACATGTTAGTGGTGGCGAATAACCGTATAGTCATTGGTGGCCTTGACCAAATCCCCCCATTATTCGGCATCCAGGAATAAGTTTCTACCTACCATAGATGAGCTTATTTTGGGCTAACATGTATTCGAAGGCAACAAGCCTTTCCATTTATCTCCTTTCTATATATACTAGAGATGTTTAGCTTAATGGGTATGTCGTCGTCAGACACTACTTCGTCTATAGTGATCGCTGCTATTAATAAACCTGGTTGGTGCTTTTGCTGCGAAAAAAAAGAAAAGTAAACTTTTTAAAATCACAAACGGGGGGTGAGAATTAGCCAGCGTCACCAAACGGGACAAAAACAAGGGGCTTCCAAGTTTAGAAAATCGCCGTTAAATCGATGGTAGGGAGTCTCTCTCCTTAGTGTCTCTCTCCACTGTTAGTCTCTGTCGTGTCGGTGTCGGCCAAGCCCCACTCAGCCCCGTTCTTGGCCTTTCTCTGGTGAAGGGGGTGATTGAGGGTGACTAGTACTCCCGACACTGCCGGCGCCGGAACACACTTATATAGTGCCGGCACACAGCCCCGGTCGAGATTTCGCGTGCGACTAACAATTCCATTTCCAACTACCCACCGGACCGGCGTCTACCCTCATGTTGTTGATAACGCTCTTGACGCAGTTGTTCGCGTGGCTGACGCTTGTGTGGGGTATCGACCTCGACGTGCTGCTGGAGGAGCTGATCTGTGCCGCAGCGAAGCTCATGCAAGACGGGGAGTGGAACTACTACGACGGTTTCAAACCCGGCGGGGTGATCGGGATGTTCACCGGCTACTACTGGTGGTCGGCGGGGGAAGCATTTGGCGGGATTTTGGACTACTATACGTGGTGTGACCCCAACAACGAAACCCTTAAGAGCTGGATCTACGAAGGGATGTGGCACCAGCGCGGCGAGAACTACGACTACATCCCGCTGAACCAGCTGATGACCGAGGGGAACGATGACCAGGGTGTGTGGGGTTTGGCGATCATGGAAGCTGTCGAACGTAACTTCACCGACCCGGAAGAACGGCTGTGGTTGGCGATGGTCCAGGCGATCTTCAACACCATGAACGCTCGGTGGGACACGGAAACGTGTAACGGGGGTTTGAGATGGCAGATCTTCACCTGGAACTCCGGCTACGACTATAAGAACTCGATTCTGAACGGGTGTTTGTTCCATTTGGGGGCCCGTCTTGCTCGTTACTTGGGTCCCGATAGTAACGTTACTAAGAACTATACCGATACTTGTGAACGCGTTTGGGACTGGATGGAAGGTGTTGGTTTTATGAGAATCACCGATGACTTTGACGACCGTGAGATCTACGACGGGGCTAAAATCCAAAACAACTGCTCGATTAACGAAACCACCAAGCTCAGATGGTCGTACACTTATGGGATTTTCATGAGTGGTTGTGCCTACTTGTATAACCTCACTGGTGACGATAAGTGGAAGGACAGAGCCCACTCGATCATGCACGCCGGGATGACCTACTTCGTCGACTCGAAAGGGTTTATGCAAGAGACGACGTGTGCCCCGCTGAAACGGTGCAATAACGATCAACGGTCATTCAGATCATTGTGGCTGCGTGGCTTACAGCTTACGGTGGCGTTGATCCCTGAATTTTACGATACGGTGATGCCCTACATCGAGAAGCTGGCGGTGGGGGCGGCCAAGTCGTGCTCTGGTGGTTCTGATGGCATCACCTGTGGTATGGACTGGTCCATCGGCTCCTGGGATAACATGTGGGGTTTGGGTGAGCAGATGTCGGCGTTGGAAGTGACGCTTGCCAACTTGGTCAACAAGAAGCCGCCGCCGTACACCGCGGCCCGTGGTGGTCTGTCGCAGTCGCAACCCGATGCTGGGTTGAACGACGTTGACTACACCAACAAGAACGCGATCAAGATCGAGACCAAGGACAAGGCCGGCGCCGGTGTCATCACCGCGATCGTGTTGCTTGTGCTCTTGGGGGCGTCGATCTGGATGCTTATTTAGGCCAACACTTGTTTTGGATGAATGGATTGAAATATGTTTTACGGTATAAAATGTTTGATTTGCAGAGTGTAGTTTATTTGTAGTCGCTAAGCATCCATGTTTGTGATCATTGTGAGACTAAATGTTGGTCAATCAAAGCCTGAACCTCTAAACAGGAATTTTAGTCTGTAGTCTAGAGGCATATTGTCGGAAGAGTCTGCGTCAGTGAGTCATTAAATCCACTTGATTAGTACTCTTCTTCAATTATATGGGGACGCCGTTCTCGTTGAGGCCTTACACTACGCTCACCAAATCCAGACACCACGCGTGAGATGTAATTCACCATCATATCTAGTATCAATCTTAGACCTCTACTACTTAAAAAAACACCTGTTCCACTTCCCCTATTGTACTCCTTCCTATTTGATTTTGTGGTCTCCTCATCGCCCATGGTCGCACGCTCACGCCGGGAGACCTCGAGCCTTTACCAAGCATACGCTATCAACCCATATACCCCTCCATCGAGTTACCCAAGCCATTAATACACTAATACGCCATGGTGTTACTGCAATTGGTCAACCAGTTGGCCAACCCCAGTGTCGGGGGGTTCCAAGGCGGGCTCAAACGGCGACGACTCTTCATTCCGCCGCTGACCCACCACCCGCTCTTCAGCTACGGCGACGGCGACCAGCGGCTGTTCCTCAGTTTGATCGAGCAGCTGAGCACCATAGCGGGCGACGACGATGCCGCTAGTGTCGCCAGTGTGTCTACAACAAGGTCATTACCCAGTACATTGCTGGTGGCCGATAGTGACCAGGAACTGTTCCAACTGTGGCTCGTTGAGGAGCACGAGCGCCGTTTTGGCGACCGTCTGGACGCTGAGAGTGCTGCTGACGACCGCTACCGTGGCTACGGCGCTTGTGAGCGGCGGCTTTCAGTGTATTCTCGCCAGCTGGCGTTGGACGACCCCCATGAGGATTTGACCCAGCCCACCACTGTGGGCCACGAAATACGCACGCTAGCCCGCTACGCTACCCCCTTGGTGATTACGTTCGTGCTAGAACACTTGTTCCTGCTTGTGGCGTTACTTGTGGTGGGGCGATTGGGCAAAAACGAGTTGGCAGCGGTGCTGTTGGCGACGATGACCACCACGATATCGTTCGGGATCTTTGAGGGGATGGCCACAGCTTTGGATACGTTGTGTCCCCAAGCGTATGGCGCGGGCCAGTACGAATTGGTCAGTCTACGCGTCCAGCGGCTGACGGTGCTTGGATGGTGCATCTTTGTGCCGGTAGCAGTATTCTGGTGGTACTCCGACTACGTGTTTCAGTACGTGATTGATAGCAAGGCAGTGGTCAAGCTTACGTGTCAATTCTTACGGATTATGGTGGCCGCCGGTCCCGCAGTGGTGTTCTTTGAGAACGGTAAGCGGTTTTTGCAAGCACAGGGGATCTTTGAAGCCAGTACGGGTATTCTCTTCGTGTGTGCTCCCATAAACGCCATAGCCCTGTGGTACTTGGTGTGGAACCCTACCCACGGCCTCGGCTACATCGGCGCCCCCATCGTCGCCGTGGGCAACTTCTGGCTCATGCTGATCTTGTTGGTGCTCTACGTGAAGTTTGTCGACGGTAAAGAGTGTTGGTTTGGCCTCGCTCTGGTGCACCAGCTCTTTGAGGAATGGGGGGTGATTTTGCGGCTTGCCATCCCCGGGGTGGTGATGCTCGAGCTGGAGTACTTGGCTTACGAGATCATGACGTTATTCGCCCTGATGTTCGGCACCACCGAGCTTGCCGCCCAACTGGCAGTGGCCCTGATTGTCCTGGTGACGTATATGGCGCCGTTCGCCACCGGCATTGCTGCGCTGACCCGTGTGGCTAATTTCATTGGCGCTGAAAACGCCGCCGCCGCCAAAATGGCGACGAAAGTGGCGATGGCAGCGTCAGTGGTGGTCGGGGTTATCGACTGTATTGGTCTCATTACCTTCCGCCACCGCATCGCTGATTTATTTACCCGTGACCCTGAAGTGGCCGCGTTGATTGTCCAGCTTTTATACCCGCTAGTGCCGATGTTTGAGATTTTTGACCTGATTGCCCTGGTGCTGAGTGGCATTCTCCGGGCACAGGGGGCACAGAAGATTGGCGGCATTGTCAACTTCATGGCGTACTACATGTTTGGGTTGCCGCTTGCGTTTATCCTCAGCAAAACCACCGACATAGGTCTTGAAGGACTCTGGATCGGGGTGGGGCTGGGGATGGTGGTTATCGGGTTGATTCAGCTGTGGTACATTGGCCGCAGCGATTGGGACCAGATCATCATCTGCGCCGAGCTTCTCAACGAGTTTGACGACGACGACGACGATTAGAGCATTGATTACACTGTCATAGACTCCTAACGAATAGACGCATTAGACTAAGTGATACGATTTAGGAACGATCCATAATAAGTGGTGTTGATGCTACTGAGAGGAGGGTGCTTATAGTTCCAGATCTACGGTGTTTCTGATTCGTTAATGGAACGGAATAAGTGGTTGAGTCATTCAAAAGACCTTCAACGTTAAAGAGATGTCGGGAGTGTCGAAATTGTGGGCTTGTTTCCAGTTCCTGTCAATAGAATCGAATGTTCTAGGTTTTATCATTGAAAGGACACGTAGTGGATAAGACGTCAACTTAAGTCTCCCACTTGAAACTGATGATTGCCTCCTCAATCCTCGCTATTATCCTTAGGCGTAACCCGATCGGTAATTAGGGTTATCAGTTACTTAATTGACTCAAAAACGACTTCAAAGACCACTTCTTCCTAAGTATATCCACGGTTTTCCTTAAACATTCTGGTTGTAGCTCTTAGCTGCCAAGGACAGCTGGTCGCACTTTGTCTGATACAAGCGAACTTCCGTGAAACAAAACAAACAGAGCCATAGATGATAGCCTTGAAAGAGAGTCCCCACCATCACTTTGGTCCACCTTAGACGTTCAATGATCTCCTTTCATCGCCTCGCCGTGTCCATATCTCCCCTGACGCTGTCGTCACGCTAATGCGCCGCGTCGTGTTCGCACCGCGAAAAACATTCAGCAACCGCACCCAGGGACGAGGACGATGACTCAGAAAAACGGTAAGTTTAGCAGCGCCACCGGTCTCCGCGAGCCTCTACTGACAACAGAGTTTGCTGATGTCATCCCCGACATCTTCACGGTGTTCACCGACGCCGACGACATCGGCGCGATGACGACGCCCCTCCCGCTGGGGTTCCACGAACCCGAGGCGAGCCGCCTCTTGGCCCTGGTCCACAAGTTGCCCAGCCAGGCGAAGAACCCCACCACGATGCAGCAGCGGATCCAGGAACACTACTACACCACCCCGTACCAGATCTACCACGACTTGACCGTGGTGTGTGCCCGCACCATCCTGCACTACCCGTTGGGGCTGGACGAGTACTTCGACGTCGACTTCTACTACCGCTTCTGCGTCGAGGTCCTCCTACGCGAGTTGACCCGCTTGCACATGCAAATGGGCCCCGTCGAGTCCGAGGGCGACCAGCTGGAGCTCCAGGCGCAGCTCTTGGAGGACTTCACCCTGATCAGCCTGGCCTACCGCCAGGGCAACAACGAGACCATCTCCTATATCCACGAGGAAGAGCCGGCGGACCTGCAGTCCCCGTATGCTCCTGTGTACCAGCCGTCGGCCCCCCCGCGCAAAACGGTACAGCCGTTATTCCTGTCGTTATTGGGCAAATCGCAGCTTGACCCGCGGCCCACCGTGGTCGGCGGCGACTACACCATCTCCAAAGTGGTGGCCCTGAATCGGGTCGGGGCTCGCGGCGTGCAAACCATGGACGCCATCTCCCCCGGGCTGAACCGGATCCCCAACCCGCTGGAGGCGCGCAACTCGCTCATCCTCAACGACTTCTTCCACCCGACGTGGTACACGATCCCCATCCCTTCGTGGCTCACGTATAAGGGCACGGCGCTTAAGCCGCCCACGGCGTTACCGAACGCGATTGCCTTAAAACAAGACGCCAACGGCGGCAATAAGCGCACGACGTTATCGATCCTCCAGCGCGGTAAGCACCCAGAACGGACGACGACGCTGAAGCTTGTCGACGTACCAGGTGATCTGTACCGTCTGTTTGCCCCCGTCACCGACCTGGGCGATGCCATTATCACCGGCGGCTTCAAAGCGGGGATCTGGCTCCAGCACTTGGGGTGGAAGCGGATTCAAGAGATCAAGCAGGCCACCAAAGAAGGAGAACTGGCCCTGGAGGAGAAAGACGCCGACGAAGACAAGGAAAAGAGCAAGGAGACGCTGCCACCGCCGCCATGGCCACTGAAGTACGACGAGCCGATTTCTGACGAAGTTATGGCGCGGTGGAAGCCCGAACCGGTGGAAGCAGGTGCTCCCATCGACGTGGCCGCTTTAGTGAACTGGGACCCCGCCCGCATCACTCAGCTCGAGGAGATGAAGCGCGACCGCAACGACATCACCAAGCTGGCGGCATCGCTTCAAAGGCTCATACTGATCAACCTTCTTCGGCTTAATAAGTTGCGCAACCAGCGGTACCGGGCCAGTGATCCGCGGCTGATTCTTCCTCCTGGCGACGAAGAGAAAAACGTGTACCATCGCACCGCCAAGTTATTGACGTTTGCCATCGAGGCGTACAAGCTCCTGCCCGGCGACTTCGATGTCAAGTTTTCCCGCCACTTGCCAGTGCTCACAGAGGAGTTTGGTGGGGTGCTTCCCGGGGCAATGCCGCTGAAGCCGTCGCAGTACCCGGTGTCGGGTAATCGCCGGGTACCCAACATTCGTGGTCCCTACCGCAAAAAGAACCGGGCCGTTTAGGGTGAACGAGTCCTTGTAATATATGTATATCGATAAACACTTTGATGCCATTTGAGTATTCATCTATTTTCTCTTAAATAAGTGAATGGATATTAAGAACTATTGGTTAATGTAGGCGGTTTCCTTAGTGCAAATTGAAGGTGATCATTCTGATACTCCATTCAATTCAAACGTGTTCTCTTCGTCGCTGCCGAGCTTCCGCAAACTAGAGCACTCTTCATCTCATTATGGCAATGGTCGTCGTGGACAAAAACAACACGATGACTACGATGAGGAAATGTGCTGTTGGCGGACCACTGGTGTGATCCACCGGTTGTTTAGGTAATCACATCCATTTTCGGTGTGCCGTCTGGTCAAGTGAGAGGCTAAACTGCACGAGAGCGCGATGAGCTATACGAGCATCGCGCAGTTTATAGAAAAATATATATCTTTTTACTACATTCAATCAACTCGACACTTTAACTAGCTTTCTCTTTACCCCTATTTCAGGAAGCTTAGTTATAGTCGACCGCATTGTGTAGATAAGATAACAATGACTGACTCAGTTAACAACAACACGTCTCAATCGGAGACAGGTCAGGGACCTATATCCCAACAAATAATATCGTAGTTCAATGTCACCAACAATAGAACAGACTGGGATTTTTCCAGCTACTCGCTTGTGAAGACTCAGGGTCCGGCTAGACCCATCCACTCAATTTTAAAGGCTAGGGACAATACCAGACTTAGAGCTGCTGGGATCAATTAGCGGTAGATACTGGTAATAGAGTGGGATTGTGAAAGTAGAGGACAATAATCAAATATCGGAGAGATACAACTATAATGCGAGACTAGGATGGACCCGATTCGGGCTAAGACATTATTAAGTTGCCCGTGAGAATGGCCATTGCCCGCCACTACGGTATCCATGTATGACAAACGTAATGTACACGGCTACGAATCAGTTCAGCAACACCAGTTCTCCATCGGTTGTGACAATTTGCGGTTAGCGTTTTGTGTGGACTCGTTGTTGTTGTTATTGGAAGCGTTAAGAAAGAAGTATGGACGGTGCGAAATCTCATTTTGTGGTAAGGTTTATGAGCTTTTAGGGTGAAAGTCGTATGCTTGAAGCGTGGGATTAAGTCCTCCCTCTGGTATTCCCACGCATGAGCCTTCCATATAGATGCGACCCTCTCCCATAACACTTTTGAGTACGTGGGGGTAGCATAATTGCAAATCGTGCAAGTGAAACTGGTGTTGGTGGAGATATTTCCGTCGTAACCAATGTCCTGCATTCACTAACCCCGTATACGAACGGTGTATCTAAGTGAATCTCAATATGTCTTCATTGGCCATAGCCACCGCTGGGGATGACCATTGTGCGTGATAAACAATCAGTAAGCTTCTATATTTAGATAGGAAAAAAAAAAGTTTTGACGAGGGAAAAAGAAAAAATTAGACGATGGAACGCGAAAGAAAAAACGCGCTTGACGAGACCGACGCGAACGGAATAGCGCGATAGGGAGGAATCAAACAAAGGGGCGGGGTAATGAGGCCTGGGGGGTTCAATCCTGGTTAGGGAAAATTGGTGGGACGTAGCAATTAGGGATAGAGAGCCATTGGGATGATCTTCTGTAGTAATCCTCTTCGGGGTGGAGGTCTAGCCACCATGTAGGAGACACTGGACCCCAGAACCGTCACAACTCAGAAAGTAAAAATACAATCTCACGTGTTTGTAAGCTCGTTGGAGAGTGGACGTCCAGTTGACCGTAGAGCCACTGTTGCACAGCGATTCCACTCGTGGTAGTGGCGCGGTGTACTCTTTGCGATTGCCATTTCATAAGGGCCACGACGTAGCGTGCAAACCGCAATAGCGCCCCAGAGGTCGTGTGTTTATCTGGCGTGCAAGCTCCAAAAGGTCGTGTGGGTGAAAGAAGTAGATCTGATCGGCGTTTTTAGATTTAATCGGATCTTGCGTACATTTTACGGTGAGAAATGTAAATATGAGTGCATGCG